CAAGGTAAGAAACAAGCTGCCCGAGCCCGTGTCCGCGCTCGATTTGGGGCTGTTCCCTTGTGGGGTCTGGCACGCCGTGTCCACACGCTGTGTTCGGACAGCTGCCAAGCTTTAACGTTCGCAGTCTCCCCATCGCTGGCAGGCAATAACCATCCGACCCCCCCATCTCCCACAAGGGCGATGTGTAAAGTGATAAAACCGAACAAACAAAAAGGCTTAAACACCCCCCCCCCCGGCTCTGTATTTCACCGAAGGCGAATGGGCTCTGCTGGGGCGTCATGCAGGAGAACTACGAGACGGTGGCCTCGCTGGGTAGCCCCCTTGGGCACTAGGGGTTTGGGGGTGTCCAACGTGCCCCCTGTCTTCTCCTGCCCAGGATCCTTCCCAGGCCCCCTCGCTTCCTCAAAGCTTGTGGCAGTCTGTCCCCACCTCCCCCAAACCCTCCCAGGGGTAAGTGATTCAGAAACACAGAGGAGATGCTAATCCACCCCCACCCCAAGAGCTTTCGGGGGGCAGAAGGGTTGTGCTCACTAGTTTCAGAGTAGCAGCCGTGTTAGTCTGTATCCGCAAAAAGAACAGGAGGACTCGTGGCACCTTAGAGACTAACCAATTTATTTGAGCATAAGATGAGGCTTTCTTCCGGCAACTCGCAGAAGCTACTAGATCGCACGCCCTGGTTCTCATGGGTGACTTTAATTTTCCTGATATCTGCTGGGAGAGCAATACAGCGGTGCATAGACAATCCAGGAAGTTTTTGGAAAGCGTAGGGGACAATTTCCTGGTGCAAGTGCTGGAGGAGCCAACTAGGGGGGCGCTTTTCTTGACCTGCTGCTCACAAACCGGGAAGAATCAGTAGGGGAAGCAAAAGTGGATGGGAATCTGGGAGGCAGTGACCATGAGTTGGTTGAGTTCAGGATCCTGACACAGGGAAGAAAGGTAAGCAGCAGGATACGGACCCTGGACCTCAGGAAAGCAGACTTCGACTCCCTCAGGGAACGGATGGCCAGGATCCCCTGGGGGACTAACATGAAGGGGAAAGGAGTCCAGGAGAGCTGGCTGTATTTCAAGGAATCCCTGTTGAGGTTACAGGGACAAACCATCCCGATGTGTTGAAAGAATAGTAAATATGGCAGGCGACCAGCTTGGCTTAACGGTGAAATCCTAGCGGATCTTAAACATAAAAAAGAAGCTTACAAGAAGTGGAAGTTTGGACATATGACCAGGGAAGATTATAAAAATATTGCTCGGGCATGTAGGAATGATATCAGGAGGGCCAAATCGCACCTGGAGCTGCAGCTAGCAAGAGATGTCAAGAGTAACAAGAAGGGTTTCTTCAGGTAGGTTAGCAACAAGAAGAAAGCCAAGGAAAGTGTGGGCCCCTTACTGAATAAGGGAGGCAACCTAGTGACAGAGGATGTGGAAAAAGCTAATGTACTCAATGCTTTTTTTGCCTCTGTCTTCACGAAGAAGGTCAGCTCTCAGACTGCTGCGCTGGGCTTCACAACATGGGGAGTAGATGGCCAGCCCTCTGTGGAGATAGAGGTGGTTAGGGACTATTTAGAAAAGCTGGACGTGCACAAGTCCATGGGGCCGGACGCGTTGCATCCGAGAGTGCTAAAGGAATTGGCGGCTGTGATTGCAGAGCCATTGGCCATTATCTTTGAAAACTCGTGGCGAACGGGGGAAGTCCCGGATGACTGGAAAAAGGCTAATGTAGTGCCAATCTTTAAAAAAGGGAAGAAGGAGAATCCTGGGAACTACAGGCCAGTCAGCCTCACCTCAGTCCCCGGAAAAATCATGGAGCAGGTCCTCAAAGAATCAATCCTGAAGCACTTACATGAGAGGAAAGTGATCAGGAACAGTCAGCATGGATTCACCAAGGGAAGGTCATGCCTGACTAATCTCATTGCCTTCTATGATGAGATTACTGGTTCTGTGGATGAGGGGAAAGCAGTGGATGTATTGTTTCTTGACTTTAGCAAAGCTTTTGACACGGTCTCCCACAGTATTCTTGTCAGCAAGTTAAGGAAGTATGGGCTGGATGAATGCACTATAAGGTGGGTTGAAAGTTGGCTAGATTGTTGGGCTCAACGGGTAGTGATCAATGGCTCCATGTCTAGTTGGCAGCCGGTATCAAGCAGAGTGCCCCAGGGGTCGGTTCTGGGGCCGGTTTTGTTCAATATCTTCATAAATGATCTGGAGGATGGTGTGGATTGCACTCTCAGCAAGTCTGCAGATGACACTAAACTGGGAGGAGAGGTAGATACGCTGGAGGGTAGGGATAGGATACAGAGGGACCTAGACAAATTAGAGGATTGGGCCAAAAGAAATCTGATGAGGTTCAACAAGGACAAGTGCAGAGTCCTGCACTTAGGATGGAAGAATCCCATGCACCGCTACAGACTAGGGACCAAATGGCTCTGCAGCAGTTCTGCAGAAAAGGACCTAGGGGTGACAGTGGACGAGAAGCTGGATAGGAGTCAACAGCGTGCCCTTGTTGCCAAGAAGGCCAATGGCATTTTGGGATGTATAAGTAGGGGCATTGCCAGCAGATCGAGGGACGTGATCGTTCCCCTCTATTCGACATTGGTGAGGCCTCATCTGGAGTACTGTGTCCAGTTTTGGGCCCCACACTACAAGAAGGATGTGGATAAATTGGAGAGAGTCCAGGGAAGGGCAACAAAAATGATTAGGGGTCTGGAACACATGACTTATGAGGAGAGGCTGAGGGAGCTGGGATTGTTTAGCCTGCAGAAGAGAAGAATGAGGGGGGATTTGATAGCTGCTTTCAACTACCTGAGAGGTGGTTCCAGAGAGGATGGCTCTAGACTGTTCTCAGTGGTAGCAGATGACAGAACGAGGAGTAATGGTCTCAAGTTGCAGTGGGGGAGGTTTAGATTGGATATTAGGAAAAACATTTTCACTAGGAGGGTGGTGAAGCACTGGAATGGGTTACCTAGGGAGGTGGTAGAATCTCCTTCCTTAGAAGTTTTTAAGGTCAGGCTTGACAAAGCCCTGGCTGGGATGATTTAATTGGGGATGGGTCCTGCTTTGAGCAGGGGGTTGGAGTAGATGACCTCCTGAGGTCCCTTCCAACCCTGATATTCTATGATTCTATGATTTTGTGACCTACAGCTCACGTCATCGGATGACGAAAGCTGATGCTCAGATAAATTGGTTAGTCTCTAAGGTGCCACAAGTCCTCCTGTTCTTTGTTCATTAGTTTGTGTACACACACACACACACACACGCGTGCGGGTGACACTCAGGGATTGGTCTTGGTCCCTGACGCTGCCCCGATCCCTCATTCCCCCTGATTCCCTCGGCGTCTTTCTGTCGAGCAGGGTTCCCGATTTTCACACCCGCGGTGATCTCCCAGCTGGAGCGAGGGGAGGAGGCCTGGGTCCTGGAGCTGCCAATCTCTGAGGAACACACGATCCCCAGGGCCGCCCTAAGAGGTGAGGAATCAGTGAAACCAATTCCCAGAAAACCCGGGAGGAAGGGAAACAGCTTCCCACAGAGGCCTCGCGGGCTCCCTCAGACCTGGCTCCGCTCCCTGCGGTCGGGATTGTGCCCAGCGGACAGCAGACGTCACACCAGGCTCCACTCCCTTCCCCTGAGTGTTCGGAGGGGCCCTGGAGGCCGGGTGGGTCCCTCCTGCTGCTCTGGAGAAGGGGGGTGAGGACTCCCGAACCTTCAGTCTCCTCAGTGGTTATTTTGGTTTGTTGGCCCATGTCCTGGTCCCCGGCACAGGGCCTGAGCCGGGTCTGGATTCTCTCTCTATCCCCGCAGGTGACGGGCCGGCGAGTGGGAACGTGGAGGAGAAGGCCCAGCAGGCGAGTGGAGCCCCGCAGGGCAGTTTCGGGCAGATCCCCCGGGAACGGTTCCCAGAGTCCTGCCCTGGGAAAGGCCTGGGAGAGTCAGAGCCGGCCAGAGCAGGGAAACCCCCCGGAGGAGAGACAGGGCAAATCTACTGAGCTGGGGGGAGATGCCACAGCCCCCCGTCAACCAGAAATGCAGCCAGAAGCCCCCGCGGGAGAGAAAAAAAACACGTGCGCCGAGTGTGGGAAGAGCTTCAGCACCCACTCAGCCCTGATCATCCACCGGCGAAGGCCCCTACCCTGCCCCGAGTGCGGGAAGGGCTCCGTGCAGAGGTCGGGCACCCACCTGGAGGACAAGCCGCACAAGCGTCCAGCCTGCGGGAAGGGCTTCAGCGCCAGGCTGGCCCTCATTGCCCACCAGCGGGCCCACGCGGGGGAGAGCGCGGAGCCGGGGACGCCCTGGGGGCCCCACCGGCCCTACCAGTGTCCCCAGTGCGAGAAGAGCTTCATCCGCAGCTCCCACCTGGTGGCCCACCGCCGGCTGCACGCGGGCGAGCGCCCCTCCGGTGCCCACGCTGCCTGAAGGAGTTCAGCGAGAGCTCCAGCCTGGCATGGCACCCGCGCGTCCACACGGGCGAGCGGCCTTACCCCTGCCCGGTCTGCGGGGCCAGCTTCAGCCGCAGCTCGACCCTCACCAAGCACCAGCGGACCCATGCCCAGCAGGCCAGGCCCGCGGCCAGCCTGGCAACGGCTGTCCCGCCCGCCCAGGACGCCCAGTGACAATCGGCTCTCGAGCGTCCGGCTGCAGGGTCAGGAGCTTGCAGCTACCACCCCCTTGCTGAGCGGGGCCCCTCTGGCTCCGCAAACCCCCGGGAGAGGTGGGGCAGCCCCAATCGACGACTCCTCAATGATGGGGAGAAAACAACCCATCTGGGTAGCTCCCGCTCCTGCCCCCAGCCACGGAGACAGGGAGAAGGGAGCCCGGGCCAGGCCCGGCTCTTACACAAGAGACATTTCCCCACCTCCCTCCCTCCCAGCTGCACGTGGCTCCCCAGCGTGGCACCCGAGAAGGGCCACCCCAGGTCTTGGAACGAAGTCCCCACCAGGCGGTCGGTGCGGGCGGCTCTCTCGGCCGCTCTCTGGTTCTTGCTGTTCCGTAAACGCCAAGGCGATTAATACATGGCCAACATTTCGCAGAACTCTCCGGTCTGCACTTTCCCCAAGGACCAGCCGATCAATGGCTGTAAGAGCATCACGGAGCGGGCGACCGGGTAACGAAAGTGACCGGGAGCAAAGAGCGTTTGGAGGAGTCAGAGCCGCGGCAGGAAACACGATGGAGGCGTCAGTCCCCGTCTCCGTCGGGGTGAAGTTTCTGAGCCTTTCCCCGGCTGGGGGAGGCTCGTTCGCAGAGGGGAAGTGAGTGTGTCAAACGACTGACTGACCAATCAGCAGGAGGCGCTGTGGGAAGCCGGGTCGGGGGATCACAGGACAACGGGACGGTGCGTTCCCCAGATCTGGAGCTGCTCTGGGATTTCACTCTGGATGGTGCGGACGGTGCCTCTCCCCTCCCTGCACTGGGGTGTGTCAGGACCCAGCACAGAGCGATCTGGGGGGTTCATTTCGGCAACTGTCGCGTTCCTCTCGGGTTTCTTTGCCTAATTTCTCCTACTGCCCCATTGTTCTCAGTCAGCCCGTGCGAGTTCAGGGCTGGTCGAATGATGATTATTTCTGTATCACCGTAGCACCGAGGCGGTCCAGTCACGGAGCCCACTGCGCCAGGCGCTGTACAAAGCAAACACGCAGTCCCTGCCCCAGACAGCTTCCAGCCTCGGTGTAATTATAACAGGTGGGACTCCGAGAATGAGCAATAGAAGTGTATGAAACACACAGGTCCTCCGAGTCGGGGCCAGGATTTGTATCGACAGTTGAGCGATGGAGGGAACGGTGAGACCCGGATCCCCGCAGCCACGAGAGCCGTCGCCAGGGGGTGGCAGGAAGAGGCAGAGGGTGGGAGCGGGGAGATTTGGAGCTGGGATTCTGCAGGGTTTGCTCCTCAGAGCCAGACGCAGGCTGGGAGCTGGGAACTGGCTGCACTGTGGGGAGACGGGAAATAGCTGACAAGTGTCGGAAGGGTTTGCCCTGCGTGTCAGACACCCCCCAGGGAGGGAGAGGGGTGCCCCCGATTGCTGAGAGCCTGAGCTGTGTAGGGAAGTGGTGGGGAAGCCCCCAAGCTGGGCCTAGAGCCGGGCCAGGCCCAATGGCTGAGGGCCGAGGGGGAAGAGCAGCCCCCCAGTCCAGCTGGTCTCCCCGCCCGCCCCACAGCTACTGGGTGGGGAAAGCAGACACTGAACCAGACACCCCCGGCCCCAGCACCCCCCGCCCCAGCATGGGCGTCTCCAGGGGCTTCACAGCCTTTCTCTGGAGATGATGGGTGTAAATGGGGCTCCCATGGGGGCAGAGACTCCCTATGGCCTGGGCAGAGACCCGGCTGGGATCCCTGGTGCCCTGTCGGCACTGTGAGTTCACAGCCCCGAAGGTGTCGCCCCATGGCTGAGTTACTGATGCCTCCCCCAGGCCTTCCTGGCTCAGCGTACCCCACTGCGCTGGCTTGGGGGTCTCCTGCTCGGGGCATGCCCAGGGCTGCCCAGCTGCCTGCGGCCCAGCGGGGTTCTGCACAGACAGACTCTCTGCCCCCGACCCAGGTACCCCACCCAGGGACCCTAGCACCCACCCACCAGCTGGCCCAGCACCCACCCAGCCACCCTTGGCACCTCTTCAGCACCCTTCTCAGCCCTCCACAGAGCTGGGGGCTCGGGGTGAGTGGGGGCCAGGGGGTTCTGGCGGATTGTGGTGATGGGGGGACAGGCAGCCGGGCGCCCTGTCCCCGCTCACGGCTTGGCTGGCCGGTGGGGGAGGAGGAGACGGTGGTTGGGGCACGTCTACACTCCCCTGGCTGCGTCCTAGTGTAGACGCTGCCTTCGGGGAGGGAAGGGGTCAGTCAATGGCAGAACGAGGGATCTTGGGGTGCCCAGGACTGTGGGGTGAGAGATTGTTCCCCCCCACCCCAAACACCAGCTCCCCCTCCTGGACCCCCTGCAAAGCAAGGCCCACAGCCCCCCCATGCCAGCCCTGTCTCTCTCCCCTGGGGGGCGGGTTCCACCGGGCGGGTTCCCCGGGGACCGTGGCTGGGCTCTGGGACACCCACTCCTGAGCCAGGGGCAGCGGGCGACAGGGAGACCCGGGGGCCAGGCGGGGCGCGGACCCTGCACAAAGGGCCCCGTCTCCGCCTGCCCCGAGCCCCCGGTCCCAGATCTGCCCCGAGCGCACTAGCAGGGGCCGCAGCCCCGGCTGTGCGGTGCGGTGTAGACGGGCCCTGCCTGTGCCGCTCCCCTCCCGGCAGCGGGGGCGGGTCCATGGGCTGCTCACCCCCCCCATCCCGGGGGCCGCTCTCCCCGCCCCCCCGCCCGGGGGTTGGGCTTCCTGGGTCAGCGCCGCGGCTGCATCCGCGCCCGGCCCCGCTGCTGCGCCCGGCCCGGGCGGGGGGAGCCCGGGGGCCGCGCTGGGCTCGAGCCGCCCCTGGGCCGCGCAGCGCCGAGCTCCGCCGGGGGAGCTGCTGAGCCGGGGCCGGCAGGTGCGGGGGGGCCGCGTGGGGCGGGGCGCTGCGGGACCGCGGGCCGGGGCCGGGCGGGATACCGGGAGAGTGGGGCAGGTGGGGGGGGGCTGGAAGGGGCGGGAGGAAGTGGGGGGGGGGCACAGACCCCATTCAGCCATGGGGCAGGAGCAGCCCCCACTAGCGTCCCTTGGGGTGTTTCTCCCCCGGAGGGAAGCAGCGCCTGGCCGTGTGTGTGCGTCTGACAAAGATCTGAATATCCCACAGCCCCCCCGCCCCCCGCCCTCCCAGAGACCCCCCGACCGCCCTGGGTATCTGTAGTGGGGACAATGGTACCCCCCTGGGGTGGTATCCCCCTCCCTGCCCCCCGGGTCAGCCCCACGGGCCCCTCCCGCCCCCTTCCTGCGTCCCTGGTCAGCCCCAGGGGCCCATCTCGCCCGGTATCCTGCCCCCTCCCTGTGCCCCAGATCAGGCCAGGTCCCCCGGGCCGGAGCAGGCCGGCGCTGGGTTTAAATCACGGGACGTTCCCTGTAGCAGATATTCTCCTGCCGCGTCGCACGCCCTGATCTCGCCTGTCCCCGTCCTCCGAGCAGGATTTCTCATCCCTGGGCCGGACGCGCTCTCCCGGATGGAGCCAGGGGCAGAGCTGCGGGTCCCAGGCCCCCGGGGTGCTGAGGAGACCCCGAGAGACGCCCGCACAGGTGAGGAATCGCTTAAACCGGCTCGGAAATTCACCCCTGGCTTCCTGGAGCCTTTAAATCTGGGCAGTAACAGCAGGGGATTTACAGGCCTTCCAGATTTGTGTGATGAGCATCTCGCCCGGAGTGAGGTCAGGAGCCCATTGTGCTCGGAGCTGGACATACAGCTAGCGAGAGACAGTCCCTGGCCCGCGGACCCGGCAGCGTGCAAGGCAGCGAGAGGAGGGGTGTGAGGGCAAAGAGAAGCCCAGCGAGAGGACGTAGCAGCCCGCGATGAACAGCCCGCGATGAACAGAGCCCGAGGCGGAGGAGTGACTTGTTTGTGGTGGTTAAGTACCTGGGAGGGGGGAAAGTAGCAGCTACTGAAGGGATCTTTGTCCGGGTCCCTTCTGGCCGTGAGCTCTGCGAGTCTGACCCACCAGACGGCACTGCCCCTCGGCACCTGTCACACCGGTGATTCCCCTGGGGGTCGCGCTGACTCTGACTAGTCACCCAGCGTCTCTGGCCGGCTGTGCCCGGTGCCCGGCAGCGCGGCCGCTTTCATGGATCGCTCCCACGCCCGCCCCGCCCACGTCCTGGGACTTGCAGGGTCGTTTCTAAGCTCATTTCGAAAGCGCAGACTTCGGCGCGAGAAGCTGATCCTGGGACTCCCGGCAATGCTCCAGTCAGGGGTGTGGGGAACCTGGCGGCCGCTGGCTGCGGCCAAGGAGACGGGTCCGGTCTTGTCCCCAGACCCTGCACTATCTGTCCATCCAGCCCGGATCCTAGTGTATCCAGTCTACCCCCCGGCCCCGCACTGGGAGCCCCTGCAGCGCTGCCAGAGTGAAATCCGCCTGACTCTCGGCAGTGTCGCAGCAGCCCACAGGAAACGGCCCTGAAAATGGCCTGTGTCTCTCAATTTCTGGCTGCCGGGGGATCTCTGAGCAGCACCAGGCTGCCTGTCTGCAGACTCAGGAAGGCGGTGCGGCCTCACCTGGCTCCCTACAAAATCAGCCTCTCAACAAGAAGGGCCAGAAATGAGAGCTTGACTCCTCCGGCTTGGGGCCTCTCCTCCCGCCAGGGGCAGTCACAGCAGCCAGGGGATTTTTTACACCTTGGGTTTGTTCCGCTTACCTGAGGAGTCCAGCGCAGGGAGTGACGGGTGTCTGGATTCTCTCTTTCTTCCAGCACGTGGGAACGAGGAGGAGGCAACCCAGGCGGGGGCGGTGAAGGAGACGCTGCCAGGAGGATCTGGAGGGGACGTTTCCCGGAGTCCGGAGCCGGGGAAAGCCTCCGAGGGGCAGGAGGGGAACCCTGCGGAGGGGAGTGGGGCTGAATCCGCTCCCCGCGGGGGCGACACGACGGACCTCAGCGAAGCCACGGCCCGGCCAGGGCGACTCTACACCTGCCCGGAGTGCGGGAAAGGCTTCGCCCAGAGCTCGCACTTCATCCGGCACTGGACGGTGCACACCGGGGAGCGGCCCTACCAGTGCGCGGACTGCGGCAAGCGCTTCCGGCAAAGCTCGGACCTGGCGACCCACCGCCGGCTCCACACGGGCGAAGAGCCCTGCCCCTGCCCCGAGTGCGGCAAGCGCTTCCGGCAGAGCTCGGAGCTCCTCGTCCACCAGCGCACCCACACCGCCGAGCTCCCCTGCCCCTGCCCCGACTGCGGCAAGCGCTTCAGCCGCAGCTCCAACCTGGTCACCCACCAGCGCACCCACACGGGCGAGCGCCCCCACCCCTGCCCCCGCTGCCCCAAGCGCTTCAGCCAGCGCGCCAACCTGCGGGCCCACCAGCGGCTGCACGCGGGGGACCGACCCCCCCGGCCGGCCCCCCGGGGCGCTGGACCGGCCGCCCGGCTCGCCGGCATCGGGCGCGGCCGGTCGGGGGCTCCCCCGGCTCGGCAGCCCCCGGCCGTCCCCATCAGCGCGTCCCTCCTGCCGGCCCGGCGTGAACGGCCCAAAGGCGCTAACGCTGTCCACCGTCATTCCGCGCTGTTAGAGGCGGGCCGGGGTCGGGTGCAGAGTCCTCCGCCCGCTCAGCGCCCGGGCACCTTGACCACGCCGCAGACAAAGGCCAAGCCGGTAAAGCCTTCGCAGTGTGAAGTACGAAGCCAGCCAGGCTTTCCTTGTCACAGCGTCCTTGGTCCCGTTCCCATCCGCCCGGGAGAGGAAACTCCCTTTCTCTGAGCGTCTCCTGGGTGCGTCAGAGCTGGCAGCGACGGGACAGGAGAAGGGAGCTGAGACGGGCTGGAGCCAGTCGTCCGATCCTGTTCAGCCCAGGTGTTGTCTGGGCTTTGGCTGGAGCTGGGGGAGGTGGCCGTGTCCTCTGGGTCCCGCTCTCTGGCCCGGGCTGGGTCGGCATTTCTCAGGGTCGAGATGCCAGGAGACGGGGGGGGGCAGTCAGCGTGGGGAAACTCGCTCCAGTAGACCCATCTGGTTGTTTTGTTTTTCCCCCCAAAGTCTCTTTCTTTGAGGCCCCGCAAAGGGGGTGGTGGGCAGCCCAGCCCAGCCCCTCGTCATTATTTTCACCGATTAAATTCATTTCCCTACTGGCAAACTTAGTGTAAGTCACTTCGTTCCCCTGTTTTCGTATTTATTAACTTCAACCCTTAACACACACAGCCCCAGGGCCGTATCAATCGTCCTTTTCAGTTGAACTGTCTGGGTTGTGCGCACCTGCCTGTAACACCCTGATTCAGAATAACCTGACTGACTTTTCGTGACTACTTCCCAGGCAGGCTGAAGTTATAAACCCGGTTGTCCCTGTAGGGCCCTGGGCTAGTGACCTGACCCCGCTCCGGGGGGCTGCGGGGGCTGTGTAGCTCTGTCCCATACCCCGGAGCAATTACAGCGGGGCCCCGCGCATCCCATCGAACTGGGACCGGGGCCAGATTCCTACAACAGAACATACAACCCCGTAGTTTTCATGGACCCTGAAATCTATTGACTTGTTGTTGTTGTTTATTCTTGTCTCTGGAGTCTGGACCTCGACTCTTCCTTGACCAAGAAATTTGGACTTTGGCAAAGTCCAACGACTACCCCTGCTATGTAAAGATTAATTCAGCATGGATGTGTCCCCAAATTCCCCAGTCCTCACCCTACGCGGGGGACCAAGAACTCCCCCGGGGGGGGAGGCTCATGGCATGGGACGCTGACTAACTGGAATGACTGTAACCCAGGGCAGCGAGTGGCCTGGCTCAAGCTCACGGGAGTCAGAGCAACTCCCGCCTGGAGGAGACAGGACGGATGTTTCAATCCCAGTTCAGGAGAGAGGTGTGACGGATCTGCAAAGCTGGGGGGTACAGCTCCCATCAGCCCCCTCCCCATTGCACGGGTCCCTCCTCCTGGCTGAGCAGGGACTGCCTGTCCCATCAGTTCCCCCACTCCCAATCGCACTCCAAGCCAGGTCAGGGGAAGGTGCTGAGCCGGGAGGTGGCTGGGCTCCGGCTGGGGGCCGGGAACCGCGTGGCAGCTAGAGAGAAGCCCGGGAACGGTGCCAGAGCCATGCGTGGAACAGGCTGTAAGTGCCGGACATCCCAGTGCTTTACCTGGCTGATTTCAAAGGCAGCTGTGTGAGAGTCCCGGTTCTGGGCCCATTTCCCTCTGCTGCGGCTGGGGAGGCTCTGAGCACGCAGAGGCACCAGGTGGGCTGGTTGCAGACTCAGGAAGGTGGTGCTGGGATCCCCATTTGGCTTCTGCTTCCCGCCCAGCCAGGCTGGGAGCTTTAACACGTTGAATCCTGCAGGTGACGGGCCGGCGAGCAAGAGCGAGGAGGGGCGTCCCCAGAAGGAGGATCGGGAGCGAGCGGAACCGGGTGGGATGGTGCCGGGACAATCCCAAGGGAACGAGTCTGGGAGCCCCGAGGGTCAGTGCAACGCAGGCAGGCTGAGCTGGTGCCAGGATTGTGGAAGGAGCTTCCATCAGAGCGCCCGACTTCTCAGACACCAGGCCATCCGTACGGGGGAGAGAGCCCACAAACGCCCCGACTGCGGGAAAGGCTTCACCCTGGGCTCAGACGTGACCAGGCATCAGCGCGTCCACACAGGGGAGCGTCCCTACGCGTGCCCTGGGTGCGGGAAAGGCATTGCTCACAGCTCCGACCTCATCCGGCACCAGAGCCTGCCCACGGAGGAGAAACCCTACAAGCGCCCGGCCTGCGGGAAGGGGTTCCGGGTGAGCTCCCACCTCGTCACCCACCAGCGCGTCCATGTGACGAAGTGGGACTATTCTTAATGTTTCCTCTGAATAGTGTGGGGGTGCCTCAGTTTCCCCTAGGCAGTTCTTAAGTATCTAGGGGGTGGGGTAAGGGTGTATGATCATTGCAGAGCCCTAGAGGGCATGTGTGTGCAGGGGTCTGGACACAGAGAATGGCCGACACCCTGTTTCCTGGCAACTGATGGCCTGGGCCCTTCCTCCCCCTGCAAGGTGAGAGCTGAAGGGTTGGAGAACAAAGGAATCAGGTGACCACCTGGCCCGGGAAAGGAACAAAGCCCAGAGGAGGAGGGGCTGGAGGGGGTTTTCAGTTTGGGGCTGGCTGGGACATGGAGTGAAGGGCAGACGTGGTTGTCTGGCTCACTGCCCCCCAAAATGGACCCAGCTGAGGGGTCCCGTTCTCTGCACCTGCAAGCTCTGTTTTAGACCATGTTCCTGTCGTCTAATAAACCTTCTGTTTTACTGGCTGGCTGAGAGTCACGTCTGACTGCGAAGTTGGGGTGCAGGACCCTCTGGCTTCCCCAGGAGCCCCGCCTGAGCCGACTCGCTGTGGGAAGCGCACGGAGGGGCAGAGGATGCTGAATGCTCCGAGGTCAGACCCAGGAAGGTGGAAGCTGTGTGAGCTGCGTGTCCTGAAGACAGGCTGCTCACAGAAAGGCGACTGCCCCAGAGTCCTGACTGGCTTCATGGGGAGCAGTTCCAGAGCATCGCCCAGGGACTCCGTGACAACTGGTGGCAGCGGTGGGATGTACTGCACCCCGTGGATGGTGCTTCCTGCAGTAAGTGACTGGGGAGCAGTAACACGAAGGGGGATTGCCGAGGACCAGGCCTGCTGAAGGCTCAGAGAGGAGCGGTTTCGGGGGGCGGTTAACCCCTGGGAGTGTGTGACCAGCGAGAAGGACTGTGCAGTAACAGGGTTCCCCTGGGGATTGCAGCGAGCAGTCCAAGGGGCGGAGGAGTCTGCAGCTCGACCCTGGCAAAGAGGTGGTGACCTCGAGAAGGGCTGGCACACTAGGGGTTCTCCCTGGAAACCGTGGGGAGCTGAGAACACACGGGCCTGTGAGTCCACAACAACTTGGGAGGAGCGGAGTGATGGCCTGTCACTGTCTCCTTAAGAAGGACATTGTAACCCTGTGCAGAAAGAGAGGGCTGAGCGTTGGAAAGTTCACCAAAGCAGAGTTAATCGTGCAGCTGGAGGAGGATGACCGCTCTAAGGAACAGATTCCTGACCCCAACTGGGGCTATAGCAGGATCTGGGAGCAGCTGAAGCGGGAGCCAGGCATCGCCAAGACTCCTGTCCCCGACCAGACGAGGGTCTTCACGATCAGGTTCCCCATCGGGGGATCGAGACGGACGGGATTGGAGCTGAGTCTGAGAGAGCAAGAGGACTGTGGGGGACAGCGAGAGCCCGAGAAAGAGCTGCAGAAGCAGCAGCAGCATGAACTGGCGGTGGGGGAGCGGAGAGGCCTAGGGGACCTCCCCGGGGTGAGTGGGGATAGATCCCGGGGGGCCAGTTCCGCAGGGAACCTCGAGACTAAATTGCTGCCCCTGGTTAAGGAGGGGGGGGTGTGGATGCCCACCTCACTGCCTTTGAGCAGGCTGGCGATTTGAACCAAGGGGACCCTGCGGAAAAGCCCCGGTGTCTAGCTCCCTTGCTGGGTCCCAAGGCCATAGACTCCGTCAGCCAGATGGTTGGGGATGTGGACAGGCTCCCACTCCTGACCCCAACCTATATGTCTGTGTGGAGTTTCCTGGGGCCAGGCCCCTCGGACCTCCAGTGGGAGCAGAAGGTGATGGTCAATGGGGAGACATTCTTGGGGTGGCCAAAGGGCATGGGCTGCATAAACCTTCCCACATGCGGCCTGCGAGTGCTATCGACCACCCCTGACCTAAGGGAGGGTGTGAAAATGGAAGGGCCTGGTGTAACTCCTACCAAGGAATGGGAGAGATGCTGGGGCATCCATGGGAACGTTGGTGGCTTCGAACTTCCCCAGGTCACCGGCTAAAGTGACCCCGCTCAGTTCGATCTCGAAGGGGGGAGAGATGTGACGAAGTGGGACTATTCTTAATGTTTCCTCTGAATAGTGTGGGGGTGCCTCAGTTTCCCCTATGCAGTTCTTAAGTATCTAGGGGGTGGGGTAAGTGTGTATGATCATTGCAGAGCCCTAGAGGGCAGGTGTGTGCAGGAGTCTGGACACAGAGAATGGCCAACACCCTGTTTCCTGGCAACTGATGGCCTGGGCCCTTCCCCCCCTGCAAGGTGAGAGCTAAAGGGTTGGAGAACAAAGGAATCAGGTGACCACCTGGCCCGGGAAAGGAACAAAGCCCAGAGGAGGAGGGGCTGGAGGGGAGTTTCAGTTTGGGGCTGGCTGGGACATGGAGTGAAGTGCAGACGTGGTTGTCTGGCTCACTGCCCCCAAAATGGACCCAGCTGAGGGGTCCCGTTCTCTGCACCTGCAAGCTCTGTTTTAGACCATGTTCCTGTCGTCTAATAAACCTTCTGTTTTACTGGCTGGCTGAGAGTCACGTCTGACTGCGAAGAGGGGGTCGCCTTTCTGTGAGCAGCCTGTCTTCAGGACACGCAGCTCACAGTCCACGTGGGCGAACGCCCTACTGCTGTCCCGAGTGTGCGAAGATTTCAGCCACAGCGCCCAGCGGGTCAAGCCCCGCCGGACCCACACGGGTGAGCGCCCCGACTGCGGGAGGGCCCCTGGGGCCAGCTCCACCCTCGTCACCCACCAGCGCACCCACACAGCCGAGCGCCCCTTCCAGTGCCCTGACTGCTGGAAAAGCTTTGGCCAGGATTCGGGGCTCACCCGGCCCCAGAGGATCCACACCGGGCAGTGCCCCTACAAATGCCCCAACAGCGCCGGGGAATCCGGGCACGGTGCCCTGAGGTGATCGCTGACCCCCTGGCTACCCAGCCCCCCCCGACGGGCTCCACCTCACCACTGCTGGGCCCCTCCAGCAGCCTGGGGGGGGGGGAAGCCCCGACCAGCCCCTCCTCCACACTGGGTGCAGGGGGTGCCAGCCGGGAGGTGAAGTGGCTCCAAACAGACATTTCTTCTGCTCTCAGAACCCAGCTGATTTCCAGCGGTTGGACAGAGCCAGGAAGTTACTATCCCAACCCTGGTTCTGTCCAGAGAGACTTTACCGGCACGGCTGATTCCCCCGGAAGCAGCAGGGGTTGATCCCTGAGCCGCAGGGGCCGAGGCTGAGGTGTCCGGCAGAGCCACATGGTGCCCAGAGCCCTGGATTTGGCTGGCGTAAATCGGCCGCAGCCCCAGTGGGGTCGGTGGGGCCGGGTCCCCGGCTGGCGTGAATCGGCCCCAGCCCCAGTGGGGTCTGTGTGGATTCACACTGGCTGGGGATCTGGCCCCTCCGCCTATCAGCCCCACCGACTGACCGATCTCTGCAGGCCCAAGCCAGCTGGGCGTGTAAATGCTGGTTAGCGGGGACAGCCTGGCTGGTGTCACAGCGGCTCACCAGCGTCTCCGGGACAGGCTGGCTCCGTACGTTCACAGCTGTGACTTGACGCAGTTTCTGTCCTTTGGTTAAGCTAGCGTCAGCAGGTGGTAAATGAAAAGCTGGGGGGAGAAGGGTGCAGAGGGCCGGGGCGTCGGACAGGCCCGCTGGAAGGCAGCCGCGGTCGCACTGGGGACTCCAGGGCTGGGTCTCTGATTGGGCGCGTCGTGTCATTCGCTCATTTCACAAGAGTAACCTGGGCCCCAAACCCCCGTGTTTGTTAACGACACGGAGACGCGGCTGGGTTCTGGCAGCTTCCGACGCGCGGAGCACGGTGAGCGCCTCGGGAGGCTCACGGGCTGGTTAAAGGGAAGCTGCCCTATTCCAGGTGACGCGACACGGACTCGTCAGATCTCCACCGTCGAGGGCCTCTGCTAACTGCCATTGTATTACCAGGGACCAGGGCCCCCGGTGCCAGCGGCTGGCCCTACCCGTGGAAGAGACAGTCCTGCCCCCAGGAGCTTACACTCTAAACAGGCAAAGCAGAAATTCTCCCCATTCACAAGTAGGGAGATGAGGCACGGAGAGATTGAGTAACTTGCCCAAGGTCAGCCAGCAGCTCAGTGGCAGAGTCAGGAATAGGACCCAGGCGTCCTGAGATATAGTCCAGTGTTTTCCCCATGCTACCCTTCTTTCTACCTCCAGCACATGGTCACTCCCCTAGGACCAGCTCTGCGTTTCTTTCTCTAGCTTCTGGGTTAATTGGCCCATAGTGTCAGTTAGTAAAACGGGCAGCCGGGTTTCCTCTCGTTCAGGAAGGAAGGACGGGGCGCGGGGAAGGGCCTGGGGCGGGGTTGAAATGCAGCATCCGGAACCGGGCCCTGGCACTCAGGGCCGGGGCTGTTTGGGGTTTTCCTGCTCTGAACCAGGAAGACTAAAGTGGCTTTGCGTTTCCCAGTCGCCCCGAGTCCTTTGTCCGAGAGAACAGGAGTGTAAACGGGGCGGCGGGCCCCCCAGGAAATGCTCTTGAGGGGTTTATCGGCGACACCGTATAACCTGCTGGTTCTGCTCTGTGACCCACTTAGGCCTGGAAGGTTTCGCCCCAAGGCTGAATTTCGATCCCTCCCCCGGGAGCTCCCTGCGTGACAGGCCCCGCTACGCCGGCTGGGGACTTCCCCTGCGTGATCCACACGCAGGCCAGCCCCATGGCCCAGCCAGGCCTTGAGCAGCCCCCGCTGGGCTCCCCTGTGGCCTCTCTGCTCCCCCACACCCCTGCTGATCCCAGCCAGGCCGGAGCAGGGGTCCGATACGGGTGTCAAGCCCTCTGTCTCTCCAAGGGCCGTACCCGGCCCCCGTTCCCAGCGTGTCTGAGCCTCGTGGGCTCTGGGGCAGGGATACTCGGACTGCGGCTCGCACGCCCCGAGGGCCTGCTCACCCCGTCTCCTGCGGCTCTTTGCAGCACCCGGTAGGAAAGCGCCCCGTGATTGAATTATTAACCCGGCTCGGTTATTAACCCGCCAGCCGGCTTTTCCTGCGTTCTTAACCAGTGGCCTGATCAACTTGCCAGTTGTTAACATGTTTGTTGTGAGAATAACACACGCACCCCACAGCTCCCCTGTGACCCTGCTTCCCTGGGGAGAGACTGGAGGGAATGAAACAAGGACTTCACACCCCGGTGGCTCTTTGGGGTCATGCGGGTCGCTCTGAGGTCCCAGTGTCTAATACATGAATCTTGGGGTGTCACCCCATGGCCGGCGGGACCCAGAGGCTGAGGGCCTGGCCCAAGCTCTCCCAGGCCCCCCGGGGCGAGCTGGCAATTGCAGGCAGGTCTCCCAGGCGAGCGCCCCAACCCCGGGGTATCTGGGTGCCCCGTCCAGCCCCCCCTTGCCCCTCAGGCAGGCAGCCCTGGAGCAGGGGAGCTGAGCGGGTGGGGGGCAGGGGGCTGCAGGACTGGGGGGCCCAGCATGGGATCGGGGAGCAGCCAGAGCTGGGCGGGCGCTTTGCTTGGCCCTGGTCCTGCTGGTTCCCCGCCAGACACGGGTCTGTGATTCCGGGAGCCTCCAGGCCCCTCCGGGAGGGTGGGAACCGCCCGGGAGAGGCGGGTCCGGGGGCGGGTCCATGCCCCCCCCATCCCGGGGGCCGCTCTCCCCGCCCCCCCGCCCGGGGGTTGGGCTTCCTGGGTCAGCGCCGCGGCTGCATCCGCGCCCGGCCCCGCTGCTGCGCCCGGCCCGGGCGGGGGGAGCCCGGGGGCCGCGCTGGGCTGGAGCCGCCCCTGGGCCGCGCAGCGCCGAGCTCCGCCGGGGGAGCTGCTGAGCCGGGGCCGGCAGGTGCGGGGGGCCGCGGGGGGGGGGCGCTCGGGGGTGGGGGGCTGGAAGGGGGCGGGCAGGAGCAGCCCCCACCGGCTGATGGGCACCGGGCAGGGGGGAAACTAAGATCTGAACATCCCACAGCCCCCCCACCCCGGGTGCCTGTAGTGGGGACAGTGAGACCCCAGGGGCTGTGGTACCCGCGGGGTGGTATCCCCCTCCCTGCCCCCCGGGCCCATCCTGCCCGGTATCCTGCCCCCCGGGTCAGCCCCATGGGCCCATCCCCCCTGGTATCCTGCCCCCTCCCTGCCCCCCTGGTCAGCCCCATGGGCCCATCCCCACAGTATCCTCCCCAATCCCCACGCCCCGGGTCCGACCGGTCAAGCTCTATATCTCTCCACCCCACTCCCTGCGCCCTGGACCAGCCCGAAAAGGGGCTTCGTTAGAATCACGGACCCTTCCATGTGACAAACGTGGGGCTACGTCCCCAGCCCTGATCTCGCCTGTCCCCGTCCCCCGAGCAGGATTTCTCATCCCTGGGCTGGACGCGCTCTCCCGGATGGAGCGAGGGGCAGAGCGGTGGGTCCCGGGTCCCCGGGGTGCTGAGGAGACCCCGAGAGACGCCTGCACAGGTGAGGAATCGCTTAACCCGAGTCGGAAACCAGGGCAAACCCCCCAGCATGGGGTGTCGTTATTACTATTTGCATTAGCAGAGCTCGTGGGCCGGGACCCCACCGTGCTGGGTGCTGTACGATCCCGCAGAGGCTGCCCAGCCCTGCAGAGCTCCCAGTCTGACTAGGCCGGACACACACAGGGCGGGAGGGGAAACGGGCCCAGAGAGGGGACGTGGCTTGTGCAGGGTCACCCGGCAGCAGGGCCGGGAACAGAGCCCGGAGTCCCGAACCAGAGGACAGCTGCTGGCTCACGCTGCCTGTTCTCAGAGACCCCCCGCCCTATGGCTCGGGTGCCCTGGCGCCTGGGTTTGCTCCTGTGCTCGCTTTGGCTGTGTCCTTATTCAGTTCGCTTCACAGGCACCGGGAGGCCACGTGGCCTAGTGGATACAGCTCTGGCCTGCGAGTCAGGAGAGCTGGATTTGCATTTCGGGGGCAGTGCCTCAGTTTCCCCATTGTACAGATGGGGATAATGACCGTGAGCTGCCTTGTAGCTAGGGATTATTTTCTTTCTGAAAATCTGTGACAATTTAAGCCTGTGGGGGCCTCAGGGAGCTCCTGCAGCCAGGGTGCTGCCTGGAAATGTGATGGACACGTGCTGCAGGAAGGGAGACGTCTGTCTACTCCCATCCCTAGCTCCTACCCCATCCATCCCTCATCCCTAGATCCTAGTGTGTTTATCTGTCTGTTTGTCCCCCTGGTGAATAGCTCCAAGTTCAGAGCCTCCCAGCAGGGACAGTGTGAAATTGACCTGATCCCTCTCACAGCAGCCCTGAAACTGACCAGATTCTTGCCAATTTCCCTTTGCTTCTGCTGCTGGGGAAGCTCTGAGGAGCAGCAGCCCAGACACAGGGCTCCCTGTCTGCAGACTCAGGAAGGCAGCACAGCAGCTGCGAATCATCTCCCCAGCCAGAGGGGCCGGGAACATCAGTGCATTGCTTTGAAATGAGCCCTGAACCCCGCAGGGCTCCCGACTCGGGTCTCTCCCTGAGGGGCAGATTCCCAGCCACAGGGGAATGTTCTTTGCTTTGCCACCCCCCTTTCCGAGTCGAGACTGACCCGTGTCTGGATTCTCTCTCAGCAGCCGAGGGGCTGACGAGTGAGGCCGAGGAGAATCCCGAACAGGACGGTCCGGAGCCAGCAGAACTCTATGGGACGCTACCGGGAAGTTCCCAGAGTCCTCAGCGGGGAGCGGCCTGCGAGCGTCAGGAGGCGGAGAGACCGGGTGAGTCCGCGCCGTACGGGGCGGATTTAAGGGGCCCCCACGGGACCGTGGCCCAGCCCAGAGCCTCCCTGGGAGACAGACTCTTCACCTGCCCCGAGTGCGGGAAGGGCTTCGGCCAGAGCGCGCACCTCCTCCGGCACCAGACCGTGCACACGGGGGAGCGGCCCTACAGGTGCCCCGAGTGCGGGAAGGGCTTCAGCCAGAGCTCGGACCTGACCACGCACCGGCGCGTCCACACGGGCGAGGAGCCCTACGCCTGTGCCGAGTGCGGCAAGCGCTTCGCCCAGAGCTCCAACCTGATCCGGCACCAGCGCACCCACACGGCCGAGACCCCCTACCGCTGCCCCGACTGCGGCAAGCGCTTCCGCCGCACCTCCCACCTGGTCATGCACCGGCGCGTCCACACCGGGGAGCGGCCCTACCGCTGCCCCGACTGCGGCAAGCGCTTCAGCCACAGCTCCCACCTGCACCGGCACCGGCGGGTCCACACGGGGGAGCGGCCCCACCGGTGCCCCGAGTGCGGGAAGGGCTTCGGCGTCAAGTCCACCCTGGTGACGCACCGGCGGGTCCACACGGCCGAGCGGCCCTTCGCCTGCGCCGAGTGCGGCCGGGCCTTCGCCCAGAGCTCCACCCTCAACCGGCACCGGCGGGTCCACGCGGCCGAGCGGCCCTTCCGCTGCCCCGAGTGCGGCAAGCGCTTCCTCCAGAGCTCCAACCTGGTCACCCACCTCATTCTGCACACGGGCGAGCGCCCCTTCCACTGCCCCCGCTGCCAGAAAACCTTCAGCCAGAGCTCCAACCTCAGCCGCCACCAGAGGACCCACGCCGGGCCCCGAGCCTGCCCGTGCCCCGAGTGCGGGGAGAGCGTCCCGCGCGGCACCGGCCTCTCCGCCCACCAGAGACCCCACGCGGGGCAGGAGACCCCCTCGCCGCCCTGCTAGGCCCGGCAGGTCCCCCTGGTCCCCGCCCACCAGAGACCCCACGCGGGGCAGGAGACCCCCTCGCCGCCCTGCTAGAGCCAGCCAGAGTGAGGGGTGCTCTCCCCTATTCCCTCGCACCTCTCCCAAGTATCCGGCCACCCCATCCCTGCTAGCAGCTGATCAGACCCCTCCTCTGGCTCTGCCAAGCCCAGGCAGCCCAGATCCGTTCCTCCTCATGGCTGGGCCCGGAACCTGGCACCTCCCTCTGATTCCCCAGCCATGGGAAACACAGGGGCTGCATCCTGCCCGGCTGAAGTCGTGTCCTGGGAGGCGCTGCCCTCTCCCTTTGGTGCTCCCCAGGGAGCTGGGTGCTGGGGTGGCTCGCATGTAATGGGCTGTGCCGGGGCTTGGCTGGCAGGACGGAGAGCCAGTCCCACTCGCTCTCATTTCTCCGTGTCTCCCCAAGGAGCGTGGCACTGTGCACCCTGTCAGTGGTACCCCGGAGCCCTTGTCAGGAGCTCCCTGCCGCCTGGGGGACTTGGCAAGTGCTGTCACCCCCTTCCCGGCTGTATTTAACAAGCTGTATTTATGATGAGGCATTCCATTCTAGCTCAATGGATAAAAGGCCGATGACATCGTCCTGCGATGGCCGAGGCCACCCGACCGGGCCAGGAGTCTAGCCAGGTCTCTCCTGCCCATCCCTTTGCCTCATTTCTCCTCTTCCCCCTCCCCAGAGAGTTCAGTGCTGGATGGACCCTGCAAGTGATCAATAAACCATGTAGAAAAGACCAGGAGTCGCTGCGTCGGGAAGCTCCAGGGTTTCTGTCGGCTGAGGGTGAGAGTCACGGACCGAAAGTGAGAGGCTGAGAGGGGTGTGTTTGGGGGGACCATGAGTCCCTGATCCCTGCAATGTGGGGAGGTAGGGGCAGGCAGGGAGTGTGGGAGGACGGAGGTACAGGGCTAGGGCCCGCAGGGTTTGTTTCTCAGACCCGGATGTCGAGGCTGTGAATGCTTTGCATTGGGGAGGGATGGGAGGCACCTGATGAGTGTCCGATGGAATTGTACTGATGCCAGAGGGATGAAACAGGTGCCCCCAGGATGGGAGGGGGCGTCTCCTGATTGCTGGGACCCTGAGCAGGGCTGAGGTGTCGTCCCCTCCCCAACTGGACCTGTAGCCAGGCCAAGCCTGTCACTGATGGGAGGGGAAGAAGAGGGGCCCAGCAGCCCCAGCTGGTCCCTTCCGCCCTGGCAGGGATGGCAGAGACAGTCTGTCACCCCCACAAGCAGAGCTGGAAACTCCGGGGGGATCAAAGCCTCTGCCAGGATTGGAAAAGATGACACCGTCTGTGTTGCTGGTGGATGAGGGGTTAATGCAGCAGTGCCCAGTGGCTGCAGCATGTGGGGCTAGCAGTGCCTGATATGGGGCTAGCAGTGCCGGATTGCAAAGGCTGGGGAGAGGCCCAGGACCGGCAGAGGGGTCAGCTCTGGTTCGGTGGCATTCACAGGCAAAAGTCTGGAAATGGCAGAAGATAGTGACATGGCTCAGACCAGTGCGGTGTGGGGCTGTGGCCTGAAACGCCCGGCAAGGCGAGCCGCTGGGGAAGGCTGCGTGAGGAGTGAAGGCGCGTCTGTCTTCCAGGTCACGGGCCTACGGGCAAGGCCTTTAGATGCAGAGGGTCACAGGCAAAGCACATGTATATGGAGACTGATGGAGTCCAAGGCCAGACGGGACCACTGTGATCATCCGGCTGACCCCCTGGATAGCACAGGCCAGAGACCGGCCCTACGATCAATAATGGGGCAGATCTCGGAGAAAACCAGCCAGCTGTGATTTAAACATGGTCAGGGGTGGAGAGTCGACCCCAGCCATCGGTAAATTGTTCCAATGGTTAGTTACCCTCACTGGTAAAAATGTACACCTCGCTCCCGGTCTGACCGTCTCCAGATAGGAAGCGCACCTTGCCGAAAAAGAAGAAACTGTCCTCTTAGTATTGAAATCACAGAGAAACCAGCAACATTTCCATTGGAGCGCACAGAAATGGGACGGAGGCTAGTGCGGAGTGTAAGACGTTACCACGTTAGATGTCTCTGTAGTCCAAACACACGCCACAATTCAAGTCAGCGTGCAAGTTTTCTCGTCTATGTCCCACATCTAAAACAGAAGTGAGGTTTGGCAGTTAGAGGGTAGCTTTGCTCTCTCACCGATAGTGTCACGTTACAAGGGAGAGATCTGAGACTGTCTCTCTCTGGCAATTCTCACTCACCCTGCGGAGACCAGATGGCTGCAGGAGGGAGTAAGAAACCGGGCAGAGCAGAACAAGTGATGTAACGAAGTTGCTAGTTCTCAGTAGCACTTCAAGTTAGGAGCTGAGTTTAAATAAGACAACGCAGAACTGAACCATTAAACAAGGAATTGTTACAGAGCTCTCCCAACAGGCAGGGCAGCTCCCGATGGCGGAAAATACCCAGCAAGACAATTGTGAGCTTGCGGTTAGTTCTTTAAGCAACAGCAAAATAGCTGCAGTAATTTGGTCCCTGTTAGATCAGCCTATCCCACCAAACATGCAAATGTTATTTCTGTGCAATTACAGAGCTCTCCCGGTGAGAAACAAACACAGGGATTTAGCCACCAGCACTTCGTTGCAGGGCGTTCCATTTAACCCTGTAACTCCATCCAGATTCTTAGGAGAAGATTTCAATGCTTAAGGCTATTTCAGGGCTCTATCCCCCCCACGTTTAGAGTGATTTTGCTTGGCATTTCTTTGGAACCAGGATATTTTACTGGTATCTGTGGACGTTGTTAAGTTTAAGAATTTCAATGCAAAGATCCAAGACATTGCTGGGACACAAATCTGAACTAGGAGGGAGATCAGGGTTCTGGAAGATGTGTGCTTTACAGGGCCAAAGTCTGGCTTCCTTCAAAGCACAGAAATTCCCTGTGGAACCGTCGCAGTGAGCACGGCCTGTTCAATCGTCCCATCCTTTGGTGCAAAGGGGGATGGTTCTCTCCCCTTCCTTTTGGTGTCCGGAGTCTCCTGGCGTGATGGTGGGGATGGGGATTTATTATTGTATTTTTACGTAGCTAGGTTTGGCTTGTCAGACAAGCACTTTCTTTCCTCGGGTTTTGTGTATTTGGGACTTCGGACCTCTAAGGTTCCAAAACCCAGGTTCTTGTCCATAAAGGACTTTTAGTTAAAAGAGACTCCCTCTTGGGAGAGCAAAGTTCCTGACCTTTGCGTGCGTAGGAGGGCTCTTCGCCAGTCGGGAGCGAGATGCCCGGGCTTTTCAGACCTCAGGGGCTTTAGATGAAGGCTGCTCTCGGGGGAAGAGAGTCGGGTCTCTTCACGGACAGATCCAACAAACTGGGATTTTGCAACATTTTTGTATATAGTTATTTTCCTATTCAGTTGTATTGAGGGGCTAGCTCGGTTCCAAAAACTGATCAATTTATTGTGTCAATCATCAGCCATTGGGCAGGCCCGGATTTTGGGGTAGATTCAGTTGCAAATTGTAAATTTGTCCAACAGTGTCACTGCATGTTTCTTACCCGTCCAGCTGGCCTGCTGGATCCAGAAATACCCACCTTTCCAGGGCGCCCAGCCTCCCTGGGAATTCCTTAGTGGCTTCTTCAGCACTGTTGATTCAAATGTACACTGGCCGAGTCGTTTAAATGTCGTTTGGCTCGACTTTCTGTTGTTACTTCCTGGGCCATTTCAGCATAGAAAGAAAGCTTCTGCTGTAACGTGGTAATTATTTTCTGGGAGTTTTGCTACATTGCAGAGTTTCATGGTTTGTTCTTTTTTCTGCTGGTTCTTAACTTTAATTTGAGGAGAGTTCATTCCATCTTTCTCTTATGAATAAGAAGTTTTCCCCAATTTGATTCTAATTTTAAACAACTTCTAGGTTTATTATCAAAACAATCTCCTAATTCCCAGTAACTAAAATATTCTGGCTATCCCAGGCATTATCCTAAGTAACTTAAAACATTAGTAAAATAAGCAAAAATTCTATTTCTAACTCATAATATGGTGTAATATCACATGTATAATGAAAATGCCAATTCCTGTATAGACCATCTCTAGACCAGTAGTGTGTAAGATACACTTCCACAGTAATTCTCATACTAATACCAAAAACTGTTTCTAAGCTAATAAAAAAAAACTAATTACAAACCAAAATTATAACAAATGTAGTTATATGTATTGAGGCAAATTGTAGGATTTTGTTACAAAAAAAGAATTGAGAGTTGTTACCTTGAGAATTAAATTCTAATTTAAATCTGGGAACCTTGGTGTGAACTTGGACATTAATTCACTCCTTGGCGTACATCTCAAAGCGTTTACATTACAAGAAGGGCACCGGGGTCAGGTTTAGTGTAGAGATGAGAGATCTCCCCAGCACGAAGGGAGTCTGGTGTAATAGCTGTGACCTCATCTCTCCTGGACAGTGGTGCCTCGTACGGCCGAGTCTTAGCTACTAGGAGTGTGTTTAACGCGACACAAGACTTACACTATGGCCTTCGTTTGTAAATTTCCATGCAACTTTTCAGAGAACGATGAACATAGTTGGTTTAAAACGAAACCTGACGGGAGCCCGTGATCAAATTACATCTTATGCCCGATTTGCTCGATGCTTTAGCCCAGGATCGTGACTTCTGCGTAGGAGCTGTCCAAGCACAAGGACAAGGGTGGGTGAGTAAATGACTCTCTTGAATACTGGAGTGTGGGGTGTCCGTTTGCCATCTAGTCTCACTACTGTATGCCGCCTTCAGACGGAAGTGATTCAATCCCTGGCTCCAGAGGGGGCTCTGGCTCAGGAAGGAGGAGGGGAAAGGCAGTAACACAGTCTTTACGACAGTGCAGGTTCAGGGAAAGGTGATTCTGCCCTTTAGCGTGGTCTGGGCCTGGTTTCACGCCAGCTGGTCCATTAGACCATTGCTGTAGGGCTGCTAATTAAAGGAATATCAACACTGGGTATTCAGGGGTCAGATTTAACCCTCTAGGCCTGACAAGGAGAAAAACCAGCTATTGGCTGACTCTGGGGCAGGCGAGAGGAGCGGTTGGGGGGGGGGGGGGGGAGGGCTGGAACCCAGACACTGGTGGGCCAGGGGTGCCTGTGGGAATCAATGCACAGCCCCAAGGAGGAGGGCTGGGGGATCCCTTACCGGGGGATGGTGCTATGGGAGCAGGGCAGGAGGTGGCCCGTGGGAAAGACTCCGCGGAGAGGCCAGGGGCTGCGGGGGCACAGACAGGGCTCCCTGGCTCAGAGGGGCCTGGGAACCCAGAGCTAGGGGGGAGTTGGGAACCCCAAGAGGGAAGGGTCTAGGCTGGAAGGGCTAATGGAGTACTCAGCAGCGAATGCCTTATTGGGGGAACTGGCACAGGACTGAGAGCAAGGTGCCAGCAGGGCCGCACTGTGCCAGAGGCCCATCTACCCCGGTATCCCGTCTCTGCTTGTGGCCAATGCCAGCTGCTCCAGGTGTAGGATGCCCCCTTGTGGACAATTGTGGAATAACCTGTTTCTGGGGGTCAGTTTTTAAAAAAACCACTCGGGGTTGGATGCTCTCCTTAGCCATAGGAGCGTCCAGTCCTGCTAAGCTCTTTATGTCAGCTGCATCTTGTGGCAATGAGTTCCACAGGCCAGTTGTGCACTGCATTGAAACAACAGCCTTTCCCTGGTGTTTTATGGCCTGCTCTCAGTGACTCTTGATAACCTAGTGCAACTATCCGGTGGTTCTGGGTTTGGGCAGCAAATACACAGAACCGGATCCCTGACTGAGCGACCCCGGTAACCCCTTGAGCTTCATCCGTAATGCGCCCTGGAGTTCTCTTGTTTGGCCCCCCGCCGACAGATCCTTCACCCCGGGATTAACTCCATGGCTGAATTGCTTCTGCCTGCCACCAGGAGTCAGTAATGAGCCCAGGTCCAGGCAAGCCACTGAAATGACTTTGTAGTGGTGTGTTTCTGGCACACGAACTTAGCACAAAGGCGGGTGGGGAATAGGATCAGGTCATAACCTCAGGAGACTCAGGTTCTATTCCCAGCCCTGCCACTGGGTGAATGTGGACAAGGCATTTGCCATCTCTGTGCCTCAGTGTCCCCTGCCGCAGTTACTGTCCTGACTGTGTACATTGCCAGCTCCTTGGGGTAGGGCCTGTCTGTCCAGCGCCTGGCACCGGGGCCCTGGGCCGGGATTGGCTGGCAGGCACTATTGTAATGCACAGGATGGAGGTTTCTGCAACGTTATCTACAGACGTTGTCTACAGAACCTGTCTGCTAGTTACAGACGAGAGTCCGAAGCTTGTACCCTGAAAATAAAGGCTTGTTTCATCGCCATGGCTACTTGTTATTTAAATGCCTCAAATCCGGGGCCCAGTCCTGCAGCCCCTGGGCCCAGTCGTGCAGCCCCTGGGTGGTTCTCAGCCCCTCCACACGGCTTGTCATCCACAGATCTCCAAGCTCTTTACAGAGGAGAGCATTGTCATCCTTCTCCTACAGAGGGAAAACTGAGGCAGGGAGAAGGGACAGGACGAGCCCAGCTCCCTGTGCAGTGAGCCTCTCTCAGAACTGTGCAAAGGCCACTTAATTTTAATCCCCTTTCCCTAGCTGGATGCCCCAGCCCCCAGCAGCTCTGCCCCCCGAATTTCACTGACCGGCCCAGCTGGGCTGCCCTCCACACAGGGTGATCGGACTGGGGGTGTCTCTGTGCCTCCTGGAGTGACGTCTCTGTCACGGAGTCCCTGGGCGATGCTCTGGAACTGCTCCCCATGAAGTCAGTCAGGACTCTGGGGCAGTCGCCTTTCTGTGAGCACCCTGTCTGCAGGACACACAGCTCACACAGCTTCCACCTTCCTGGGTCTGACCTCGGAGCATTCAGCATCCTCTGCCCCTCCGTGCGCTTCCCACAGCGAGTCCGCTCAGGCGGGGCTCCTGGGGAAGCCAGAGGGTCCTGCACCCCAACTTCGCAGTCAGACGTGACTCTCAGCCAGCCAGTAAAACAGAAGGTTTATTAGACGACAGGAACATGGTCTAAAACAGAGCTTGCAGGTGCAGAGAACGGGACCCCTCAGCTGGGTCCATTTTGGGGGGCAGTGAGCCAGACAACCACGTCTGCACTTCACTCCATGTCCCAGCCAGCCCCAAACTGAAACTCCCTCCAGCCCCTCCTTCTCTGGGCTTTGTTCCTTTCCCGGGCCAGGTGGTCACCTGATTCCTTTGTTCTCCAACCCTTCAGCTCTCACCTTGCAGGGGGGGAAGGGCCCAGGCCATCAGTTGCCAGGAAACAGGGTGTTGGCCATTCTCTGTGTCCAGACTCCTGCACACACCTGCCCTCTAGGGCTCTGCAATGATCATACACCCTTACCCCACCACCTAGATACTTAAGAACTGCATAGGGGAAACTGAGGCACCCCCACACTATTCAGAGGAAACATTAAGAACAGGCCCACTTCGTCACATCTCTCCCCCCTTCGAGATTGAACTGAGCGGGGTCACTTTACCCGGTGACCTGGGGAAGTTCGAAGCCACCAATGTTCCCATGGATGCCCCAGCATCTCTCCCATTCCTTGGTAGGAGTTACACCAGGCCCTTCCAGTTTCACGCCCTCCCTTAGGTCGGGGGTGGTCAATAGCACTAGCAGGCTGCATGTGGGAAGGTTTCTGCAGCCCATGCCCTTTGGCCACCCCAAAAACCCCAGGGGGTCAAACTGGGATTGGGTTTTCTCCCAGAGCTCCAGTCTGGAGGGCTGCAATTCGGGCTCTCTTGGTTAAGGGCCCCCATCTTGACCTGGGCCACATACTGTTCACTTACAGAACTAGCATGGAGACATCCCTTTCTCCACAACCTTGTCTCCCCAACAAGCTGGCCAAACACAGCCACTTGGTTATAGGACGGTATACCTTTCTTAATAGCTTTCACTCCATCTGAGACCTTCTCAAAGCTCTCCACACTGGATCTTTCAACAGGAAAGTCAGTGGACCCATTCACAACAGAAAATTTCTGGCTGTTAGGAACTGAAACTTTCTTGATTAAATCACTTTCACACCCTTCAGTGGCAGTAAACTGCTTGCAAAGACTCCATGAGGATTCCTTTCCCGAGGGCTTTTCTATGCAACAATTCACCCCCTCCCAGAAATTCTGCTCTTACCCTCTTTACCTAGGGCTTGCTCTAGGGGAACACTTTCCTGAGCAACTACAGACTCTTTCTGGGTCTCCCTTACATCCAGAATCACCTCTGGCCCATCAGGCGGATTCCTACACAATCCCCTTTCATGCAAACTTACAGACTTCCTAGATAAAAGGTTAGAAGCATTCTCCTTCCCTTTGCCACACACAAGTTCAGGAATCTTTTCCTTCTTGCTACAGGTTTCCACACCCTCAGTAGGTTCCACAATCACATCACCTTCCTGCTCTCCTTGTGCCCTGGCTAGGATCTCACCCTGATTAGACAGAGTTGCTACACCCTTTCCAACAACACACTAGCAACAGGCAAAATACAAGCACCAGAATTGTCTGGTCTCGGGGATTTTACATAGACCCTAACTGGATGCGACCTAGTTACAGGGCCATTCTCCCGAGCAGACAGAAACTTAGGACCCTTCCCTTCCTGGGCTTTAGCTGAATCCAGAACCAGCTCTGAGACAACTGCATGACCCTCAACCATCACAGGCTGAAAGGCCCCTTCTGTCTGCTCCACAGACCAAGAAGAGCCGGACACACTTTCTCCTTTACCAGACACACAGGTTGGGATCTCATTCCCTTTGTCCCAGCACACAAGGCTGGTCACAGACAACTGCTTGGAGATCAGGGTAGCTCCCTCCATAGGCAAGTCAATACCCCTGACAGACAGAGACCCATTTCCTTCACTGTCCCAATTCTCCACCCAGCTAACAGGTAAGGTCCAGGGACTCTCATCTTCCACTCTCCTCGCCTTCCCACCCTGCTGACTGGACACAGCCATCAGCTCACAAGGCTGCCTAGGCTCATCCAGACTTTCCTTACCAAGCACCTTGCCACTCCCCACAGATCCCCTGCCCTGCCTGTGTCTCCCCCACTCAGCTGGGGTCTCAGCTCCCACTGTGCTCAGCGCTGCCCTTGCTGTCCCAGTGGGGGCAGGGAGCATCTCTCTGTCCCACCGAGTCCCAGGGGTCTGGTTACAGGCAGGCAGGTAGCCTGAGCCTAGCGGCTCCTCCCTGCTGCCAGCCAGGTCATCTGCATTTTCACTGACCATTTCCCTCTCCACCGATTGGTTCCCTGGATTCAAATTCAAACCCTCGGCAGTTACAGGAGCAGGGCCTGGATCCTGTCCCAAAGAGACACAGTCACCCCACAACAGGGTCTCGCAGCTGGTGTCCTGGGGCACCCCAACGGCCAGCCAGCCCCACCCCTCCTGGGTCTGCACAGGGATCTGGGCCATAGGCAGGGCGAGGGGCTTCGTCCCTGGGACCCTCACCCAGCTCACACAGGCCCTCAGCCTCTGAGGCTGCACCACCCAGGGTCTGACACCAGTTCTCTCTGTCCCAGGATCTCGCCACCCCAGGAATGTCTCCCCATTGACCATCCCCTTCCGCTCCCACTGGGGGTCCGAGGGGCCTGACCCCAGGGAACTCCACACAGACATATAGGTTGGGGTCAGGAGTGGGAGCCTGTCCACCTCCCCACCCATCTGGCTGATGGAGTCTGTGGCCTTGGGACCCAGCAAGGGAGCTAGACACCGGGGCTTTTCCGCAGGGTCCCCCTGGTTCAGATCTCCAGCCTGCTCAAAGGCAGTGAGGTGGGCATCCACACCCCCCCCTTAACTAGGGGCAGCAATTTAGTCTCGAGGTTCCCTGCGGAACTGGCCCCCAGGGATCTATCCCCACTCACCCCGGGGAGGTCCCCTAGGCCTCTCCGCTCCCCCACCGCCAGTTCATGCTGCTGCTGCTTCTGCAGCTCTTTCTCGGGCTCTCGCTGTCTCCCACGGTCCTCTTGCTCTCTCAGACTCCGCTCCAATCCCGTCCGTCTCGATCCCCCGATGGCGAACCCGATCGTGAAGACCCCCGTCTGGTCGGGGACAGGAGTCTTGGCGATGCCTGGCTCCCGCTCCAGCTGCTCCCAGATCCTGCTATAGCCCCAGTTGGGGTCAGGAATCTGTTCCTTAGAGCGGTCATCCTCCTCCAGCTGCACGATTAACTCTGCTTTGGTGAACTTTCCAACGCTCAACCCTCTCTTTCTGCACAGGGTTACAATGTCCTTCTTAAGGAGACGGTGACAGGCCATCACTCCGCTCCTCCCAAGTTGTTGTGGACTCACAGGCCCGTGTGCTCTCAGCTCCCCACGGTTTCCAGGGAGAACCCCTAGTGTGCCAGCCCTTCTCGAGGTCACCACCTCTTTGCCAGGGTCGAGCTGCAGACTCCTCCGCCCCTTGGACTGCTCGCTGCAGTCCCCAGGGGAACCCTGTTACTGCACAATCCTTCTCGCTGGTCACACACTCCCAGGGGTTAACCGCCCCCGAAACCGCTCCTCTCTGAGCCTTCAGCAGGCCTGGTCCTCGGCAATCCCCCTTCGTGTTACTGCTCCCCAGTCACTTACTGCAGGAAGCACCATCCACGGGGTGCAGTACATCCCACCGCTGCCACCAGTTGTCACGGAGTCCCTGGGCGATGCTCTGGAACTGCTCCCCATGAAGTCAGTCAGGACTCTGGGGCAGTCGCCTTTCTGTGAGCACCCTGTCTGCAGGACACACAGCTCACACAGCTTCCACCTTCCTGGGTCTGACCTCGGAGCATTCAGCATCCTCTGCCCCTCCGTGCGCTTCCCACAGCGAGTCCGCTCAGGCGGGGCTCCTGGGGAAGCCAGAGGGTCCTGCACCCCAACTTCGCAGTCAGACGTGACTCTCAGCCAGCCAGTAAAACAGAAGGTTTATTAGACGACAGGAACATGGTCTAAAACAGAGCTTGCAGGTGCAGAGAACGGGACCCCTCAGCTGGGTCCATTTTGGGGGCAGTGAGCCAGACAACCACGTCTGCACTTCACTCCATGTCCCAGCCAGCCCCAAACTGAAACTCCCTCCAGCCCCTCCTTCTCTGGGCTTTGTTCCTTTCCCGGGCCAGGTGGTCACCTGATTCCTTTGTTCTCCAACCCTTCAGCTCTCACCTTGCAGGGGGGGAAGGGCCCAGGCCATCAGTTGCCAGGAAACAGGGTGTTGGCCATTCTCTGTGTCCAGACTCCTGCACACACCTGCCCTCTAGGGCTCTGCAATGATCATACACCCTTACCCCACCACCTAGATACTTAAGAACTGCATAGGGGAAACTGAGGCACCCCCACACTATTCAGAGGAAACATTAAGAACAGGCCCACTTCGTCACAGTCTCCCCTCAGCCAGTCCCTGCCGGGGGGCAGGGGAGTAATACAGCTTAGTCGGTTCTCAGGTCTCTTTGGGGCTGGGGGAGGAGGGATTCTCACTGCCCCAGTGAACACGAAAACAGAGAGGGCCGAGCTCAGGGAGCTGCTCTTGGGGGTCTTCTCTCCGTGAGGGTCTGGGGAGCTTCATCCCACAGCACAGACGGTGGATCGGGCGCTGTGGAGAGGGATGGGAGATTGGGGGTGATGAACGGGCAAAGTGCGCTGCTGAATGGGACCATCGGGGGAGTCACTCACCTGGAGAGACTGGGAGTGAGTCCAGTGCAGAGACCCCAGCATCTCTCCACCGGGCTGCAGGGTCTGGGACAAGGGGGGGTCCCGTCACTGGTGCAGGCTGCCTGAAATGGGGGTGCTGGGTGGCAGGGGCCCCTCCCACTGTGTTGACCTGTAGGCTAAGGGCCCCCTAATATTCCAGGACACAGGCTGGGTAAAATCAAAGGCTAAGCTAGCTCCGTGGACTGCAACACGATAGAACGGCCGGGGGGTGAGTGTGAATGGGGGAAAGATCCAAAGGCGGGCTGGGGTTTGTACCTGCAAGTTCAGATCTGGTTCACCCTGAGGCAGGGACGGGAGCTGGCCGGGGCCGGCTGGGCCCAGACACGCCTTTCCCCCAAGGTCTGGGGGGTCGGATGTGGGGGTCGGTGCAGGCTGGTGCCCAGCTGTGGGTATGGGTTCCAGACCGTCTTGCCCTCCAGCATGAGACCTGGGCGGCCGGCAGCACGGGGGGGTTCCCGCAGCACAGACACGACGGGGAGGCTACAGCCCTGACTCCCCCGCTGGGCTGGGGGCGAGGGATGCGAACCCCCCCCCCATGCCAATGGAGCGAGGCTGAGCCTGGAGCGGGTCTGCGAGGGGCTCAGGAAACACTTGGAGGACGGGGAGGAGAAGCTGCAGCGGAGAGGTGAGGGGGGCCGGGAACCCAGGGGACACTCATCTCATTTTAGACCCCCCCACGCCCCGCACTCTGCCTGCAGCCTGCCCTTCCTCCCACCCCTTTGGGGACACCCCTGCCCCTGTGATCCTCTGGGCTCCTCACTCTGGGTCTGTGTCACTGTGTGGGGTGAGGCCGGGGGGTGGTTGCTGGCTGGGGTACGAGGGGGCATTTGGAGGGAAGGGGTGAGCCCGGCCCATGGGTGACCCATAATAGGGGAGGGGGCTTCCGGGATCCCCCTCACCCCCCTGTTCTGTTTCAGATGCGAACCCGGAGCCGGGCGCCCCTCTGGGGCTGGGCACTGGGGTGCCTGTCGCTGTCACTGCCGGGGCCGCCAGCTGGAGACAGACGCGCTCGGGGGGGGCCCGGGATGGGGGATCGTGGACCGGCTGGGCCCTGCGCTGTGCAACTGGCTGAGCCAGAGCTCCTGGGGACAGCTGCGGCCAGGCCAGACCCAGACACGGGGGGCCAGTTCCCCTCCCTCACCCCTGGCTTATCCTAGAGCCCAGGGTGTCCGTCCTGGGGGTAGCCTAGGGGGTTTATGCTCCCTGCTCTCAGGTGCATTACAGAGCAGCTGCAGCCTCACACACTGATGCATTCGCAGCCCCCCAGGGCGGGATCCCCAGTGTAGAGACCCCCTCCCCGCGATGGAACGTGACCAGGGCCCGTTTCGTCAGTGGGTCAGGAACAGGGCATAACATGGGGGCAGGGAGCGTGAGTCCTGCTCTGACCACTAGCCCCCACTCCTCTTCCAGAGCTGCGGAGAGAACCCAGGAGTCCTGGCTCCCAGCCCCTCCCCCCTGCTCTAACCATTACACCACCCTGCCCAGCCAGGTGTTTACCCTGGGGGGAGGTGCCACCCTCTGTGACACTTTCACTTTCAGTCCCCAGCTGGCAGACGGTACCAGGTGATGGGGCAGCCGCTCGATCGTGGGGCTTTCTCGGCTGGCCCGGCCCTTTCTGGGGCAAAGTCCCCGTCGTGAGGCCCCAAAGTCCCCGGGGCGAGGCCCGGGACAAGGTGCACTCGGAGAGTCGCTCTGTTGGGGATCCCGGTGGGGAGCCAATGTAGGGGGGAGAGTGACCGGGCTCAGCATGGCTGTGCCCCTCCCCCTCCTCCTGCTGGGGGTCTTCGCCATCCCAGGGGGCTGTTGCCGTGAGTATTGGGGTGCTACCCCCCAGCACAGGGGGAGTGGCAGGATCCTGTCCCATTAGGGGCTGCGGTGACCTGCGCTAGGGGGATGGGCCAGGGGCAGGGGGGCTTGTATTGGGGGGAGGGGCTTTGGGGGCTCAAATCCAGACCCCCGCCCAGGGCCCAATTCTGCTCTTGGCCTCCTGGCTGTGAATCAGGAGCGAGCTGCTACCGGGGGGTGTAAAATGAGTGCGAGGCCAGAACCGAGCCCCGGGTGGCTAGCTGGGCACGGGCACCCCCCAACCCCCATAGCCGGGTGTCCTGGGGAAAGAGGGGGTGTCCCGGAGAGGGGTACGGCTGCAGGGAGTGGGGAATCCCTGCCAGTTGTTATGCGGGGGGGGGCGGTACAGGGAGCAGGGCTGCCTCCCAGCTGGGCTCAGCTCCTGATCCGAAGGAAGTGGGGTTAGAGTCAAACTGCCAAGGTTTAACCCTGTCTGTGTTTGGGTCAGCCCTGCCCCACTTCCTTCCCCACGACGTTAGGCATGTCACGACTTCTGGCCATGCCTCAGTTTCCCCTCCCATCCTCCCCGCTTTGCCCCCTCCCTGTGGGACACTGGATTTTGCGGTGACGGCCTGCCTAGCCCCCCTGTGGTTTCGTGCCCCCATCTGGCGAGCGCCCAGCATGAGGTGGGTGAGGCCGCCAGACAATAATTGCTGCTGTTAATGAGGGCCCTGGTCATGCCATGCGCTGCATGGACCCTGCTCAACTGAGATTGGGCCCCCCGTCACGCTGGGCACTGCATGGACCCCTGGTCCAACAGAGAGTGAGGCCCCATCTACCCCCTCGCAGTGTGGGGCGGGGTCCCGGCTCGCCCTGGCGGCTGGCTGGGGAAAGGGGCTGCTGGCTCTGGGGGGGGTCTCTCCCCCTTGCAGTGTGGGGTGGGGTCCTGGATCTCCTCAGGGCCTGGGATAGGGCGGGAGGCTGCTGGCTGGTGGGAGGGGGGTCTCTCTCCCCTGCAGTGTGGGGTGGGGTGCCGGCTCACCCTGGGGGCTGGGCTGGGGGCGGCTGGCTGACGGGGGGTCTCTCTCTCTCCCCCCCCAGGCCCGCACTCGCTGCGCTATTTCTACACGGCGGTGTCGGAGCCGGGCCCGGGGCTGCCCCAGTTCACCGTGGTCGGGTACCTGGACGACCAGCTCTTCTTCCATTTCGACAGCGAGGTGAACCAGGCCCAGCCCCGCGCCCCCTGGATCCGGGCCGAGGGGCCCGAATACTGGGAGCGGCAGACCTGGATCGCCCGGGGCTGGCAGGAGGCCTTCAACGGCAACGTCCGCATCGCCATGGAGCGCTACAACCAGAGCCGGGGTGAGGGGCCGGGGGTCGGAGCGTGGGGCCTGGCGGTGACCCCACAGCCCAGGACCGAGGAGGGACCCCAGAGCCCGGGACCGAGGAGGGACTCTGGTCTGTCTCCATCCTCCAGCCCTGGCCCCAGCGGTGACCCCAGTCCCGGGGACGACCCTGTCCCATATCCCTGGTCCTAAGCAGTGACTCCATCCCCCATCCCCAGGTCTGGCAGTGACCCCGTCCCTTGTCCCCATCCCCAGCAGGGACCCCATCTCCGGGCCTAGCCGGGACCCCCATCCCTGTGGTGACCCTGTCACGGAGTCCCTGGGCGATGCTCTGGAACTGCTCCCCATGAAGCCAGTCAGGACTCTGGGGTAGTCGCCTTTCTGGGAGCAGCCTGTCTTCAGGACACACAGCTCACCCAGCTTCCACCTTCCTGGGTCTGACCTCGGAGCATTCAGCATCCTCTGCCCCTCCGTGCGCTTCCCACAGCGAGTCCGCTCAGGCGGGGCTCCTGGGGAAGCCAGAGGGTCCTGCACCCCAACTTCGCAGTCAGATGTGACTCTCAGCCAGCCAGTAAAACAGAAGGTTTATTAGACGACAGGAACATGGTCTAAAACAGAGCTTGCAGGTGCAGAGAACGGGACCCCTCAGCTGGGTCCATTCTGGGGGGCAGTGAGCCAGACAACCACGTCTGCCCTTCACTCCATGTCCCAGCCAGCCCCAAACTGAAAACCCCCTCCAGCCCCTCCTCCTCTGGGCTTTGTTCCTTTCCCGGGCCAGGTGGTCACCTGATTCCTTTGTTCTCCAACCCTTCAGCTCTCACCTTGCAGGGGGGGAAGGGCCCAGGCCATCAGTGGCCAGGAAACAGGGTGTTGGCCATTCTCTGTGTCCAGACTCCTGCACACACCTGCCCTCTAGGGCTCTGCAATGATCATACACCCTTACCCCACCCCCTAGATACTTAAGAACTGCCTAGGGGAAACTGAGGCACCCCCCCACTATTCAGAGGAAACATTAAGAACAGTCCCACTTCGTCACAGACCCCGTGCCCAGACCTGGCGGTGACCCCGTCCCTTGTCCCCATCCACAGCAGGGACCCCATCTCCGGGCCTAGCCGGGACCCCCATCCCTGTGGTGACCCCGTGCCCAGACCTGGCGGTGACCCCGTCCCTTGTCCCCATCCCCAGCAGGGATCGTAGCTCTAGGCTGAGCAGTGACCGTACCCCCAGCCCTCGCCCTGCCCTGGGCAGTGCCCGTCACCCTGGACAGAGGAGAAACCAACCGTCACCCCAGCCCCGGGGAACCCCAGCCCCAGTGCTGAGCGGAGCTGTGACCCGACCCCGACCCCTGGGCTAACAGTGATCCGACCCCGGGCCAAGCCCTAACCCCGACCCTCGCGCTGAGGCCAGGCAGAGCAATAACTGCAACCCTAATCCCAGCCCTGAGCTGAGCTGTGACCCGAGCCCTGACCCCTGGCCGAGCCATGTCTGACTGAGCCCCTTCCTTCCCCACGACATTAGGCCTGTCACGACCTCTGGCTATGCCTCAGTTTCCCCTCCCATCCCCCCCTTTGCCCCCTCCCTGTGGGACACTGGATCTTGTGGTGAGGGCTGCTGCTCGCCTGACACCCTGCCTAGCCCCCCTGTGCTTTCGTGCCCCCATCGGAATCGAGTTCAGTGGCAACACAAGTGACTCACCCCAGGGTGCCTGCGGGGGCTGGGCCGGGGGGGCAGCGAGGGGCCGTGGCCCCGAGTCAGGTCTAACGAGCCACGTCAGGCGCCGTGGCCAGGGCTGTGGCCTCACCCAGCCCCGTGGGTGTCTCTCCAGGCCTGCACACCTTCCAGTACGCCTACGGCTGCAAGCTGCCGGCGGACGGGGGCTTCCGGCAGTACGGCTACGACGGGCGGGATTTCCTCTCCTACGACACCCGCACCCACACCTGGGTGGCCTCCAGCAAGGAGGCCGAGATCACCAAGGGGAAGATGGAGGCCGACAGCCACCTGAGCCAGCAGCAGCGGGACTATCTGGAGCGGAAGTGCGTCGAGTGGCTGCAGAAATACCTGGACTATGGGAAGGAGATGCTGCAGAGGAGAGGTGAGGGGGGCAGGGAGCCCCGCACTGCAGAGACTCCCCCACTCCCTGGCCTGTCTGAGACACTAATTAGAGTGACCCAGGGCTGGGTTACAGGGCAAGACCCCTCGAGGTCAGCTGAGCCTTTTGGGGGGTCCCCATCTGTGCCATGCCGGCAGGGTGCAGAGATGGCTCCCCAGTCAGGTCCCACCTCCCCCTGCCCCTGGGCTCCGGGGAGGGGCAGGTCCCCGTGGTGTGTTTCCCAGGCTCTGACCGCTCCTGCTTTCCAACGACTGGACCATGGGGGTGCCAAGGGACACGGGTGCTGCTCACTGGCCCTAACCCAGCGGCCTCCCCCTCTGCCCCCTCATCTCCCCAGAGCGCCCGGTTGTGCGAGTCACCGGCAGAGACGCCCCCGGCGGCCTCACCACCCTCTCCTGCCGGGCCCACAGCTTCTACCCCCGGGACATCGCCGTGAGCTGGCTGCGAAACGGGGGGAGCAGAGAGCAGGAGACGTGGCGAGGGGGGGTCCTGCCCAACGGGGACGGGACCTACCACACCTGGGCCACGGTGGAGATCGACCCCCGGGAGAGAGGCCTGTACCGCTGCCGTGTGGAGCACGAGAGCCTGGCCGAGCCGCTCGACACTGCGTGGGGTGAGGCCGGGGTGTGTGGACGCTGGATGAAATGGGGGGGGTCACAGGGTGACTGGCCCTACAGCCCCCCCGGTAACACACTTTGCTCACCTCCCCAGGAGGAGAAAATGAGCGAAGCCGCAGGACAGGCGGGTCGTGTGGCTGGCGGGGGAGGAGGCTAAGACAGGAACCAGGGGCGGGGGGCACCCCGGAAAGCCGGAGCGAGCTGATAAATGAAGCGGGGTGTGACCGCGGAGCCGGCCTGGATCCCAGCTGGGGCTGGGGTCCCGGGCAGTGAAACGGCGGCTGGAGGTGAAGCGGGCTTGAGAACACGGAGAGCCTGGTGCCAGGCCCCTGTGCGTTGGCGGGAGTTCAAAAGTCCTGTTAACAACGGATTGGAAGGGGAACAGCGAGACCTGGGCCCCGGGGAGAGGGGACACTCGGGAAGGGGCAGGGCAGGGCGCCCGCTTCCCCTGGCCACTGCGGTTTGAAGAATAAGAGACGTTCCTGGAACAGACTCACCGCGGGGGCACGGAGCACGGGGCAGGGTGAAGAGGCAGCCGCGGGGGCGCGAATGGGGGGAAGGACGTGGTGTTTGGGGGGGTCTCTAACTCCCTGCTCCCGTGCAGAGCCCCCGTCCCGCTCTGCCCTGCTCCCGGCGCTGATTGGGGCCGTCGCGGTCGCTGCCCTGCTCTTCGCTGGGACAGTCGGGTTTGTTCTCTGGAGGAGGCGGCGCCCAGGTAATGGGGCGGGCGGTGCCAGGACTCGGGGAGCCACCCATCAGCGTGGGGCGGGCGATGGGGCACTGGGTCATGGGGATGGCAGCAATCCAGCCCCCCGCCTTGGTGGTGTGACTGCCCCACGGGGGAGGGGAGAATGGGCCAGAGACCCCCCCGCTGGGAGCTGCTGAGCCAGAGCCGGGGCCGATGGCGCCGGGTCTCTCTCTTCCCTTCCTTACGCCCGGCTTCCCTGGGGACACTGAGTCACGCGCTGAGCCCCCGGGGTCCGTGGACGCGGATCGGAGCCGGCTCCTGCCCCGGCAGCGGCCGCACTCACTGCGACCTGCCTTCTCTCTGCAGGGAAAACCGGAGCCGGCCACACTCCAGCTCAGGGTGAGCGTGAGCCCGCCCGTGCTGCTGGCAGGTGTGGGGTGGGGGGCCGCGGCCCAGCCCGGGGACCCTCCCCCGGGACTGGGTGCTAACGCCCCATCACCACCGGCTCAGCCAGTCACCCGCAATCCCCTGCGTCGCGCGACGTGCCCCCGGCTCTGCGGGCTGAGCCGGGCCAGGCGGGGGGCCCCCTTGGCTGGCTCTGCCCGGGGCAGCTCCGGGCGATGCCGTTCCCTGTCTGGGGCAGGCCAGGGGGTGGTGAGCCCTGGGCTGGCGGGGTGGGGGGTGGAATCGATTCCTAGGGAAGCGTCTGCCTCGCCGGCACCGGTTCAGGAGACCCTAACCCCCCTTCTCCCCCCACAGCCAGCAACCGGGACTCCAGCTCCTCTCTGGAAGGTAAGGGGGTGACAATGGAGCAGGAGGGATGGCCCGTTAGCCCTTCAGCTCCTGGTCAGAGGCCCCAGCAGGGAGACCAGGCGGGGGTGGGATCTCGCGGGGGGGGGGGTGTATGAATGGGACTTGACGAGTCACCCCCGCACTCCCCAGGAGGGTCATCTGTGAGCAGAGCAGGTAACCAGGAGCCCCCCTTTCCCCGCACTGGGGCCAGGCTCCCCATAGCAGAGCTGGGAGGGACGGTCCCTGAGATCCCACCGCGAGGCCCTGCCACATGGGCCCTTCCTCACCCAACCTCAGGGTCAAGGCCCCCCAGGCCGAGCTGGCAGCTCCCCTGGCCATGGGTGGGTCTAACGGGATGGGTGGGGCTGGAACCCCTCTGAGGGGGGCTGTGACCCCGGGAGCACACCAACCCCCTGGGTTCGGAGACGCTGACCCTGTCCCCTTCTCCCCCACAGCCAGCGACAAAGAATCCAGCAAAGGATCTACCAGGGGTAAGTGCCGGGGGGCTCCAGCCCTGGGGATCGGCTGCAGTCACAGAGACCTCTCTGGGGAGATGCCTTCCCCAGGCCCTGCCCTGGGGCGCCCTGCAGTCCCCCAGCCGGGGGTGGGTCCCCTCTGCAAGGGGGGTCATTCCAGGCAGCAGGGACTCGGGGGGGGGGGGGCTGGGACAGGACTGGGGCTGAGTGTGACCCCCCCTCCCACAACAAAGCTGAGCTGGGACCCAGATACCAGGACCCTCAGATCCTGAACCCCCCCCGGCCATTCCAACCCCAGCTGGGGTCCCTGCACACCCCACACCCAGCCTCCAGCCCTGGTGCGTTATGAGGATTATTACCCCAGAGCTGGGTCTGCCTGGACCCGGCCCCTGCCCCCTTTCTGATCCCTTCCCATGGTCCCTGCCTGGGCTGGGCCATTTCTGGGCCCCCGAGACGTTCTGCTCACCCCCAGTCTGATCCCATTGGGGTGGGGTGTGGGGATCGGCCAGGAACCAGCTCCCTGCTCAGTGCTAACCCCCTTCTCCCTCCCACAGGCAGCGACCCCGGGTATGACACCGGCTCGCAAGGTAAGTGGAGACTCCAGCCCTGGCTGCTCTCTGGGCGGGCAGCTCCCCACGGCCATAGGCCCAGAGACCCCCAGGCCCTGCCCCTCTAGCAGACCAGCCTGGGAGAAGAGCGGGGGAGCTCTGAGCGCCCTGCTCCCCGCAGTGGGGAGCAATGAACCAGCCTGGGAACACCCTCCTCTTCCCCCCACCCTGCCCCAGACAGAGCTGGGAGCGACCCTGCTGGGTATGGAGTGTCTCACCCCCATGTGACCCCACTGCGGGAGGGTCTGGAGAACGGCCCAAGGGTGTGGGGAGCCCCTGTCCGGCTGCAGCGGGTCCCTCTCCGGTGTCAGCCCTGATCCCCACGAACAGACATGGCTCCTGCAGAGGCGACAGTAGAAAAAGGGGGGGCACCTGGGGGAGGCCTGCAGGGGCCACTGGAAAAAAAGGGCAGGAGCCCATGGGGGCTGCGCTGACGTGGGGGCAGCATGTGACCCTCTTTGCCCCTCTGTACTGGAGCCTCTGGGGCTCCGGGCTCCACCCTGACTCCCTGTATCTGGTTCCTGCAGGGTCGGAGGCCGTGATGCAGCCAGGGGGGCACACGGGTGAGGGAGAGACCAGCCGCCCTCCAGAAGCTCAGCAGCTCCTCCCCGGGGGTGTTTCTGTCCCGCTCCACGACGGGGACCCCCCAGCAGGCATCGTCTGGGCTGGAGTCACTCCTGGGCTCTCTCCCGGCCTTGGCCGCTGACTGCCCGTGTGACCTGGACCGAACCCCTCACCCTTTCCCTCTGCCTCAGCGCCCAGGCCCTGGGTGCACCGCTCGCTCGCGGGGCGCGGTGGGTTAAGTACCTGGGATCTGTCAGACTTACAGTGAAAGCTGCTGTGTGGGGCAAGCACCCCTTGATTTCTGCAGAGCCGCGGGTCTCAACCAGGGGACGCGTACCCCTGGGGTGCGCAGAGACCTGCCAGGCGGTACCTCAACCCTGCTGGATATTTCCCCAGTTTTACAACAGGCTGCACAAAAAACACCAGCAAACTCAGTGCAAACCACAATTTCATACCATGACTTGTTTCTGTTGCTCTGCCTAAGGAAAGGTTTCCATTGCTCTGGGTAGTGTACGCTGACATGTAAGTGCAATGTTTATAGTCCAGTTGACTTATCTTATAATTATACGGTAAAAACGAGAAAGTCAGCCCCTGTCCAGTGATCCGACCCCGGGCCAAGCCATAACCCCGACCCTCGCTGTGACACTTCTGTAGTTTTATGTCTGATTTTTAAGTAAGTATTTTTAAGTGAGGTGAAACTTGGGGTGAAACCTGTGAAACAGGTGAAACCTGTTACAGTGTGTCTGGCAACACCCATTGTTTCATGTTCTCTGTGTCTATAAATCTCCCCACTGTATTTTCCACTCTGTGCATCCGATGAAGTGGGTTTTAGCCCACCAAAGCTTATGCCCAAATAAATTTGTTAGTCTCTAAGGTGCCACGACTCCTCCTGTTCTTTTTGCTGGACTAGATCATGTAACTGAACCCCTGGAATAAAGGCCCTGTCTCTTGTGTGCGCCCCATTGTGGCTGGGCATTTGCTGTGTGTCTGTCTGAGCCCGTCTCCCCTCCCAGAGCTGGGCTCTGCTGCCCCAGCGAGCCGAACCGCCCTGTTGCTGAGAACTGACAACTCCAGTCAGTGGTGGGGGATTCTCAGACCGAGGCGGGGGCGTCCCCTGCTGGCGCCGCTGCAGCCGGGCGCTGGGAAGAGCCGGTAAAGCCCAGTGGCTCCGTCACGTTGAATTTAATCTGGATCCGGTTTGAATCAGAGCTGCTCCCTCCAGAACCGCGTACAGCCAGACCCGGCTAACGCCGCGCAGACGTCTGGGTCTGTGCAGGGCAGAGGCACCCCAGCCCCACCCTGCCCCTCCTCAGCCGAGCCAGAGCCGGGGAAGTGCATTCATTGCCCGGATTGCAGTCGTGTCTGGGGGGCGCAGGCCAGGCGGAGACGCCCCCGGCGCCAGGCTGCACAGCCAGTCCCCGCCCCAGGGAGCGGACAGCTCTGGGGAGAGACGCTCAGACTGGTTATGCACGGCACGGCCCTCTGCGGGGGCGGCTGCGCCCAGGTGATCCTGGCCTAGCGAGGCGGTAACGGCATGTCGGTGCCTGTCTCAGGTCGGGGGGGTGCAGCTGGGGGCAAGATCCCCACGGATCCAGCCGGCCTGGGGCAGGGTGCAGCTCCCGTGGGGACTGGCCCGACCGGCATTTCAGCCCCGGCTCCCTGCCGCCTGCGTGTGGCCCGCGCTGGGCCTGGCGGGCGCCAGATGCTGGATAGCAGCAGCTCCGACGCTCCCCCAGAGCGCGGGTCCCCACGTGACGGCCTCGCGCCCCGGCGGCTGAGGAAGTGGCCGGGGAAGAGGAAGCGTGACCCTGCGGGCTGCTGCGAGCACACAGCGACTTCGCCATCCTGTCGCCCCCCCGGCCCCCGGCATGGGGAACTTGTGGCCCTGCGGTGACCGGGGGAGAGTTAAACGCAGCCGCTGTGCCGGTCCCCTGCCCTGGGCTGGGCGCCCCTGTCACCGCACGGGCCACCGCACAAAGTGCCGGCCACGGAGGGGACAGACACACCCCGACCCCCCGGGGAGCTGGGCCTGTTCGCTGGCTTCGATCCAGCTGCCTTCTACTGCCCATGGGAAGGGAGGGGCAGACCGGGGTGGGCACGGGGGGGTCGGGTGGGGCAGGGGAGCGGGCACCGGGGCAGGGAGGTAGGGCTCAGGCAGGCAGAGCCGCAGCAGGCCCGGCTGCGGGGCCAATATGGAGCAGAGTCTCCCCACAATCTACCAGGAGCTTTGTTACTTGCTGTTGAGTTTGTGTGGAAGGTGCCCGGATGCCAGGGTGACGGGCAGCAGGCTAAAACCCCGAGAGAGGCCCGGAGGCAGGGCCTGGAGCGATAGGATGGGTCAGTGGGGAAGGAGGACACGGGCAGGGCGAGGATTAAAGGCGGGGGGGGGGAGTTAAGGGGCCAAGTGGTTGGAGGAGGAGCCCCATTTCCAAGGGGTTTTAGGGTCAGATTTACAAAGTGGGGGGGGGTTCGAAGGGGTTGAAGCAGGTTTGGGGCCTGACTCCTGTCGATTTCAAAGGAGTTACTAGCTATGGAGATCTGACACTAGGGCGCTAACCCCCCCGGGGGGCTCTGAAAGGTTAACACGGGGGGGCTGGGAGCCAGGACTCCTGGGTTCTCTCCCCAGCTCTGGGATGGGAGTGGGGTCTAGTGGGTTAGAGCAGGGGGGGCTGGGAGCCTGGACTCCTGGGTTCTCTCCCCAGCTCTGGGATGGGAGTGGGGTCCAGTGGGTTAGAGCAGGGGGGGCTGGGAGCCTGGACTCCTGGGTTCTCTCCCCAGCTCTGGGAGGGGAGTTGGGTCCAGTGGGTTAGAGCAGGGGGGGCTGGGAGCCAGGACTCCTGGGTTCTCTCCAGGACTAAGGCTCCTAAATCACTTTGGAAAACGCCCCCTGGCAGCGCAGGGGGCAGGCTGAGGGGCAGGTGGGTCATGTGAGCAGGTGGGGGGCGGCTCATTGGGGGGGGGCGGGGGGGCTGGTGTGTGTCCTGTCTGAGCACGGAGGGTTCAGTTCTCTCCCCCCATCTCTGTGACTCTGTAACTGAAGTGCGGGGTGGGGGGAGGCCCCGGGACCCCGTGTCTGGGTGGGGCTGGATGGGGGCGGGGGGTCCCGGGGCTGCCCCCCAGCTGTGCCGGAATCTCACTTCCTCCCTGGCCCGGCCGCGTGGGTCTGTCGCAATGGGCAGGACACGCCCGTGGTGCCCAATCCCCGCGGGGGGGCGGCTCCCGGGTCCGACAGCCCCCCCCCCCCCCCCCCACACAGCACAGCGGGATCGAGCCCCACACGGCATGGGGGGCCCAGGCAGCCTCCTCCTCCTCCTCCCCCTCCTGCTGGGGGGCGCTGAGTCACGTGAGTAGGGGCAAACGGGGGGTTAACCCCTCCCCCAGGAGTGGGGGCTGGGAGCCAGGACTCCTGGGTTCTCTCCCCAGCTCTGGGCGGGGAGTGGGGGCTAGTGGGTTAGAGCAGGGGGGGCTGGGAGCCAGGACTCCTGGGTTCTCTCCCCAGCTCTGGGAGGGGAGTGGGGTCCAGTGGGTTAGAGCAGGGGGGCCTGGGAGCCAGGACTCCTGGGTTCTCTCCCCAGCTATGGGATGGGAGTGGGGGCTAGTGGGTTAGAGCAGCGGGGGTTGGGAGCCAGGACTCCTGGGTTCTCTCTCTGGCTCTGGGGGATATTTCTCTGCCACGGGGAGGGCACAGTGGTATATTTCCCATGGTATTGGGGGAGGGATGGGAGGTACTGCCCAGGTGGGGGAGCACCTGGCAGCAGTCTGGGGTGCCAGTGGATAGTGGGTGAGTTGTAGGGGGCTGGGAGCTCACTGGGGAGTTGGGGCCAGACCCACCCCCCGAGGGTGATGTCATTGGGCTGGGGCCACGCTCAGCTGTGACAGCGACCCCCTCCCCACTGTTGTCGCCCCACATCTGCCCCATCCCCCCTCCACTCTCCCTGCAGCTCTCTGCCTGGCGTAGGGAATCGGGGCTCATGGGCCGTTCGGTGGCAGGGCTGCCCTGCGGTGCTGGGGAAGGGATCTCCGTGTGTCTGTCCATCTGTCCACTGGCTGTGTGTGTCTGTCCCTCCCTCCCTCCCTGCTGGGCATGCATGTGTGTGTGTGCAGCGTCCGTGCCCACACACACACCCTCTGCCCCATTCTCAGCTCGGCTGTTCACTCCCTACTGTGTGTCAGGTGCCCTGCAGTGCCCCCAGATGCTGGTGATTCCCTGTTTGCTCTGTGCTTGAGGAAATGAGTGCGCTGTGCGTCAATCCCCCTTACAATTACATTGGGGGGTTTTGGGGGGGGTCTCTGTGGAGCTGTGGGGACTGCTCTCCCGGCGTTTGGGGAGGGGGGTGCAGACAGATCCCGCTAACACCTCCGTTCCCCCTCCCCCGCAGGGTCGCACTCCCTGCAATACTTCCTGACGGCCGTCTCGGAGCCCGGCCCGGGGGTGCCCGAGTTCACCGTGGCCGGCTACGTGGACGGGCAGCGGTTCGTGGAGTATGACGGCGAGGCCCAGCAGATGCGGCCCCGGGCGCCCTGGATGCAGGCGGCCCAGCCCGAGGTCTGGGAGCAGGAGAACCGCGTCCACAAGGTGCGACAGGCCTGCTTCCGGGGCAAGGTGCGGACCCACCTTCACCTCTACAACCAGAGCAGGGGTGAGTCGGCGCCCACCCGTGGGCAGAGGGGCCGGGGGCACTGGGGTCGAGGAGGGGGAGGGAGGGGACCTGGAGCGCTGCTCTGGGACCCAGGACTCCTGGGTTCTGTCCCCCAGCTCTGGGAAGGGAGTGGGGTCTAGCGGGTTGGAGAGGGGGTGGGGGCTGGGAGCCAGGACTCCTGGGTTCTAGCCCCAGCTCTTTTCCCCTGACCTGCTGAGTAACCTTGGCCAAGTCAGTTCACCTCTAGGTGCCTCAGTTTCCCCTCTGGTTTCTTGTCTCTTTGCCCTGTGAGCTGTTTGGGGGCAGGGGCCGTCTCTCACTGGGTCTGTGCCGCGCCCCCAGTGCGCCGGGGCTCCCTACACCCCTCTCTGTTCCCGGGAATGGCCGGATCAGAACCAAGGTCCATGCAGCCCTGCCCGGCAAGGACCCCGCGGGGGCAGGGGAGGGCTGGCACTGAGGGGGACGCAGGGCAGGGCCCCTGGAGAGGGGCAGGCTCCCTGCCCAGCAGGCTCTGGGGGGGATCCAGGGAGGGGTCGGTCGCAGACCCAGCCGTGGTCCTGGCTCCGTGGGGTCCCCGTCCCAACCCCCCCGGCTCTGCCCCGCCCAGGCTTCCACATCTTCCAGTACGCCTACGGCTGCGAGATCCGGGCCGACGGCAGCACCGGGGGCTTCCGGCGCTTTGGCTTCGACGGGGGCGACTTCCTGATCTACGACGCCGCCCGGCACCGCTGGGAAGCTCCCGCCCGGGAGGCCGAGGCCACCCAGCGCCGGTGGAATGGGGACCCGGTCGCCCTGCAGTATTATCGGCACTTCCTGGAGCGGGAGTGCGGCGAGGCCCTGCACCGCTACCTGCAGCTCGGGCAGGGGGCGCTGGCCAGGCGGGGTGAGAGTGGGGGGCGTTGGGGGGGCGGGGAGAGGGCGGAGGGCGGGGGGCGCGGGGAGGCGGGGAGAGGGCGCCGGGGGGCGTTGGCCAGGCGGGGTGAGGGCGCTGGGGGGCTCTCAGGGGCGGGGAGAGGGCGGGGGGCGGGGTGAGGGTAGGGGGTGCTGGCCAGGCTGGGGGGGGCGCTGAGGGGGAGGGGGAGGGCAGGGGGACTGGGTGGATAATAGGGGGTTCTGGAGAGGCAGGGGAAGGGCGGGGGTGCTGGGTGGGAGGGGGAGGGCCGCCCTCAGGGCCATGGGGCTGGAGGCAGGGACATCCCTGATGCTCCCTGACTCCCCATTAGGGGACACCCCTGCCCCAGGGATCCCCGGGGCCCCTCACTCCGGGTCTGTGTCCCCATCCGGGCCGAGGGAGGGACGCTGGGGCGGGTGCTGGTAATGGCTGGGGGGACCCGGGTGCTGCTCACTGGCCATGACCCTGCAGCTCCCCCTCTGCCCCCTCGTCTCCCCAGAGCACCCGGTTGTGCGGGTCACCAGCAGAGACACCCCCGGCGGCCCCACCACCCTCTCCTGCCGGGCCCACGGCTTCTACCCCCGGGACATCGCCGTGAGCTGGCTGAGACACGGGGGGAGCAGCGAGCAGGGGCCGCGGCGAGGGGGGGTCCTGCCCAACGGGGACGGGACCTACCACGCCTGGGCCACGGTGGAGATCGACCCCCGGGAGAGAGGCCTGTACCGCTGCCGTGTGGAGCACGAGAGCCTGGCTAACCCGCTCGTCGCCGTGTGGGGTGAGGCCGGGGGAGGAGGGTGTTGGGGGGGGGGTGAGCCCCCGTGTGGGCACCGGGGACTGACCCTGTGATGGAGGAGGGGGCTATGGGGCGCTGATGGGGGAGCAGGTGACTGACCCCTGTGCTGGGAGAGGGGGGTTATGGGGTGCTGACGGGGGAGCAGGGAAGTGGGGTCTGTGGGGTCTCGCCGGGTTCCCTTCAGCCACTGTCCTGTCCCCGACACAGAGCCACCATCCGACTCGCGGCTGGTCCTGGTGGTGGCGGGCGCGATCCTGGCCCTGGGGGCGGTCGCCGTGCTGGTCGGCCTGGCCTGGAGGAGGAGGCAGTCAGGTACGGAGCCGGGGCGGGGGGACCCCCAGGCTGCCCCTCGCCCTGCGGTGCAGCCCCAGCACTGGAGCCGTGGGCCTGCCCCACAGGGGGGCTGGCAGGGACACTGATGGGGGACTCAGGGAGGGAGCCGGCCGTTCACCCTGGGGTGTCTTTGGTCCCCTCCCTGCGTGCTGGGTTTATCCGGGGACCCCGACTCCAAGTGTCCGTGCTGGGCTGGGCCCCGGAGAGCGACCAGAGCCGGCTCGTGCCCTCGCTGAAACCTGCCTTCTCCCCGCAGGGCCCAAGGCGGATCTGTACTCGCCGGCACTGGGTGAGTGAGATGAGCCCCGCGCCGGGCTGGGCACTGTCCGTGTCCCCCCCACGGAGACCGGCCTGTCCTCGGCGCCGAGCTGTGCGGTGTGGGGCGAGCTGGGGAGCAGGGTCCGGGCACCACGAACGGCCCAAGGGCGCTGGGCCTGCCAGGACGGTCGCTGTCCTATGGGTCTCCCTGAAACCCGAACCCCACACCCAATCCCCGGGGCCCCTGGCGGGAGGTTCGCTCCCATGCACCTTCCCCAAATGCAGCCTGGAAATCAGGTGTCAGGGCCTGCCTGGGGGTGGGGGTGATTAACCCCTGGAACAGCTGGCCACAGGCCAGGGCAATTCTCTGTCGCTGGCCGTGCTTAGCTCACCAGGGGGGTGTTTGCTCCCGGATCTGCTCTGGGGATCATTGTGGGGCCGGTCGCTGGCCCGGGCTATACAGGACAGGGATGAGATGGTGCCTTCTGGCCTTGGACTCGGTGAAGGGGGCTGATGTTAGCAGCCCCCGAGACTTTAACTGCCCCCCATTAGCACACGCTGAGGTCCCGGGTCTCTGCCGTGACTGGTGCTGCAGAAGGGCTGGGGGGGTGCGTGGAGCCGGGTACTTCGGTCTGGCATCGCACCGTGAGATCCTCAGGGCTGGACCAGCCTGGGGTGCTCCGCACATCCAGCCCCGGTGCATTGTGGGGATTATTACCCCACAGCTGGGTCTGCCTGGCCCTGCCCGTGGTTGGCCCCTATGGCTGGCCTGCTGGCCCCAGCCCGCCTTCCCTGTCGGGGATGGGCCATTTCTTTGCCTCTGTGTTGCAATCTGATCAGCCCCCATTTGTTCTCTGTGGGGCTGGGGGGTGGGGGGCTGCGCCCAGGGGACCGCATCAAACGCCGCCAGACACTGACTCCCTTCCCTTCTCCCCCCACAGCCAGCGAGCATGGATCGGACAGCTCCATCACCGGTACGTGGGGGGGACTCTGTCCCAGGGGAGTCACCGGGGGCTCGGTGGAGACCCCAGGCCTGGCACCTCCTACAAACCAGCCCTGAGCTTCATGCCGGGGTGCTGAGTGCAGGGCCGGGTCCATCTCCCCTCTGCAGAGAGGGTGTCTCTGGGAGGGGGAGAGTTTGGGGTGGTCTCTCTGGGCAGTGGCCCCAAGGGGAGCCCCCCAGTGCCAGCCCCTCTCTGACCCGTTCAGACATGGTTCGGGGTAGACCCTGACTCTCCCGTGTCTCCCTCCTGCAGCTCTAACGTAGCCGGTCGGAGCCGGAGGAGAATCCAGACTGTGAAGACACGGACTGACTGATCCCCACCTCTCCTCAGCGTTATCTCCCTGTTACTCCTTGCGTAGGGCCTCGGAGCTGTGCCTGGTGCTTTGGTGAACGGCCCCACGTCTCCTGAACCTCCAGCCTCCCTGGGACCCACTGCCGGGGGGCTGCCTGCCCTATGCTCTGCGTGTCGGCCACGGGACGCAAACTGGCCAGCCCTGATGGGCACGGCCAGCCCCATTCACTGCACGGTTTATTTAGTGTGTAAGCCCCTCGGGGCAGGGACCACGGCCTCCGTATCTCTGGGGTGCAAGGGTTCTTCACATGGAAAAATCTCAATTTTGGGCCAAAAACTGAACTTTTGGTTGAAAACCACAAAATTCCATGCAGCGAAGCTGCCGCAGTGCCTCGTGGGAGCTGGACTTCGGGTGCCCTGTGCTCCCTCGGTGCAGCATGGGAGTCCCTGCTGGTAGGATCAGCGTGGTCTGGGAGCCAGGACTCCTGGGTCCTATTCCCAGCTCTGCTGCTGGCTCGCTGCGTGATTCCCACCCCTGTTCTGTGCCTCGGTTTCCCCTTCTTGAAAATAGGGTGTCACGGAGTCCCTGGGTGATGCTCTGGAACTGCTCCCCATGAAGTCAGTCAGGACTCTGGGGTAGTCGCCTTTCTGTGAGCAGCCTGTCTTCAGGACACACAGCTCACACAGCTTCCACCTTCCTGGGTCTGACCTCGGAGCATTCAGCATCCTCTGCCTCTCCGTGCGCTTCCCCCAGCGAGTCCGCTCAGGCGGGGCTCCTGGGGAAGCCAGAGGGTCCTGCACCCCAACTTCGCAGTCAGACGTGACTCTCAGCCAGCCAGTAAAACAGAAGGTTTATTAGACTACAGGAACATGGTCTAAAACAGAGCTTGCAGGTGCAGAGAACGGGACCCCTCAGCTGGGTCCATTCTGGGGGGCAGTGAGCCAGACAACCACGTCTGCACTTCACTCCATGTCCCAGCCAGCCCCAAACTGAAAACCCCCTCCAGCCCCTCCTCCTCTGGGCTTTGTTCCTTTCCCGGGCCAGGTGGTCACCTGATTCCTTTGTTCTCCAACCCTTTAGCTCTCACCTTGCAGGGGGGAAGGGCCCAGGCCATCAGTTGCCAGGAAACAGGGAGTTGGCCATTCTCTGTGTCCAGACCCCTGCACACACCTGCCCTCTAGGGCTCTGCAACGATCATACACCCTTACCCCACCCCCTAGATACTTAAGAACTGCCTAGGGGAAACTGAGGCACCCCCACACTATTCAGAGGAAACATTAAGAACAGTCCCACTTTGTCACATAGGGAAAATACTTTCGTTCCTGCCCTGGGGGGGTTGTGAGGGTGCCTGTTACAGGGCCTTGTCCCAGAGGATGTGTGTGTGTGTGTTAATGTCACGGAGCGTGGGGGAGTCCAGGCCCTGCACCCCTCTTCCTGGGATTCACTGGGACTCTCTGGGACCCCCCCCCCCCCGCACCCCGGCTCAGGTGACAGGCTCTCAGGTCTCCCAGGGAAACTCCCCTGCCACATGCCCAGGTCACCGCTCCCTGCTGCGTCACCGTTAGTCTCTGTTTAAAGCACTTTGAAGACTGTTTGTCCCAGCACCCAGCAGGGGAGGGGGAGGGTCCTGGCGCTGGCCGCACTGGGGGGACCCGCAGAACCGGGCTCAGACGTTTCCCTGGCTCTGACCCGCTGCCATCACTGCCCCAGAACCGGGCACAAACTCCTCGCTCTGCCGTGTGCGTTGTCACAGGGATACAGACACGGCCCTTTCCGTGTCCTGCCCTGGCTGTGCACGGCCGGCGCGGGGGGGCTCTGGGCGGCCTCTGGGCCGGCAGCTGCGGGTTCTGTCCCGTGTCCGCGGCCAGGGGCCTGGCAGCTGCTGTCTGGGTTCTCGTCGGCGTGAGACAGACCAGCTGGAGACTGTTACGCCTGCTGTTAAAATCACCTTTTCGTTCGCTATAAAAGTCGACACGAAATGAACCGAACGACCTGTTGCATCCGATGAAGTGAGCTGTAACTCATGAAAGCTCATGCTCAAATAAATTGGTTAGTCTCTAAGGTGCCACAAGTCCTCCTTTTCTTTTTGCGGATACAGACTAACAGGGCTGCTCCTCTGAAACCTCTTTTTACCTCGTGGAAGCGGCCGTGTCAGGCGGTAACGACGGAACGGTTCGTTTGGCCGTTTCCTCCCCACGCAGTTTATTGAAGTCGCCCTGTTCCCAGCATTTGATCGGCCGCATTTCTGAATGCACCGAATTTTTGTTGGGTGGTTTCTAGCCCTGCTGGCACCTGGCAACCACAACACCCCTAAGGGCTCGAACCCGAAGGGTATTTAAACAGAACCAGGATTTTGAAAAACCTCCCTGGGTTTTTTAAGCTGATCTCAAAATGTCAGGGGGCCTGGCTGGTGATTTCTGACCCCTCGCAGTTACGGATCCAGCCTCCCTCCTCGGCAACCCCCCCGCGGGGCTCTCGGGGCAGGCTCCTCAGCGGGTGGAGATCAGCATGGCCAGGCCGGGGGCGATGGAGCTGAGTTACCCCAGTGGGAGGGCTGGCCCATCGGTCCTGGCTATGCTCTGTCTCCCGCTGTGCGGCGTGGATGAAACCCCCCCCACCGCAACACCCCCCGTCCCCGGCTCACAGCCCGCAGGTGAACACAAACGCACCTTTCGGAACTTTTTACAAACTCATGGTTTTGGGGGGCCCGACCCCTGGGGTTCAAATGCCCGGGGCTGACAACGTTGCACCCGCAGAACTGGACCCTGCCCTGCCCTGCCCTGTGGATGGGTTTCCGGCACCAGCCTGCTTCCCACTCAGCATCCACACACGCCCCATTGGCTGGGCCCCTATGCGGCTGGGCGTCTCAGCTCACAGCTATGGGGGGCTGTACAGGGCCCCCTAGAGAAGAGCATGCAGCCTGCCTGGGGACGGGGTGCAAATCCCCTTGTGTCCCGCAGGGCAGGGATGCCGTACACCTGGATCTGAGCTGCCAATTAACGCACCTCACTTACTCTGGGGGAGGCTCACGCCCAGCTGATCTGGCTCTGAGCAGGGCCCAGAGGCACAGACCCAGCTACTCCTAATCAGACGGCACTCTGGGAGCAGCTAATCCAGATCAGCTCAGCGCTGTGTTCGCACCTACTTCATGCGGCTCATATTCGCTGACACGTTGCCCTGGGCCAGGGTGGCTCATTCCAGCTTGTGCCGCAGCCATAACCCGCCCCAGCCCATGGGCCGCTCCTGCCAGTCTCCGGGGCAGGGCAGATTGGGGTTAAATACCCCCAGGTTGAGCCAGCCGGGGCCAGTTTGCCGCTCCACGTGGCAATGCCCCCCCGCATTTCCTCGCCAGCTGGGCCCAGGCCAGCAGGGGATTTCCTGGCTACAGACCCAGCAAACAACCCGCCCTGATTAGCCACTAGAAGGAGCCCGCAGCCGCTTTATTGTGTACCCGTGAGCCAGGCCCTTTCCGAGAAATCACCCGGGAGAGGAGAAACCTTCCCTCGCTGGGCTCCAGAGGGGGCTGCTGCCTCGCCCTAGCCCAGCCTGGGCCTTCCTCCGGCTGGGAGGGGAGCTGGGACAGAGAAATCCCCTGCACAGTGAAATCCCGAGAAATCCCCTGCTCCTCGCCCGCCTGCCCTGCCACGTTCACCCTGGGGCACTAGCTGGGGCATCTGGGGGCAGAAACGCAGGCTGGGGTGGGGGGGTCGGGTGTGACGAAGTGGGACTGTTCTTAATGTTTCCTCTGAATAGTGTGGGGGTGCCTCAGTTTCCCCTAGGCAGTTCTTAAGTATCTAGGGGGTGGGGTAAGGGTGTATGATCATTGCAGAGCCCTAGAGGGCAGGTGTGTGCAGGGGTCTGGACACAGAGAATGGCCGACACCCTGTTTCCTGGCCACTGATGGCCTGGGCCCTTCCCCCCCTGCAAGGTGAGAGCTGAAGGGTTGGAGAACAAAGGAATCTGGTGACCACCTGGCCCGGGAAAGGGACAAAGCCCAGAGGAGGAGGGGCTGGAGGGGGTTTTCAGTTTGGGGCTGGCTGGGACATGGAGTGAAGTGCAGACGTGGTTGTCTGGCTCACTGCCCCCCAAAATGGACCCAGCTGAGGGGTCCCGTTCTCTGCACCTGCAAGCTCTGTTTTAGACCATGTTCCTGTAGTCTAATAAACCTTCTGTTTTACTGGCTGGCTGAGAGTCACGTCTGACTGCGAAGTTGGGGTGCAGGACCCTCTGGCTTCCCCAAGACCCCGCCTGGATGGACTCGCTGTGGGAAGCGCACAGAGGGGCAGAGGAGGCTGAATGCTCCGAGGTCAGACCCAGGAAGGTGGAAGCCGGGTGAGCTGTGTGTCCTGAAGACAGGCTGCTCCCAGAAAGGCGACTGCCCCAGAGTCCTGACTGGCTTCATGGGGAGCAGTTCCAGAGCATCACCCAGGGACTCCGTGACATCGGGTCATGCTGGTGCCTGGCATAAGGTCCCTGTGGATGCAGCATGACCCCCAGCGAGTGGGGGGCTGATGTTCCCCTGGCCCAGAGACACACAGTCTCCCCAGGGCTCTAATGGAGCTCCCAAGGCTGGACCACCAGACAGGTCAGTGCGTGGGGGTCCCTGGGGGAGACCCGACCTCCCCAGCCACCTGCATGGATATTACAGATCCCCCAAGGCACTTTCCATAGGAGCAGGGGTTTGCCCCCACTGTCCTTGGCCAACGTTTCCACCGAGTGTCTGGCCGATGCACTCTCCCCCAGAGATGGCTGCATTTCCACGGGGCTGCGTGTGCTGTGCGTGGTCTGTGAGGCCCTTCGGGATGCAAGGCGCGCTAGCAACGGCAGGAGGGCTGCAACCCTGAGCTACTTCTGCTGCTCCAAGGGAGTCGGATTTTCCACTGCGGTCACTCCAAAAGGCCAGAGCCCAGCGCAGGCCCTGTTGTGCGGGACAACCACATCGGACCGCCAGCCCCTGCCCGGACGAGCTGACAGGCTAAAGGGCAGGACCCCACAAGGAGGGGCTGAGGGGCTGCAGCAGTGGGTCACAGTGTTGCCAGCTCTCACAATTTTGTCACAAGTCTCGTGATATTTGGGGGTTTGGTGTAAAATCCCAGCTGCTGGAGTCCTGGGAGTAGGGGAGAATTTCAGCTTGGTTATTTTTTGTAAAGCACGTCTCACCCTGCTGATTGCAAAGAAAAGCTTAAAACCACAAACCCAAAAGACTCAGAAACCAAATAAGCCCCCCCCCCTCCATTTTTGTAAATCTCATGATTCTTTAGCCAATCTCATGATTTTTAGGGTGTGTAATTCATGATGTTTTAACATGTGGGGCTGGTTATAGCGCATATGAAGAGGTGACGTCTCAAGAGGGACCTGATGGAGAAGGTTGGCAGACTTGCTTGGGAAGCGTTGATAAAATACAATATTCTCCAACACACTGTGTAATTAGCTTGTGGAACTCACTGCCACAGGACGTCACTGAGCCCAAGAACTAAGTAAAACTCACAAAGGGGTTGGCCATTTCTGTGGCTCACAGAATCTCCAGAGCTGGACTAGTTCATGCTGACAATGGGCAGGGATGTCAGACCTCACACCGCAGGGCCTGAGGCGATCTCTGGCAATCACAGGGCAGATTTTGTCCCACAGCTGCTCCTGCGGGCTCTGCTCCTCGCTCTGCCCTGGCTGGCGCTGGTCACCGGGGCAGACAGGAGCTTGGGCTAAGTGGACGTGGGATCTGATCCAGTGTAGCAATCCCTGTGTTCCTCAATAATAATCCCCTTTGTTCCTGTCCCCTACCCCACCTGTGTCCCTGTGGGGCTGCCCCAACCCCCCCACTCGCTCCAGGAAACAGATTTTGGTTCCATTTTCCTCCCCGTTAGATAACAAGAGGGATCCCGGAGCCGCGGCTTTGGGGTTGATAAGATGGCCGAAGTTCCTCTAGTGGGTCCAGCACTTTTCTTGGCGGGGAAGCTAAGATGCCACCCTTTGCCCCTGTTCTTGGGGCATTGATGGCCCCGCTAGTGGCCCAGGAAGGTGGTAAAGGAGGGAAGCAGGGGAGGGGTCTGGGTTTGCTTGAGCCCCAGCTCCTCTCAGCCCCTGCGAGTTCTCACCCTCATCCCCCTTGGCTGGGGAACCTGCAGTCCTTAGATGCTGGGGAAGGGCATCTCCCTCCCCTCCTGGGCAGGGTCCCCCCTTACTTCAGTTCTCTGATTTTCCAGGTCTCAGAGCACCCCTCTAAGCTCCAGTCTAACCTCCTTCCTCCTCTCTCTCTGTCTGCCCGAAGCAGGGGGGTTTATGAGGTTCCTAACAGGGCCTTAATTGACCGCAGGTGCTCCAGTTAACCTGCAGCCACCTTCCCTCGTCTACAGGGAACCACGCCTCAATTAGCCTTGAGCTGATATATTTCCCCTCTCGCACTCTCCCACTGCTCCCTGCCCCCCCCCCCCCCCGTGTATCCCAGGGCCCCCAATGACCCAGCGCTGCACAGGACCCCGAGCCTGGCTGCAGAGATACAAGCCCGTCCTCCCAGCGCCGGGCTGCGACTAGACTGTTCTACCGACACTGTGCCCCTCTGCACCCTGAATCTCTCCCTGCTGCGCCCCCTCGGCCCGCGCTCCCTGCCACCAGCAAGCTCACCCTGGGCCGGCCCCTCACAGCTGGGGCCTGAAGCGTCTTTAGGGGGCAACCCCATCCCCATCCCGGGAAGCCCCACTGCATGGAGACCTGGGGTAAGGGCCTGAGCAGCCCCAGATATGGGGCGTACAAAGGTGACCCAGGGCTGGGGGAACAGAGCTGGGCCCCGTCTATCGCAGCCCGGGGGTTGGCAGGTGTCGGGAGTGGGGTGATAAGAGGCTGGTTTGTAAAAGGCCCCCGGGGAGTTGTGGGGAGTAAGGAGTGGGCCATGGGAGGAGCTGGGGTACAAATCTCTAAGGTGGGTGTAAATCAGGATAGCTCTTCATGGCTCCGCGCTGATCTACCCCCTCCGGGCTCCAGCCCCGTGCATCCGCCCAAGGAGTCTCGCAGGCCGCCTGCGCTCGGAGAGGTTTATTGGGTATAAAAGAGGGGCCGGCCCAGAACTCATTCGTCGTAGAACTTGGGGATCTCGTCCCCCAGGAACACCTGCTCCACGGCGCCCGACTTGGTGATAGTGACGAGATAAATAACACCCCCGCTGGAGCCGTCCCGGCTCATCGCCAGGGCAATGGCTGGGGGAGAGAAACGAGGGGTTAGTGAATCGGTGCCAGCAGTGGGGAGAGGCCCCGTGTCCCGTTCCCTGCCCCCTGAGCCAGCTGGTTCCTGCCCTGGAGCTGGATCACAGACACCGGCTCCTAGAGGGGAGAGGCCCCGTGTCCCGTGCCCAGCCCCCTGAGCCAGCCGGTCCCTGCCCTGGGGCCGGATCACAGACAGCGGCCCCTAAAGGGGAGAGGTCCCGTGTCCCGTGCCCAGCCCCCTGAGCCAGCCGGTCCCTGCCCTGGGGCCACCGCGCCCTGGACCTGCCTCACCCCACCCAGGAGCAGGTACCGTTCTTGGTGAACTGGCGACACTCCTCTGGAGTCATCCCGGGCTTGTAGGCTGCATCCACGTAACCATAAATGTAGCTGCTGCCGGACCCGCCGATGGCAAAGGGGTGGCGGGTGAGCATCCCCCCCAGCGTCCCGTACACCTGCGGGAGCGAACGCACGCTGGGTGAGAGCCCAGGCCCGGCACGGGCCGGGGGTTGGGGCGTCGTGGACGGGGGGCGACTGACGCTGCCGTTCACTGACCGCGGTAAAGACCGGCCGTTCCCTCGACCCCCTGCCGGGTCTCAGGGTGGGCGTCTCTCCTCACCACCCGGCATGGCACGGACCCACAGCCAGGCCTTGGGAGCCTCCCGGGGCCACGTGAGCATGGATGGGGCAGGAGGTTCTGGGTTCAGGTCCCCCCGGGGTGCTGGCCTGGCTCCCGGCAGCGGGTGACCTGCCCAGCCATGGCCAAGGGAGGGAACGAGGACACGTTAATGGGGTGTTTTTACCAAGGCTGGCCAGGGCGAGGGGCCACGGAGCCCTGCGGGGAAGCGACCGGGATGTACCCGGGGGCAGGTCTCCTCGCCTGGCTGGCGGGTGAGATGCAGGAGCTCAGCCCCGCTGGGGGCGGTTAATGCTTCGCCCCCTTGGGCTCAGGGCCCCTTTGCACCCTGGGCGTAGCTTGCTCTGGCGCATTAACCGGTTTGGCTGGGACGCTGCAGGGAGACGGGGATGGGCCGAGGGGAGATGATCACGGTCCAGAGATCCCCCCGCAGCTGTCAGCCCCCCCCTCACCTGCCCCCCTTTCCTCCGGTCCCATCCCGCCACCATGAGATGCGCCGACAGCTCCTCCTTGTACTTGTAGCTGACGCCCTTCACCAGGCTGGCGGCCGCCAGGACCAGCGGGGCCTCGTCCATGTCCAGGCTGGGGAGAGGAACGGGGGGGGTCAGTGATAACAGGAGGAGCCGCCCCTCACAAGGGGCCATGCGAGCTCCAGCCGGCACCCCCAGGGGACCCCCCCGGCCTCCCCGCCCTACCTGTGCAGCTCCAGTTGGTAGTGCACCATGTCCGCGATGGCTTGGGCGTCGGCGGCGGAGCCGGAGAGCGCAGTAAATCCGCTCGTGCAGCGGGGCCAGCTTATCGAAGACCCGGTTCACCACGGCCTCCCTGGGGGGGAGAGTCCGGAGCCCAGCGTGAAATCCAGAGCCCCGAACGCAGAACCGGAGTCCGACCCGGGCGCCCAGACTCAGAATCCAGGACCTGCCCCGGTCCCAGACCCCCTGTGCTGGGGTGGGACACGCGCCCACCCCCTGCTCTAGTGTAAGGCGGGGAAAGGGTTAACGACCTGCAAACCCCAATCCTGCTCCCCCTGCCCCGCAGAGAGAGGCTGCACCTGGGCTCTGAGCAGGGGCAGGCCTGGCTGTGGGGTCTTCACTGGAGAACTGGGGCTGGAAGCTGGGGGGTGTGTGGAGGCCCTGGGAGGCTGCTCCGGGCTGCTACCGAGAGCCTGGGAGTGGGGTCTGTGGAGGGAGATGGTTCCCGGGGACGGGGGCTCTAGTCCGGCTGGAGATCTCGGCTGGGCGAGGGGAGGCCGAGGGACTGAGGACAGGAGCCAGGTGGAGCGGGGTGGGGCTGGGACGTGCGCTAAGGCAGGGTCTGAAGTACAAACTCCAGGTGGGAACCAGGACCCCCAGGGAGCAGCGACCAGGCAGCCAGGGGACAGGGAGAAGCTCAGACAGCCCCTCACAATGGGGTATGGTCCAGCCAGTGTCCTTATGCGGGGGAGCGAGAGAGAGATTCCCTCTATTCACCGGGGACCGGAACAGGCGTCTCCCTGAAAAGCGATGAGGATCCGTGCGAGGTCCGGGGTGAGCCGGCCCCACTGCAGAGCCCTGCCCCAGCCCAGGAGTGCACACAGGGCTCAAACCCCAAACACCGTGTGTGACCCCGGCCCGGAGGGGGGTGACAGACACCTGAGGAACAGTCCTGCGCCCCCTCCCCTGCACCAGGGATACCGAGCCGGGTGAGCAGTGATAAGTCACCCCGATGCCCCCGGGGCCTGTCAGCTGGGTGAGGCCTGGCACTTACCCCGCAGAGACCCTGGAGTCAGAGCCCACCACGACCCCGCCGTCAAACTCCACCGCCATGATGGTCGTCTGGGGAAAGGGAGGAGACGGGTTCAGTGCAGGGACCCTCAGAGCCCGGGGGAGACTGAGGGTCACCCCACACCCTGCAGGGAGCCGCACAGGGCTCCTGGGGCGTCTGGGGCTCCCCCCAAACCAGGGGCTGGTGGGGCTGCAGGCAGAGAGCGTAACTGGCCTTCACACTGCGACTCTACCGGGGGGGAAAGGGGAGCCAGGACTCCTGGATTCTATCCCAGCTCTGGGAGGGGAGTGGGGTTTAATGGGTTAGAGCAAGGGGGGCTGGGAGCTGTGACGATGTGACTCAGCAGGGAGGGGGGAGTGTTGACCTGGGAATGTGCCCTGGGGATGGGAGACCTGAGAGCCTGTCACCTGAGCCAGGAGGGGGGAGGGGGAGGTGACACCTCTGCCCAGGAATGTGAACAGAGGCTGCAGCAGGGAACCTGCTGGGTGGGGTTAGTTGGCAGTTTGGAGGCTGGGGGGGAGGAACACAGGGAACCCCAGGGCTGGGGTCTAAGCTCCCTGCTCCCCCAGAAGGACGTGATTGAGGGGTCCTGGTTGTACCCACAAGCTCTGTTGTGGACTGTGTTCCTGTTGTCCAATAAACCTTCTGTTTTACTGGCTGGCTGAGAGTCTCAGTGGATCCCAGGAAGAGGGGTGCAGGGCCTGGACTCCCCCACACTCCGTGACAACTGGTGGCAGCGGTGGGATCTACTGCACCCCGTGAACGGCGCTTCCTGCAGTAAGTGACTGGGGAACAGTAAAACGAAGGGGAATTGACGGGGACCAGGCGTGCTGAAGATTCAGAGAGAGACGGTTTCAGGGGGCGGTTAACCCCTGGGAATGTGTGACCAGAGAGAAAGACTTTTGCAGTAACAGGGTCCCCCGGGGGATTGCAGCGAGCAGTCCCAGGGGCGGAGGAGTCTGCAGCTCGACCCTGGCAAAGAGGCGGTGACCTCAAGAAGGACTGGCACACTAAGGGCTTTTCCTGGAAACCGTGGGAAGCTGCCCGGCCTGCGAGTGGCCAGCAGGGAGATGTACGCTAAACGCCTTAAGAGTGACCTGGTGGAGCTGTGCAGGCAGAGGGGGCTGCGCATCGGGAGGTCCACCAAGGAACAACTGATTGCCCAGTTGGAGGAGAGGGATCGCTTGGATGACCCGATCCCTGTCCCTGAGGGGAGCCGCCCGGCAGACGCAGCGTGGGCCCTGGGGCCTGACCGGGCTGGGAGGGGTCAGACTGCTGCCGAGGACATCCCGAGACCCTTCCTACCTATGTCTGGGGGAGGGGTTGGGGGAAGCCCAGCGAATACCGAGGGCACCCTGACCCCAGCACCCAGCAGGGGATCCTCCCGGCGGAGCTCCCCATCCCTGGAGCGGAGGCGGCTGGAATGGGAGAGGGAGATGAAAATGAGGGAGCTGGAGGATCGTGAAAAACAACGTCAACATGAGGAGAAACAACGTCAACATGAGCAGGAGGAGAAGGAGAAACAAAGACAGCACGAACTGGAGCTGGCCAGGCTGAAGAGCAGTGGGGCCCCGGCTGTGGTGAGTGAGGGGGGACCCAAGACTGCAAGGAACTTTGATAAGTGCTTCCTGGCCCAGCGGAAGGAGGGGGAGGACATAGATAGCTTCCTGACGGCCTTTGAGAATGCCTGTGAGCTGCACAGGGTTGACCCTGCAGACAGGCTCCAGTTTCTCACCCCCTTACTGGACCCCAAAGCCGTGGAGGTGTACAGCCGGATGACAGGGCCGGAGGCAGGGGACTATGAACTGTTCAAACAGGCCCTGCTCCGTGAGTTTGGGCTGACCCCCGAGATGTACCGGAGAAGGTTCCGGAGTCAGCGTAAAACGCCTGAGGTCACCTACCTACAACTGGTCAACCGGATGCAGGGGTATGCCCGCAAGTGGACAGCTGGGGCCCGAGCTAAAGAGGACCTGCTTGACCTAATTGTACTGGAGCAACTGTATGAACAGTGCCCTTCCGACCTGAGGCTGTGGTTGGTGGACAAAAAGCTCGAGAACCCCCAGCACGCAGGGCAGCTGGCCGACGAGTTTGTGAACAGTCGGTCAGGGGGTAGCCGGGAGGAGTCCCAAAAGAACAGGCCCCCCCCGATGCAGAGAGAGAGTCACCAGGGGGCCTCCCAGCGGGGAAATAGGGAGAACCCCCTCCCAAGGGGAACGCCTGGCGTCGGGCCCCTCCGACCCGCTCGAGGGGACCAACGTGACCTGAGCTGCTATCACTGTGGCCAGAGAGGCCACGTACGGTCCCAGTGCCCTGGGCTCAGGGACAAACTGAGCAGACCCAACCTACCCAGGGTTAACTGGGTAGGGACCCAGCTGGACGAGGGGCAGACGACCCAGGCAAGGGGGCTGCCAGTTTACCACCTGCCCCGGAGGGAAGAGTACCCCAGGCCAGCTCCACCAGAGGGCTGGAGGCTCTGGACTCAGGGCGCTCAGTTTACAGGGTGGGCGCGGGGCTGTCCCTCCGGAGAGAGTGCCTTGTTCCCCTGGAGGTGGATGGGAGGAAGGTCAATGGATACTGGGATACGGGTGCGGAGGTGACGCTGGCCCGGCCCGAGGTGGTGGCCCCAGATCGGGTGGTGCCCAACACCTACCTGACCCTGACAGGGGTGGGCGGGACCCCATTTAAGGTGCCCGTGGCAAGGGTACACCTGAAATGGGGGGCCAAGGAGGGCCACAAGGATGTGGGGGTACACCACCATTTGCCCACTGAAGTTTTGATGGGGGGAGACCTAGAGGACTGGCCAAGCAAGCCCCAGACCGCCCTGGTTGTGACCCGTAGCCAGAGCCGGCGAGGGCCACTGCTCCCTGACCCTGGGGAGGGTACCGCACCGGAGGCGCAGGACCCTACCCTGGTGGGAAGGGGAGGGCCGAGGGGCACGGCTCAGAGAGGCTGAGGCCTCAGACCTGGCCACTGAGGGGGAACCGGTCCCCATCCCTTCCCCAGCTGCTGAGTTCCAGGCCGAGTTGAGGAAAGATCCCTCCTTGCGGAAGCTCAGGGACCTGGCCGACCTCAGGGTGGTACGGACCATGAGGAGAGGCTGCCAGGAGAGGTTCCTGTGGGAGAAGGGGTTCCTATACCGAGAATGGGCTCCCCCAGGGCAAGTGGAGTCCTGTGGGATCAGGAGGCAGCTGGTGGTCCCCCAGAAGTATCGCCGCAAGCTCCTGTACCTGGCCCATGACATCCCCCTCTCAGGGCACCAGGGAATCCGGCGCACCCGGCAGAGGTTGCTACAGAACTTTTACTGGCCCGGGGGTCTTTACCACGGTCCGGCAGTATTGCCGATCCTGTGACCCCTGTCAGAGGGTGGGGAAGGCCCGGGACAAGGGGAAAGCGGCTTTGAGACCTTTGCCCATCATAGAGGAGCCTTTCCAGAAGGTGGCCATGGACATCGTGGGGCCTCTCAGCAGGACGACCCGGTCGGGGAAGAAATACATTCTGGTGGTGGTAGATTTTGCCACCCGCTACCCCGAGGCAGTGCCCTTAGCTTCCATTGAAGCAGACACCGTGGCCGATGCGCTCCTGACCATTTTCAGCCGAGTGGGGTTCCCCAAGGAAGTCTTGACAGACCAAGGCTCCAACTTCATGTCGGCCCTGCTCCGGTGCTTGTGGGAGAAATGTGGGGTCCGGCACGACTGGGCCTCAGCTTATCACCCCCAGTCCAACGGGCTGGTGGAGAGGTTTAACGGGACGCTAAAGATGATGCTGAAAACCTTTATGAACCAGCACCCGCAGGATTGGGACAAGTACTTACCTCACCTGCTGTTCGCGTACAGGGAGGTGCCACAGGAGTCTACCGGATTTTCGCCTTTCGAACTGTTATATGGAAGGAGGGTGAGGGGCCCCCTGGACCTGATGAGAGACGAGTGGGAAGGGAAGGCCACTCCCGATGGAGAGTCAGTGGTGGAGTATGTCCTGATCTTCCGAGAGAGACTTGCTGAACTCATGGGCCTGGCCAGGGAGAATCTGGCCAGAGCCCAGAAGAAGCAGAAGGTCTGGTATGACCGCACGGCGCGGGCCCGTGCCTACGCCACCGGGGATCCGGTGATGGTTCTCATCCCAGTGAGAAAGAACAAACTACAGGCCGCCTGGGAGGGCCCTTTCAAGGTCGTCAAGCAGCTCAATGAGGTAAACTATGTGGTGGAGCTGTCGAACCGGGCGCACCACCGCCGGGTGTACCATGTGAATATGATGAAGCCATATTATGCCAGGGGGAATGTGGTGTTGGCCGTGTGTGGACAGTGGGAAGAGCAGGGAGATGACCCTTTAGTAGATCTATTCCCTGGGACCAGAGCTGGTTCCCCCCTGGAAACAATTCCCCTCTCGGATCAGCTAACCCCTGCCCAGCAAGCTGAGGTCAGGGAGGTGCTGCATCCGTACCGACAGCTGTTTTCCAACCAGCCTGGACGCACTAATCTGACTGTCCACCGGGTGCAGACCGGGTCGCACCCGCCGATAAGATGCTCCCCCTTCCGAGTCACAGGGAAAACTGCTCAGGACCTGGAAAGAGAGGTCCGGGACATGCTGGCTTTGGGGGTGATCCAGCCATCTGCCAGCCCTTGGGCCTCGCCGGTGGTGCTGGTCCCCAAAAAGGACGGGTCGGTCCGGTTCTGTGTGGACTATCGGAAGCTCAATGCCATCACTGTATCTGATGCCTACCCCATGCCCAGGCCGGACGAGCTCCTAGACAAGCTGGGAGGAGCTCGGTACCTTACCACCATGGACCTTACAAAGGGCTACTGGCAAGTGCCGCTGGATGCAGATGCCCGGCTGAAATCAGCCTTTATCACCCCTCTGGGGCTCTATGAGTTCCTGACCCTGCCTTTCGGCCTCAAGGGAGCGCCGGCCACCTTCCAGCGCCTGGTGGACCAGCTCCTGAGGGGGATGGAGAGTTTTGCCGTGGCGTATATTGATGACATCTGTGTCTTTAGCCAGACCTGGGAGGACCACGTGTCCCAGGTTAGACAAGTGCTGGACCGACTCCAGGGGGCTGGGCTGACTGTAAAAGCGGAGAAGTGCAAGGTGGGGATGGCGGAAGTGTCTTACCTGGGCCATCGGGTGGGGAGCGGCCGCCTAAAGCCGGAACCAGCCAAGGTGGAGGTGATCAGAGACTGGCCCGCTCCCCACACCAAAAAGCAGGTCCAAGCCTTTATTGGGATGGCAGGATACTACCGAAGATTTGTGCCCCACTTTAGCGCCATAGCCACCCCCATCACTGAGCTATGCAAGAAGGGGAAGCCAGACAAGGTGGTCTGGACCGAGCAGTGCCAGGAGGCTTTCCGGGCGCTGAAGGAGGCTCTGGTCAGTGGCCCAGTTCTGGCAAACCCAGACTTTGACAAGCCCTTTGTGGTGTTCACCGACGCCTCCGACACGGGACTGGGGGCGGTGTTAATGCAGGAGGATGAAAAGGGGGAGAGACACCCCATCGTGTACCTGAGCAAGAAGTTGCTACCCCGGGAGCAACACTACGCGGCCATCGAGAAGGAGTGCCTGGCCATGGTGTGGGCCCTCAAGAAACTAGAGCCCTATCTCTTCGGGCGGCACTTCACCGTGTACACCGACCACTCTCCCCTGACCTGGCTGCACCAGATGAAAGGAGCCAACGCCAAACTCCTGAGATGGAGCCTGCTCCTGCAGGATTACGACATGGACGTGGTCCACGTGAAGGGAAGTGCCAACCTGATAGCGGATGCGCTGTCCCGGAGAGGGGGCCCCGAACTTCCCCAGGTCACTGGTCACAGTGACCCCGCTCAGTTCAGTCTCGAAGGGGGGAGAGATGTGACGATGTGACTCAGCAGGGAGGGGGGAGTGTTGACCTGGGAATGTGCCCTGGGGATGGGAGACCTGAGAGCCTGTCACCTGAGCCAGGAGGGGGAGGGGGAGGTGACACCTCTGCCCAGGAATGTGAACAGAGGCTGCAGCAGGGAACCTGCTGGGTGGGGTTAGTTGGCAGTTGGGAGGCTGGGGGGGAGGAACACAGGGAACCCCAGGGCTGGGGTCTAAGCTCCCTGCTCCCCCAGAAGGACGTGATTGAGGGGTCCTGGTTGTACCCACAAGCTCTGTTGTGGACTGTGTTCCTGTTGTCCAATAAACCTTCTGTTTTACTGGCTGGCTGAGAGTCTCAGTGGATCCCAGGAAGAGGGGTGCAGGGCCTGGACTCCCCCACACTCCGTGACAGGAGCCAGGACTCCTGGGTTCTCTCCCAGCTCTGGGAGGGGAGTGAAGTCTAGTGGTTAGATCAGGGGACTGCGAGCCAGGACTCCTGGGTTCTATCCCAGCTCTGGGAGGGGAGTGGGGTTTAATGGGTTAGAGCAGGGGGGGCTGGGAGCCAGGACTCCTGGGTTCTCTCCCAGCTCTGTGTGGGAGTGAAACCGGGGCCCTAGACGCGAAAGCCCCTTACCGTGTTCTCTGGCCCAGCCGGTCCCGTCCAGCCCACGGCTCAGTGGGATCAGACGGGGGTGGCTCTGGGATTTGATCACACATGGCAAAGGGCCGGTTGCGATGTGTGACAAGGGCCTGGCCAGGCAGCCGGGCACAGAGCCCTGGGGCTGGCAGCGCCGGGGGTGGGGGTGGGGGTGGGGGTGGGGGTGGGGGAGGCTCCTGCACCTGCCACCCGGAATGGGCAGGTGCTGAGGGCGGCGGCTGCGTTACCGATCCAGGGTTTACACCAGGGAGCGCCCAGCTCGGGCGCCAGGTTGGGGGCGGGGGGGCACACACGGCGCCTCCCAGCCAGAGTCCCCCATTCCCAGGCCACTGGTCTGACCCAGGCCATCTCCTCCACTGGGGAGCAATACGAAAAGAGTCATTTTGGGGGGTGGGGGTGGAGAGACTATGACTGTGTGGCCCAGTGGCCAGGGCCCCCACCTGGGAGGGGGAGGCCCTGGGGCCAGTTCCCCGTTCGCTATTTATTCAGAGGGCAACAGCTGCGAAGGAGAGAGGGAGGGAGCCCCCCACCCCAGAACAGCCTGTAGCCCAGTGGTTAGGCCAGGGGTTCTCAAACTGGGGGTTGGGACCTCTCAGGGGGCCGCGAGGTTATTACATGGGGGGTCGCGAGCTGTCAGCCTCCACCCCAAACCCGGCTTTGCCTCCAGCATTTATAACAGTGTTAAATATGGCTAAATGTGTTTTTAATTTATAAGGGGGGGGTTGCATCCAGAGGTTTGCCGTGTGAAAGCGGTCACCCATACAGAACTCGGTTACAGCTCTCCACGGGGGAGACCCCTGTTCAAATCCCTTCTCCCCCCCAGAACCTGTTTCCCCCACATCTCCGGTGTGTGCACGAACTGCTGGGCTAGAAGCTATGGGGGGGGGCACCCCATACCCCTGCTCTGGCTGGATTTGGAAAGGGACCCGATCCAATAAGCAGCCTCGGTGAAGGCCCCCTGGGTCGGGCCCCACACCTCAGTTAGGCAGCTGCGTGCCACCCCTCCCGGGTTCGTGGTTAGGTGGGAACCGGGTGTCCGGGGGTGGGGAGGGTGCAGGGCGCAGGCCCAGAGGCAGGGACACCCACACCGCGGGGACTGTTACTCTGAGGAACGCGGGCACCCAGGGAGTTTAGGCGCCAACAGGGCGAGGCGGGAGGTGGGTGGATCGCAGAGGAGCTGGGTGCCCAGGTCGGAGGGTTGGGCAGCCAAGTGCTTTCCCGGATCCCCCGGGTAGTCTCACTCCCTAGTAGATTTTCTAGCCCTTTAATCCATCTCGAGGCTCTTCTCTGAGCCCTCCTGCAATTTATGCCCAGCCTGTGGACCCCAGACCCAGGATCCCAGCCGTGGTCGCACCAGGGCCAAATCCCGGGGGGAAAATCCCTGCCCTGCGCCAGCTCGAGATTCCCCTCTTGATCTGTCCCACTGGCCCCTCTGTCCACAGCACGGCACTGGGAGCTGCTGGTCAGCTCGTTATCCACCACCGTGGCCCCAGGGCTCAAACACCTTCATTTGTTAATCCTCAACTGACCCACCTCTCTGTGTGAGGGTATTTTACACGGGGAACTGAAACACAGCCAGGGAGAGAACCCAGGAGTCCTGGCTCCCAACCCCCCCTGCTCTAACCCACCAGCCCCCCTCCCCTCCCAGAGCTGGGGAGAGAACCCAGGAGTCCTGGCTCCCAACTCCCCCCGCTCTAACCCACCAGCCCCCCCCTCCCCTCCCAGAGCTGGGGAGAGAACCCAGGAGTCCTGGCTCCCAGCCCCCCCCGCTCTAACCCACCAGCCCCCCCTCCCCTCCCCGAGCTGGCTCCACCAGGCTGCCTGCGGCCTTGGCTTTCATTGAAAGACCAAGTAAGTTTCTCGCCCTCCTGGCTGGCGAACAGGTGGAAAGTGCGAGCGGGAGCCAGGGGCCCAGAGGACACACGGGCTCTCTGTCCCTTAGTGTTTAACAGATCTCAGGGTCTGTGAACGTTTCGGGTGGGCAGTTCTGTACACTGGGGTGGGGACATTTGGGGGTTTCAAGGAGGCACGTCTGGGGGTACAGCAGGGGCATATGGGGGCGCAGCAGGGAGACATGGTGGGTTGCAGGGGCACATGGGAGCCAGGACTCCTGGGTTCTATTCCTGATCTCTGGGGAGGGGGGAGGGTCTGCAGTAGGGGCATATGGGGTGGAAGGAGGGGAAGTGGGACCCTGGAGGGAGGGACCTGTAGGGGGAGCAGCAGGGAGGGGGTGATGGGGCGCAGCAGGGGGTGATGGGGTTGGGCGGCAGAGATGGAATGGTGGGTGGAGGGGCAGCAGGGGGGGCACATGGGGGCAGCAGGGGGAGATGGGGCCGGCAGAGACAGGACGTGGGGGGGTGGAAGGGGTACATGGGGGACAGCTGCGGGAGATGGGGTTAGCCAGCAGAGACGGGACAGCGGGAGATGGGGGTGGAGGGGCACATGGGGGGCAGCAGGCGGGTCCCAGCCGACCCCCCCGAGCCCCTTTTAGGGTGTCAATGGGAAAAGTTCGCGCAGCCCGCGGCACATGGAAAGCGAAAGCGGCTCGGAGCCTGGCCGGAGGGGCAGGGAGGAGGCTAAGCCGCCCGGATCCCGCAGCCCCCGGGGCCCCCGAACCGGGCAATGCCCCTGGGGGGCCCGATCCGAGCCGGGCAGCTCCTAGGACAATTAATGGGGCGCCCCCACTTTACCCCCCCAGGATTCCCCCCTGTCCCCCGCCAGCGGATCCCCCCCGGCCCCACTTACCCCCGTGCGGACCTCCCCGTCCGCCCAGCTGGGCCCCCCGCAGCCCGCCATGGTGCAGCGACCCCGGGAGCGAAGCACCAGCGCCCGGGACAGCTCCGGGACCAGCCGCGCCCGCCCCGCCCTCCCTGCAGCGCCGCCCAGCGCCGCCAGGGGGCGGCGGACACCCAGCGCCGCTGGGAACCTCTCCAGCCCCGCTCTGCCTGGCAACGGGTGATGCCCGGGCCGGGGGGAGGGGCTGGGAGTCCTCCCTCCCGGCGTCCCAAGCCGCTTCCCCATCGATCATCCGCTGGGAGGGGGGCAGGGCTGGGCCCGGACACCGGGTGAGGGGCGGGTACGGCCCTGCCTGCCTGGGCCATACAGGAGCTGCATTGGTGGGGGGCTGGGCCAGGCAGCTGTGGGGACCCCTAGGACCGTGCCCACCCCCAGCATCTCACCGGGTACAGCGGGGGGTCCTGTCCCCCGGGGGCGGGAGGGGGGGCAGAGCGAGCCCACCCCATAGCAGTGACTCCTGCGGCACCTGTGCCGTGGGGCTGGCTGGGCTCGGCTCTGGGCCCCGGGACCTGCCCCCGGCCCCCAGGGTCTCCGCGCCACTCAGGGGCCGTCCGCAGGGGGAGAAAAGCCCCATGGCGCAGCCCGTCGGGTCAGCTGAGTCGGGCTGGTGGGGCGGGGGCTGCCCGGCTACACACGGCAGACTGGACGATCCCGCTCGCCTGGAGGCCGGGGCCGGTCGTCTCCGGGAGGCCCCCAGAGCCCGGGCTCCGACATCTCAGGGAGGGCCCCAGAGCCCGGGCTCCGACATCTCAGGGAGGGCCCCAGAGCCCGGGCACCGACATCTCAGGGAGGGCCCCAGAGTCCAGGCTCCGACATCTCAGGGAGGGCCCCAGAGCCCGGGCTCCAGCCCTGGCTGCAGCATCCACGGGTGATTTCTTGCCCCACGAGCCTGAGTCAGCCGGCCCGGCTCTGAGCCTGGGGGCCATGGGCCTTTAGTGCATGCGGACGTCCCCTCGGTTCCTGAGGTCTGGCCAGGCCGCCCCCCCCGCCAACAGACAGGCCCAGGCAGGTGTTACACCAGTGTCCAACCTGCCTCCTGAAATGTCACTGGCGGGGGTCGTGTGAGGGCCCGAGCAGTGTCTCTCCCCCTCCCCCCGCCAGAGCAGCCGGCCCAAACCAGGGGCCGGCGCGAGGAGCCGAGCCCATCGAGCCCCCTGGGACAGGAGCCACTTCCGTGGGGATGGGGGTCGAAGCGGGACAGTCCAGCAAATCCCAGGACTGCTGGGGGCTCTGCACTAGCCTGGGTCCGGGGAGACCTGGGTCCAGCTCCTGGTTCTGCAGGTCGCTGTGTGGCCCCAGCTGTAACCTGGGCCAACAGCCCTGGGGGGACATGGGGGGCAGCAGGGCTGTGACAATAATTCCACAGCTGACTGTGAGGTGCCCAGAGACCACGGTGAGGGGCGCGATGTGCGTCCCATAGCTAGACAGACCTGCCTAGATCCCATGGCCTGGGGTCAGTCTGACCCCTCGCTGCCCTGGGCTGGCTGGGAGCAGAATCCACCCGGACACACGTGATTTTCAATAGCCCCCCACCCGCCGCCCCCCAGCTGCAGTGGCTGCCCTTGAATCGCAAGCCAGGGGATTCCCCGTCCCGCCCAGGGGGGTCTCTGCGAAGTGGGGAAGGGGGGCGCAGAGCCCCCGGCTGTAATTGTGCCGAGGCAGGGGGCGTCACTTGCTATGGGGCGGGGGGGAGCTCCCCCCCATTATTCATAGGTCAGCCGGCTCCATTATATTCCCCCCCTCCGGCTCAGCCGGGTAAGAGCTCATCATGTAACGCGCTCTGGCCCCCCCCGGGGCGGGCTCTGAGCTAATCCGGTTTCACTTTCACTTTTGGGAAGTCGCCTCCTTTCCCAGAAGCGGATCGGTGCAGCCGGGGGCTTCCCAGGGCGGGCGGCGAACCCGGGGCCGGTCCCGCCTCTCTCCGCCTCCGCCCGTTCGCGGCCCCTCGCTCCTCGCCCGGGCCGGGGAGTTGCGGGCGGCGGGTTTCCACGGGGCGGCTGCGGAGCGGGGCCAGGAATTGCCCCTGACGCCTGGGATCCGCTCGCCCCGGAGGAGCCGCAGCCAGACCGGGGAAAGGGGGGAAGACCCCAAGAGGCGTGGGACTGGATCGGCAGGACCGTTTCTGCGGTCACTCCGGCGTGGGCTCTGGGGCGCAGTGACCCGAGCGGCCGCCAGGGGGCGCCCCCGGCGGGGACCGGCCGCCGCTGGGACTAGGAGATTTAGACACTCGGCTGCTGCCAGCGGGCAGGGCCCGGCCCGGGGATGAAGCGGGCCATGGCGTGGGGCTCCCTGCCCCTGGCCGTGCTGCTGGACTTCCTCACCCTGCGCCTGGCCCTGCTGCTGCACCCCCAGCTGCAGCCCTGGGACCCCCTGGCGCTGGCCTGGGGGCTGGGGCTGGCGCGATGGGCGCTGCTGAGCCTGAGCGCCCAGGCTGCCCGGGGCCGGGGGCCGGGGCTGCCCGGGGGGCTGCAGGAGGCTCTGCTGCCCCTGGCCGCCCTGCTCAGCCTGCTGCTGCCCGGCTACGTGACCCTGCAGGCGCTGGCCCAGCCCCGGGCCCCCCCCTCCGAGCTGCTGCACGGCTGGGGGCGAGGGGACGTCTTCGGCCTGACCTACGGCGTGGCGGGGCTGGTGGCCGCGCTCTGGCACCAGCTGTTCCCCGCCGGCAAGGGGGAGCCGGGGCCCTCGGCCTCGCTGGGCCGCCTGCTGGCCTGCATGAGGCCGGACCTGCTGCGCTTCGTGGCCATCGCGGGGTTCCTGGTGCTGTCCTCGCTCGGTGAGTCGCGGGCAGCGGCTGCGAGGGGGGAAGGCCCCGGCTCCTGTTCCCTGCCTCCCTGAGCCAGCCAGTGCCCTGCCCGGGGGCCCGATGGGACAGAAACCCCGCGGTCGATTTAATCGCCTCTCTCATGTCTCTGGGCAGAGACTGTCTCTTCCTGTCTGTGCAGCGCCCGGCGCGACGGGGCCCTGATCTCGGCCGGGGTCTGGGCAGCTCCCGGCGCGACGGGGCCCTGATCTCGGCCGGGGTCTGGACAGCGCCCGGCGCGACGGGGCCCTGATCTCGGCCGGGGTCTGGGCGGCTCCCGGCGCGACGGGGCCCTGATCTCGGCCGGGGTCTGGGCGGCTCCCGGAGCGAAGGGGCCCTGATCTCGGCCGGGGTCTGGGCAGCGCCCGGCACGATGGGGCCCTGATCTCGGCCGGGGTCTGGGCGGCGCCCGGCGCGACGGGGCCCTGATCTCGGCGGGAGTCTGGGCAGCGCCCGGCGCGACGGGGCCCTGATCTCGGCCGGGGTCTGGGCAGCGCCCGGCGCGACGGGGCCCTGATCTCGGCCGGGGTCTGGGCAGCGCCCGGCGCGACGGGGCCCTGATCTCGGCCGGGGTCTGGGCAGCGCCCGGCGCGACGGGGCCCTGATCTCGGCCGGGGTCTGGGCAGCACCCGGCGCGACGGGGCCCTGATCTCGGCCGGGGTCTGGGCAGCGCCCGGCGCGACGGGGCCCTGATCTCGGCCGGGGTCTGGGCAGCGCCCGGCGCGACGGGGCCCTGATCTCGGCCGGGGTCTGGGCGGCGCCCGGCGCGACGGGGCCCTGATCTTGGCTGGAGTCTGGGCAGCGCCCGGCGCGACGGGGCCCTGATCTCAGCCGGAGTCTGGGTGGTGCCCGGCGCGACGGGGCCCTGATCTCGGCCGGGGTCTGGGCGGCGCCCGGCGCGACGGGGCCCTGATCTCGGCCGGGGTCTGGGCGGCTCCCGGCGCGACGGGGCCCTGATCTCGGCCGGGGTCTGGGCGGCGCCCGGCGCGACGGGGCCCTGATCTCGCCTGGGGTCTGGGCGGCGCCCGGCGCGACGGGGCCCTGATCCTGACTGAGTGCTCTGTGCATTACTGGGCCCTCAGTCAGGGGGTGTGTGTGTGGCGGGGGGGGGTCACAGGGGCCCCATGTGATTAGCGTCCCTGCACATTCACAGAATGAAAGCTGCACAAATATAGGAAATGACCCTGAATGGGTGAGAGGTGTCCTCTCCGGACTCTAACCATCAGCCCCCACTCCCCACCCAGAGCTGGGGAGAGAACCCAGGAGTCCTGGCTCCCAGCCCCCCCCTGCTCTAACCCACCAGACCCCACTCCCCTCCTGGAGAACCCAGGAGTCCTGACCCCATGTGCTGTTGGGCTGCAGGGGAGATGGCGATCCCCTACTACACGGGGCGCATGACCGACTGGATCGTGAGCGAGGACGACCCCTCGGCCTTCGTCCGGGCCATCTGGGCCATGTCCCTCATCACCGTCGGCAGGTAGGGCTGCGGGAGTTGGGGTCACGGGGGTGGGGTCAATGGGTATGGAGCATGGGGAGAAGAGGGGGGTCATGGGGGTGGAGGGGAGCTGGGGTCATGGGGTGGGGGATCTGTATAACAAGATCCCTGCAGGAATTCAGGGGTAGATCTGGGGGGATCGTGGCTGGGTTTGGGGGGGGTTGGGGCAGGCGGGGAGTTAGGTCTGGAGGGATTGTGGCTGGGTTTGGGGGGGTTTGGGAGGCGGGGAGTTGGGGGCAGGTCTGGGGGGATGGTGGCTGGGTTTGGGGGAGCGGGGAGTTGGGGGGCAGGCAGGAGCCCCAGCACTGAGCACTCCCCCCCCACTCCCACAGCGCAGTGACAGAGTTCGTGTCCGACTGTCTCTATAACGGCACCATGAACCGGATTCACATGCGCATCCAGAGCCGGGTCTTCAGCTCCGTCCTGCGCCAGGAGATCGGCTTCTTCCACGGCAACCGCACCGGTACAGGACCCCCCCAGACCCCACCGCCCCCAGACCCCCCCCACCGCCCCATCCCGAGTGCTCCCCCCCATCCTGAGCTCCCTGCTCCGTCCTGCGCCAGGAGATCGGTTTCTTCCACGCCAACCGCACTGGTATGGGACCCCACCCCGACCTCACAGACCCCCCTGTCCCTGCCCCACACTGACCCCACACTGACAACCCATAGCCAGACCCTGCCCCATTGTCACAAGCTCCCTACTTCCTCGCTAGGGCTCCCCACCCCCCAACTGGCCCCTAAATACATGCGCAGGGCTGGCTGGCTGGATACGCCATGAATGAGGGAGGGAGGGACTGGGAACAAGGGTGATGTCTGGCTGGACGGCCCAGGCTGGACGGGTCACTGTGGAATCGCTCCAGGATCCGCCCCCACTGACCCTCCCCCGCTGCCCCCCGCCCAGGGGACATCACGTCGCGGGTGACGGCCGACACGGACGCCATGAGCGAGGCGCTGAGCGAGAAGCTGAACCTGCTGATGTGGTACGGGATGCGGGGAGTCTTCCTCTTCGGCCTCATGGTGCGGGTGTCGCTGCGCCTGGCATTCTTCACCGCCGTGGGGCTGCCCCTCATCCTGCTGGTGCCCAAGCTCTCCGGGAAATTCCACCAGGTACCGCGCTCTCGCCCCGCATCCTGCCCCTGGGCCCCAGCCTCCCACCCCACAATCTGCCCCCCCCCCCCCCACGCTGCTCAGCCCCCTGCCCCACACCCTGCGCTGCCCCTCATCCTGCTGGTGCCCAAGCTCTCCGGGGAAATTCCACCAGGTACCGCGCTCTCGCCCCGCATCCTGCCCCTAGGCCCCTGCCCCCCCCGCTGCTCAGCCCCCTGCCCCACACCCTGCGCTGCCCCTCATCCTGCTGGTGCCCAAGCTCTCCGGGAAATTCCACCAGGTACCGCCCCTCCCCACTCCCTACTATCCCCCCCCTTCCCCCACCCCTACCCTCTGCCCCCTCTGCACTGCCCCCACTACCCCTCCTTCCCACCCCCCACGGCAGCCTGTGGGTGCCCAGGAGCCACACGAAATGGGTTAGAACTGGCTAACGGATCGGTCTCCGCATGGAACTGTAAATGGGGAACCGTCATTCGGGGGGTTCTAGTGGGGCCCCCCAGGGATCGGTGCTGGGCCCTGGGCTATTTAACACCTTTAGCCATGATCTGGAAGAAAACCCGCCGTCCTCGCTGAGAGAGTCTGCTGGTGACACGCAGGCTGGGGAGGGGTGAAGAAGGAAGTGAGGGGCCAGGGACACGGGGCAGGGGAGCCGGGTGCAGGCAAGCGGTCTGTGCTCGGTCCGGCTCCGTGGGAACGTACAGCTGGGAGCGAGGAATGCAGGCCGGACTCAGGGGCTGGGGCTCTACCCTGGGGGCAGCGACTCGGAGACAGATCTGGGGCTGGAGGCGGAGGGGTGCCCAGAGCCCCCTCCCCGCCCTGACGCCCCCGCTCCCCCCCAGAGCCTGGCGCAGCGGGTGCAGGAGTCCCTGGCCAAGGCCAACGAGGTGGCGGTGGAGACCTTCCAGGCCATGGCCACGGTGCGCAGCTTCGCCAACGAGGAGGGGGCCGCCCGGCGCTACGGGCAGCGGCTGCAGGAGACCTACCGGCTCAACAAGCAGGAGGCAGCCGCCTACGCCGCCTCCATGTGGACCAACAGCGTGAGGGGGTGCTGCGGCAACGGGGGGGGGGTGCCGCGGCAACGGGGGGAGTAGGGCTGCCAAGGCAAAGGGGGTGCAGAGGCAGGGTGTAGCCAGGGGGAAGGCGCTGGGAGACTGTATCAAGCGGGCAGGGGAGCGTGGTAACCCTGGGGGCACGGGGCAGGGGACACTATCCCTGGGGCAAGGGGTGGCGGGGGGGCCAGGGCCTGGTGTCCCATGGCCGGGGCAGGGGGGGCATATGCTCAGGATCAGACAGGAGGGGTATCTCTGGGGAGGGGCCCAGGGGAGGGCAAAGGGGCCCCCCGGGGGAGTCATGCTGGGCCCCTTCTCCCCATCAGGGTGGGGTCCCCCAGCCTTGACCAAAGCTCCGAGCCCCCATCACTCCCCCAGAGCTCCCTGGGGTGGAGGGCAGACCCCCCCTTTAACGCTCTGTCCCCCCCCCAGCTGTCGGGGCTGGCGCTGAAGGTGGGGATCCTGTACTACGGGGGGCGGCTGGTCACCGCCGGAGCCGTCAGCACTGGGGACCTGGTCACCTTTGTGCTCTACGAGATGCAGTTCACCACAGCCGTGGAGGTGAGTGGGGGGGGCTCCCCCATTCCCAGGGGCTGCTGGTCACCTGCCTGGGGATGGGGGCTATGGGGGGGGCACACCCAGCCCTGACCTTCTGTGCCCCCCAGATGCTGCTCCTTGTCTGCCCCAGTAATGGGGGGGCTGTGGGGTGAGCTCACCCAGCCTGTACCCCCCTTGCCCCCCCAGGTGCTGCTCTCCGTCTACCCCAGCGTGCAGAAGGCCGTGGGCTCCTCGGAGAAGATCTTTGAGTACATGGAGCGGACGCCCCAGATCAGCCCCCCCGGGACGCTGGCCCCCCCGGCCCTGCGCGGGCACCTCCAGGTGCAGGATGTCTGGTTCTCCTACCCTGGCCGGGACGACGCCCCCGTACTCAAGGTACCCCGTGGGGGGACCCGGCGCAGAGTCTGGGTCCGGGGTGGGAATTCGGGGGCGATCCAGAGCTGAACCAAGGATTCGGGGGGCAGTAGCTGGAGGGGTTATGGGGGGCTGCAGGGGAGGAGGATCAGGGGGTCGGACTGGGGGTTGTGGGGGCAGAGCCACAGGGGGAGGGGAGGATGGGGGGTATTTGGGAGGGGTGCCGGAGGGCCCAGGGCGGGGGGAGGGTCCCCTGTGTCTAACCCCCCTCCCCCGCAGGGGGTGTCTCTGGAGCTGCGCCCCGGGGAGGTGACGGCGGTGGTGGGCCCGTCGGGCGCGGGGAAGACGGCGCTGGTGGCCCTGCTGGAGCGTTTCTACGAACCCCAGCGCGGGCGCCTGCTGCTGGACGGGCGGGACCTGCGGGAGTACGAGCATCAATATCTGCACCGCAAGGTACCCCCCTGCGGCCCCCCACTGCCCCCCCATCGCCCCACTGCCTCCCCATCGCTACCTGCACCGCAAGGTACCCCCCTGCCGCCCCCCCACTGCCCTCCCATCGCTACCTGCACCGCAAGGTACCCCCCTGCCGCCCCCCCACTGCCCCCCCATCGCCCCACTGCCTCCCCATCGCTACCTGCACCGCAAGGTACCCCCCTGCCGCCCCCCCACTGCCCCCCCATCGCCCCACTGCCTCCCCATCGCTACCTGCACCGCAAGGTACCCCCCTGCCGCCCCCCCACTGCTCCTCCCATCGCTACCTGCACCGCAAGGTACCCCCCTGCCGCCCCCCCACTGCTCCTCCCAACGCTACCTGCACCGCAAGGTACCCCCCTGCCGCCCCCCCACTGCCCCCCCCATCGCTACCTGCACCGCAAGGTACCCCCCTGCCGCCCCCCCACTGCCCCCCCATCGCTACCTGCACCGCAAGGTACCCCCTGCCGCCCCCCCACTGCCCCCCCATCGCTACCTGCACCGCAAGGTACCCCCTGCCGCCCCCCACTGCCCCCCCATCGCTACCTGCACCGCAAGGTACCCCCCTGCCGCCCCCCCACTGCCCCCCCATCGCTACCTGCACCGCAAGGTACCCCCCTGCCGCCCCCCCACTGCCCCCCCATCGCTACCTGCACCGCAAGGTACCCCCTGCCGCCCCCACTGCTCCTCCCAACGCTACCTGCACCGCAAGGTACCCCCTGCGGCCCCCCACTGCTCCTCCCATCGCCCCACTGCCTCCCCATCGCTACCTGCACCGCAAGGTACCCCCTGCCGCCCCCCCACTGCTCCTCCCATCGCTACCTGCACCGCAAGGTACCCCCTGCCGCCCCCCACTGCTCCTCCCAACGCTACCTGCACCGCAAGGTGCCCCCTGCCGCCCCCCCACTGCCCCCCCATCGCCCCACTGCCTCCCCATCGCTACCTGCACCGCAAGGTACCCCCCTGCCGCCCCCCCACTGCCCCCCCATCGCTACCTGCACCCCAAGGTACCTCCCTGCCGCCCCCCCACAGCTCCTCCCATCACTACCTGCCACCGCAAGGTACCCCCCTGCCGCCCCCCCCACTGCCCCCCCATTGCCCCACTGCCTCCCCATCGCTACCTGCACCGCAAGGTACCCCCTGCCGCCCCCCCACTGCTCCTCCCAACGCTACCTGCACCGCAAGGTACCCCCTGCCGCCCCCCACTGCCCCCCCATCGCTACCTGCACCGCAAGGTACCCCCTGCGGCCCCCCCACTGCTCCCCCCATCGCTACCTGCACCCCAAGGTACCCCCTGCCGCCCCCCCACTGCCCCCCCATCGCTACCTGCACCGCAAGGTACCCCCCCTTGCTGCGGCCCCCAGCAGCCCCCCAGGCATCCCCTTCCCCTCACCACTACAGGTAACCCCTGTACCCTCCCACCCCACCCCGCTCAGATGTCTCTATGCCCCCTGGCATGTCAATGTCTGGGGCATCAGCCCGCCACCCTCCCTCCCCCTACGTGGGGCAGGGATCCCAGACTTGCGGAGGGGAAGTCCCCGGCAGCAGGACCCTCTCGGGGGGCCTGCTCCAGCCAGCCCCACCTGAGGTCCCCCGGGGTCCCTCAGCCTCTGTCAGCCCCCCGTTAGGTGCGGTGAGTCTGGGCGTTCTCAGCCCCTCGATCTCCATCTCCCCTCGCCCCCAGGTGGCGCTGGTGAGCCAGAAGCCGGTGCTCTTCGCCCGCTCACTGCACGAGAACATCGCCTACGGGCTGGGGGGGCGCAGCCGGCAGGAGGTGATGGGGGCTGCCCGGCGCGCCAACGCCCACGGCTTCATCGCCCGGCTGAGCCACGGCTACGACACAGGTACTGACCCCCCCCCCGGGAACCCCCAACCCCCCTGGGACTCCTATACCCCTCTCCCAGCACCCCCGGAGACTCCCAACCCCCCTGGGACCTCTATACCCCTCTCCCAGCACCCCAACGCCCACGGCTTCATCGCCCGGCTGAGCCACGGCTACGACACAGGTACTGAGCCCCTCCCCGGGAACCCCCAACCCCCCTGGGACTCCTATACCCCTGCACCCCAGCACCCCCGGAGACTCCCAACCCCCCTAGGACCCCTATACCCCTCTCCCAGCACCCCAACCCCCATGGCTTCATCGCCCGGCTGAGCCACGGCTACGACACAGGTACTGAGCCCCCCCCCCGGGAACCCCCAACCCCCCTGGGACTCCTATACCCCTCTCCCAGCACCCCCGGAGACTCCCAACCCCCCTAGGACCCCTATACCCCTCTCCCAGCACCCCAACCCCCATGGCTTCATCGCCCGGCTGAGCCACGGCTACGACACAGGTACTGAGCCCTACCCTGCCCCTGGGACCCCAATATCCTCCAAGTACCCCCAACTGCCAGGAACCCCTATACCTCTCCCCCGGGGCCCCCACCCTCCACAGGACCCAAACTCCCCCACCTCCCACGGGTTCATCGCCAGCCTGAGCTGCAGCTGAGACACGGGGACAGCACCCCAATACCCTCTGGGACCCTCAAATCCTCCCCATGGCTACTATCTGGGTACTGACCTCTGGGGGCCCCCCAGTACCTTCCCCCATACACACAGAGACTGACACTAGATCTCATCCCTCCCTGCTCAGGCCCCCGACACCCCCACCTGCCTGGGACCCCGATACTCCCGCAGCCCCATGGCTACGACACAGGAACTGAACCCAGCCCCTCCCCGGTACCCCAACTCCCCCCTCCTCTTCCCCCCTGGCCACAGGCACCAGCCCTGATCCCACCCTGTGACTCCCTCCCAATAAACTCCCTGGGAACCCCAGAGCCCCTCCCCACAGGCCACGACCCAGCACCCAGCCCTGCCCCAGGGTGTGTGTTGGGGAGGGTGGAGCTGGGGGGTACCCACATACTGCATAGGGCACTGACCTCAGCTCTCCCCCCACAGATGTTGGGGAGATGGGGGGGCAGATCTCCGGGGGGCAGAGGCAGGGGGTAGCCATCGCCCGAGCCCTGCTCCGAGACCCCCGAGTGCTGATCCTGGACGACGCCACCAGCGCCCTGGACACCGAGAGTCAGCTGCGGGTGAGTGATATGGGGGGGCCACAGGTCGGGCGTGAGGGGCACCGGCAGGCCTGGGGGTGGGGGGAAGCCCAGGGCTGGGCTAGCAGGGGCTGCGGGTCGGGAGTGAGGGGCCCCCGGCAGAGCTTGGGGGAGCCCTGGGCTAGCAGGGGTTGTGGGTCGGGAGTGAGGGGCATTGACAGAGTCTCCATTGGCTGGGGCAGGGGTTGGGGGAAGGGGGTTCCCCACGCAGCCCCCCCACCCCCCCGTCAGGCTGTTTATTACCCCGGGCGTCTGTCACTGCAGGTGGAGAAGGAGATTTACGAGGGGCCCCGGGCCCGGCGCTCGGTGCTGCTCATCGCCCATCGCCTGAGCGCCGTGGAGCGAGCCGACCGCATCCTGGTGCTGGAGGACGGGGCGATCCGGGAGCAGGGCACCCACCGGGAGCTGCTGGCTCGTCGGGGCAGCTACTGGCGCCTGGTGCAGACACAGCTCAACGGGGAGCAGGGGGGCGGCTCCGAGAGTGGGCTGGGGGCCGGGGGGCCGTGAGGCTGGCACCGTGGGGCACCCTCCGGGGAGGGGGGGTTCTCAGCCCCCTCCTGCACACGTGGCTCCTCCCCAGGGTAGGGGGGAGTTCTCAGAGCCCCCCCATACGTGGCTCCTTTGCCCCGGGGAGCCGGCCCAGGACACAGGACCTGAGGGTGCGCAGGGGGCTCCGACTCTGGACAGACCCCAGCTCCGAGACCTGTCCCGATGCAGAGAGACCGGGGCCCCTCGCCAGCTGGGGGCGCAGAGGGGGGGCGAGCCGGGGCGGCTGGTGTTTGTCTGGCTTGTGTGTAATAAAGTGTCTGTTTTTCCATATTCCTGCGTGATCCTTGGTGTCTGCCCCCCAGCACACCCCAGGGCCCGGACTCACATCCGGGTGCCTGGAACCCCCTGGGGGCAGGATCCCCCTTGGAACGTGCCGCTGTGTTCCTGCCCCCTCTGTGCCCCTGGGGGGTCCTGCCTGGGGTGGGGGGACCCCAGGGTGCCAAGCAGCAGGTGCAAACTCCGCTGGGTCTGAGCTGGGCAACGCCCCAGGCTGGGAGCAGGGAGGGGCAGGGCTGGGGGCGGGGAGCTGCGAACGCCCCGGGGCAGTGCCGGAGGGGGGGAGGTGCTATTAGCCGAGAAATGCCCTTGTGGGGGGACCCGCGTCACCAGTTACCAGGCAGATCGGGCTGCAAAAGGTTAGAGCTGCCCCACCCCATCCCCCGCCCCCTCGCCTGCGCCCAGCGCCGGAGCAGCGCCCCTGGGGGCGGGTGGGGGCAGCGCAGGGAGGGTCACACGACACCCCCCCCCCCAGCTGCTGCAGGGTGTCGCGCGGACCGGTCCGTGGCTGCTGGGAACCCCCTTCCCCCTCCGCCCCCCGGGGGGGATCCCTGCGCCCTTCAGTGCCACATTCCCCGCTGGCTGCCCAGGGCCCCGCGCCAAGGAGTTCCCCTGAGCAGCCTCTGGACTGCGCCCCCCCCCGGCGCCCCCTCCCCCAGGAGCCCCCCATGCGCCCCTGGACTCTGGACCGTGCTGGCCCCGCTGCGCCCTTCCAAGCCCAGATGTTCCCCTTCCCTGAGAGCCCCCACAGCCCCTGAACCCGCCAGCCCCCCTGCCCAGCGCTCCCCCCGTGCCCCAGGACACCCCCCTGCGTCCCAGGACACCCCCCTGCGCTCTCATCCCCTCCCCAGGGCTCCCCGTGCGCGCCCCTCTCCAGCGCGCCCTTGGCCGGGCAGGGCGCGGACGGTCCCTCCCCAGCTGCCGCTTTCGGTTTCTCTTCCCCCGCCGCTCAGAGCCGGGCGGGAGGCGCAGCGAGGCGTATGGCGCTGGTCGAGGTGTGCGGGGCCCCCCGGGGGGGCTTGGACTGGGCGCCCCCCGGAGCCGCCGCTGCGCCCTGGGGACCCGATCACTACAGCTTCGGCCTGCGGGCGCCCGAGCTGGCCCTGCCCACGGGGGAGCAGGTCAGTGCGGGGGGGTGGCGGGAGGAGCAGGGGGAGGGCAGCGCCATACGGGGGCAGCGCCCGGGGGGAGGGGGGAGGAGCAGGGGAGGGCAGTGCCATACGGGGGGCAGTGCCCGCGGGGGGAGCTGGGGGTCAGTGCAGTAGGGTGTGGGGGTAGGGAGTGGGGGCAATGCCCTGGGCATGGGGGGGGGCAGGATGGGGCCAATGCCATGGGGGGTGGAGCAGAGGAGGAAGTACCCTAGAGGTGTGGGGGGCGGGGAGGGGGTACTGCTCTGGGCCTGGGGGGCAGGGCTGGAGAGCCTCCCTCACCATCTCCCCCCCAGCCGGCCCAGTTCCTGCAGACGTACTCCGAGGAGGGCCGGGACCGGGTGCGGATCCAGCTGGCCCACGGCACCACGACCCTGGCCTTCAAATTCCAGCACGGGGTCGTCGTGGCCACCGACTCCCGGGCATCGGCTGGCAGCTACGTTGGTGAGACGCTTCCTTCCCCCTTGCGCCCGGCCCGCACGCGGAGCAGCTGGGCTGGCCGGGGCCCTGGGGCTGGGCCGTGGGGATGCTGGAGGGAGGGATAGCGGGAGAGGAAGCTGGTCTCAGGGGAAGACTCTCCTGCCACCCCAATATACCCCTCAACGGGTGGGCGCCCCACAGCCCCCCCCCCCCACCCGGGTCTCTGTCTTCTGGGGGTACTTGGTTTGTGACCCCAGTTCCTTCCATGCAGCCGACCTGGCCTACAACAAGGTGATCGAGATCAACCCCTACTTGCTGGGCACCATGTCGGGCAGCGCGGCCGACTGCCAGTACTGGGAGCGCCTCCTCGCCAAGCATTGCAGGTGCCCGCCCCGATGCCCCACGCCCCAGCTCTCGGGGAGGGCAGCTTGGGGATGCTGTGAAGTTTGGGTGGGGGAAAGGGGGTGCAGGGGGCGTTGGGTTTGGTGGTCAGTGGGAATGTTTTGGGGTGCAGGAGGATTGGGGTGGGGGGGCTGCTTGTGGGGTGCATTGGGGTGTGTGGGAAGGTGTGGAGGTGCAGAGGGCTATGGGTGTGTTATGGGGGTGCAGCAGGAATTTGGGGGTGCAGAGGGGCATGTTACAGGATGCAGGGAGTTGTTAGGGGGTGCAGGGGATTTGGGGGCACTGGGGGGAGTCCTGGCTGCTCACCCCATCAGTCCCCCCCAGACTCTACGCCCTGCGGAACAAGGAGCGGATCAGCGTCTCGGCCGCCTCCAAGCTGCTGTCGAACATGATGTGCGAGTACCGGGGCATGGGGCTGTCCGTAGGCAGCATGATCTGCGGCTGGGACAAGAAGGTACCAGCCCTCGGCCCTGTCCTGTGACCTCCAGCCCCGTACCCCCGACCCCATCTCTGTACTCTCTGCAGGGATCCCTGCGGCCCCCATCCCCTGTAACTGCGTCTCTGAGTCCCCCATTCTGTACCTCTCGTCCCTTCCAGTGCCTGAGCCCCCGGGCCAGTACCCCTTTCACTTTCTTTCTCTCCCTTTGCGGATTGTCTCTGCTCCTAATCTCCGGAACCCTCATTTAAACATCTCCCTGTCCCGTCTCGCAGGGCCCCGGCCTGTACTACGTGGATGATAAAGGGGCGCGTCTCTCCGGCCCCATGTTCTCCACGGGCAGCGGGAAGCCCTACGCCTACGGGGTGATGGACAGCGGGTACCGGCCCGACCTGAGCGTGGAGGAGGCCTACGACCTGGGGCGCCGGGCCATCTCCTACGCCACCCACCGCGATGCCTACTCGGGGGGCTTCGTCAACAGTAAGGGGAACAGCTGGGGGGGGGGAGGCCCCTGGAGGTGAGTGCCTGGACACCTGGGTTCCATCCCCTCACTCCCCAAGGGTGCTGCAGGGCCCCCTAGGGGTGAGCACCTTGTGTTGCTGTCCTGGACGCCTGGGTCCCATTCCCTCTCTTGGTCTCTTCTCAACCCTGAGGCCTGGGAGCGTTGTGGAACCCCCTGGGGATGAAGGCCGTGTGGGAGACCCGAATCCCATTTTGTCTGGGTACCGTGAATCGCTCTCGCTGCCCCCCTGCTGGCTGCCCCTCACTCTCCTGTGTCCCACCCCAGTGTATCACATGAAGGAGGACGGCTGGATCCGGGTCGGACGGACGGACGTCAGTGACCTGCTGCACCAGTACGCGGAGGCCAAGCAGTGAGATGGGAATGGACCCAGAACCCCGCACTCAGGGACCAGCGAGACTCAGGGCCACAGGGATGGGGATCAGCGAATTGATAATGAGTTTCTGTGTGTGACAAATAAAAAGAGAAATTGAAGGAACTGCAGCTTCTGGTGTTGATTTCATTTGCCCTCCCTGCAGCTGGGGGTGGAGTGGAGTCATGCTGGGGGTCTGAAGGGCTGATTAGGGGAGCTGGTTCAGTGATGACCCTGAAATGGTGTGAGGGTGCAATAGAAATTCATGGGGGTAATGCAGGTTTGGAAAGCAGGACACCCCCTCGTCTCCGCCAATACCTGGCAATGCTGACCTGCAGCCCTCTGCTATTCCACTTCCCTGCTGCCAAAATACAACAGAAAGATTCCTTGGAGCAGTCCGTCAAGTTGCAAAGCCAGGCGGTGATCGGGACGGGTGCAGGAAGCTGAGCAGCTGGGGCAGGAGCTGAGGCTGGTGTGTCTGGTACTTGGAGCTGAGCTGCCAAGGCTGGGGAATCGGGCTGCTGGATCTGGTGCCTGGTACCTGGGGCTGAGCCTAGCTAAGGGCTGGGACTGGGGCTGGCGGCTGGGTGCACAGAGCAGGGTGCTGCTGTCTCTGGCACCTGGGGCTAAGCTGACTCGGGGGTGGGGATGTGTCTGGGTGCATGGGACTGGGAAAGGGGCACGGATGGGGCTTTGCTGTATCCGGTGTATCTGGTACCTGGGGTGGGGCGTCTGGGTCCAGGGAGCTGAGCTGCAGGGACCGGGGATGGGGCAGGGGGCCAGGACAGGTGCATGGGGCCGGGGAATGGGACTGGGACAGGTGCTCGGGCCGGGTGCTGCTGTGTCTGGTACCTGGGGCGGGGCGGGGCTGAGCTGGGGGGGGTCTCTGGGTGCAGGGAGCTGAGCTGGGGAGGGGGCCGGGCGCTGCTGTGTCTGGTACCTGGGGCGGGGCTGAGCTGGGGGGGGGGGGGTCTCAGGGTGCAGGGAGCTGAGCTGGGGAGGGGGCCGGGCGCTGCTGTATCTGGTACCTGGGGCGGGGCTGAGCTGGGGGGGGTCTTTGGGTGCAGGGAGCTGAGCTGGGGAGGGGGCCGGCCGCTGCTGTATCTGGTACCTGGGGCGGGGCTGAGCTGGGGGGGGTCTCTGGGTGCAGGGAGCTGAGCTGGGGAGGGGGCCGGGCGCTGCTCTATCTGGTACCTGGGGCGGGGCGGGGCTGATCTGGGGGGGGGGGTCTCTGGGTGCAGGGAGCTGAGCTGGGGATGGGGCCGGCCGCTGCTGTATCTGGTACCTGGGGCGGGGCTGAGCTGGGGGGGGTCTTTGGGTGCAGGGAGCTGAGCTGGGGAGGGGGCCGGGCGCTGCTGTATCTTGTACCTGGGGCGGGGCTGAGCTGGGGGGGGTCTCTGGGTGCAGGGAGCTGAGCTGGGGAGGGGGCCGGGCGCTGCTGTATCTGGTACCTGGGGCGGGGCTGAGCTGGGGGGGGGTCTTTGGGTGCAGGGAGCTGAGCTGGGGGAGGGGGCCGGGCGCTGCTGTATCTGGTACCTGGGGCGGGGCTGAGCTGGGGGGTCTCTGGGTGCAGGGAGCTGAGCTGTGGAGGGGGCCGGCCGCTGCTGTATCTGGTACCTGGGGCGGGGCTGAGCTGGGGGGGGGGGGGTCTCAGGGTGCAGGGAGCTGAGCTGGGGAGGGGGCCGGGCGCTGCTGTGTCTGGTACCTGGGGCGGGGCTGAGCTGGGGGGGGTCTCTGGGTGCAGGGAGCTGAGCTGGGGATGGGGCCGGGCGCTGCTGTATCTGGTACCTGGGGCGGGGCTGAGCTGGGGGGGGTCTCAGGGTGCAGGGAGCTGAGCTGGGGAGGGGGCCGGCCGCTGCTCTGTCTGGGGTCTCCGGCTCGCGGAGCAGCCCAGAGGCGGCGGCCGGTGCAGCCCGGGCTCCCCCTGGCGGCCGCAGCCGGCAGAAGCAGAGGGCGGGGCCCGGGAATCCCCCGAAAGCGAAACCGGGCGGGCTCGCGCGGGGTCCGGGCGCTGCGGACCCGGGAGAAGGAGCCGGAGCCGGAGCCGGAGCCGGAGGTACCGGCCGGGGGAGCAGGCAGGGGGTGCCGGGGGCTGATGCATTGCCCGGGGGGCAGGAGCTCGGGGGCAGGGTCGGGCCGGCAGCAGCGGCGGGGTTTGGGGGGGTTGATTTCGGGGGGGCGTTTACTGGGTTTCATTCCAAGTTCCCCTGGATTCCCTCCCCAGGCGGCGCGTCCCGCCCAGCGCCCCCAGTTTGTTACTGGTGCAGGCGGGGACGGGCCCCCAGCCTGACTGGTGCGTACTGGGCTGCCGAAGGGTTGGAGATTAGGGGGCACGTTGGGGTGGGGGCGGATGGGGGCAGCGGGTGAGGGCTGGGGCTGTGAATACAGGGCTGGGTGTCACTCAGCATTTGTGGGGTGTGGGTTAGGGGCTGGAGTGTGGGGAGCCCTGGGGTGGATCGGGGGGGTGGATTGGGATGCAGAGAGTAGGGCAGATAGGGATGGGGATTAGTTGGGGGCAAGCTGGAAATTGGGGGGCTGAGGACATGGGGGTCCATCAGTGCATGAACCCCTTGATTAACTGCTCCCCTCTGCTCTCTCTCCGCAGGCCCTGCCGCTGCCATGCCGCTGCCCCTCACCCTGCGTCTGGGCTGCCCCCTGCTGCTCTGCGACCTGGCCCTGCTGGCCCTGCTGGGCTGGGGCGCCCCCTCGCTGGCCCCCCTGGGGCTGCCGGCCACCTGGCTGGAGGCTGCAGTCCGTTTCCTGGGGCTCTGGGGGACCTGGGGGCTGCTGGCCCCGGATCGGCCCCGCCTGTCTCCCACCAGGGCCCTGGCTGCCCTGTGCCTGCTGCCCCCCCTGTACCTCACCCTGCGGAGCTGCCTGCCCCTGCCCAACGTGCCCCCCGCCCTGCTGGCCGGCGCCCCCTGGGCCTGGCTGCTGCTGAGCTATGGGGCAGTGGGGCTGGCCCAGCTCACCTGGGGGGCTCTGGGGCAGAGGGACAGGGCTGGGGGACCCGGTGCTGAGGACACAGAGCGGGAGTCCAGGGCCACCCTGCGCCGGCTGGTGGGGCTGTCCCGGCCTGACGTGCCCTTCCTGTCCGGGGCCTTCGTCTTCCTCACCCTGGCTGTGATTGGTGAGTGGGCCGGGGGGCATGGAACCCGCCCCGAGTGGGAATTCCAGGGGGCAGGATGCCCAACCCCCATGGAATATGCGGGCCAGGGGCTGGACAAGCCCAGTGGCATGATACAGGGTGACGAGGGGGAGACGGGGGGGAGGGGCCTTGTTTTCTCTGGACCTCTGGTCCCTCCAACACTGCCCGTGTCTCTGAGACAGGCGAGACGTTCATCCCCTACTACACGGGGCGCGTCATCGACATCCTGGGCAGCGCCTACGACCCCGACGCCTTCACCACCGCCATCGGCCTCATGTGTCTGGCCTCCTTCGGCAGGTGAGACCCCATGGCCCTGGGGAGAGACACCCCGCCCCAGTGCCCCTCACGGGACCCCCCCACCCCAGGGAGACCCCCCCACTGCCTCTGTGGGACACCCAGCCCTGGGGAGACCCCCCCATTGACCCTATGGGACACCCAGCCCTGGGGAGACCTCCCCAGTACTCCCCATGGGATCCCCAGCCCAGGGAGATACCCCCTCCAAGCCTTGCACTGCGCTCTTCTAGGGAACCGAGCCCTGGGGGTGATTTCCCCCCCATCACCCCCACCCAGCTCCCACCAGAGGGGAACCTGCGGTGGATTACAGGATAACCCTTTCTCAGAATGAACGTCTGTCTGTCTGTCCGTCCCCTCCCCCAGCTCCCTGGCCGCCGGCTGCCGCGGGGGACTCTTCATGTTCACGCTCTCCCGGCTCAACATCCGCATCCGCCAGCTCCTCTTCTCCTCCCTGGTGCGCCAGGACCTGGCCTTCTTCCAGCAGGTCAAAACAGGTGGGTCCCTCCCCCACAGCACCCTGGCACCCCCTGGCGTCCCCTCCCCACAGCAGCCCAGCAATCCCTGGCACTCCCTCCCCAGCACTCCCCTCCCAGTGCACCCCCAACCCGCCCCATCCCCTCATCTCCCCCCCCCAGGCATCTGCTCCTCCCTTCATTCCCCACTCCTGTCTGGCTCCCTGCAACCCCCACCCCCAGAGAACTGGGGACCCCTCTCCGGGCAGATCCGTGTCTCACCGTGTCTCCCCCGCCCCCCAGGAGACCTGACCTCGCGTCTCTCCAAGGACACCACCATGATGAGCCGCTCGGTGCCGGCCAACGCCAACATCTTCCTGCGCAGCCTGGTGAAGGCGCTGGGGCTGTACGGCTTCATGCTGGGGCTGTCCTGGCGCCTGACGCTGCTCACGCTGGTCGAGACCCCCCTCACCATGGCCGCCCAGAAACTCTACGACACCCGCCACCAGGTACAGGGCAGGGGAGACCCCCCTTACCCTCCTGATCCTGGGGAGATGCCCCTGAGATCCTGTGACCCAGAGCCCTCCAGGGCAGTCCCTTTATGGAGCTCCCCTCTCTGATCCCAGAGGGGGTCACCCTCCAGTGGAGCGTTTCTGGAGGGTCCCGCGGGGCTGTTCTTGGCCACGGGCTGTCCAGGGTCGTTCACAGAATCTCAGGGTTGGAAGGGACCTCAGGAGGTTCTAGTCCAACCCCCTGCTCAAAGCAGGACCAATCCCCAACTAAATCATCCCAGCCAGGGCTTTGTCAAGCCTGACCTTAAAAACTTCTAAGGAAGGAGATTCTACCACCTCCCTAGGTAACGCATTCCAGTGTTTCACCACCCTCTTAGTGAAAAAGTTTTTCCTAATATCCAACCTAAACCTCCCCCACTGCAACTTGAGACCATTACTCCTCGTTCTGTCATCTGCTACCACTGAGAATAGTCTAGAACCATCCTCTCTGGAACCACCTCTCAGGTAGTTGAAAGCAGCTATCAAATCCCCCCCTCATTCTTCTCTTCTGCAGACTAAACAATCCCAGTTCCCTCAGCCTTTCCTCATAACTCCTCATGTGTTCCAGACCCCTAATCATTTTTGTTGCCCTTCGCTGGACTCTCTCCAATTTATCCACATCCTTCTTGTAGTGTGGGGCCCAAAACTGGACACAGTACTTCAGATGAGGCCTCACCAATGTCAAATAGAGGGGAACGATCACGTCCCTCGATCTGCTGGCAATGCCCCTACTTATACATCCCAAAATGCCATTGGCCTTCTTGGCAACAAGGGCACACTGCTGACTCATATCCAGCTTCTCATCCACTGTCACCCCTAGGTCCTTTTCCGCAGAACTGCTGCCTAGCCATTCGGTCCCTAGTCTGTAGCAGTGCATTGGGTTCTTCCATCCTAAGTGCAGGACTCTGCACTTGTCCTTGTTGAACCTCATCAGATTTCTTTTGGCCCAATCCTCCAATTTGTCTAGGTCCCTCTGCATCCTATCCCTGCCCTCCAGCGTATCTATGTCTCCCCCCAGTTTAGTGTCATCTGCAGACTTGCTGAGGGTGGGTGCAATCCACGCCATCCTCCAGATCATTTATGAAGATATTGAACAAAACCGGCCCCAGGACCGACCCCTAGGGCATTCCGCTTGATACCGGCTGCCAACTAGACATGGAGCCATTGATCACTACCCACTGAGCCCGACAATCTAGCCAACTTTCTACCCACCTTATCGTCCATTCATCCAGCCCAGACTTCTTTAACTTGCTGGCAAGAATACTGTGGGAGACCGTGTCAAAAGCTTTGCTAAAGTCAAGAAACAACACATCCACTGCTTTCTCCTCATCCACAGAGCCAGTTATCTCGTCATTGAAGGCAATTAGATTGTCAGGCATGACTTGCCCTTGGTGAATCCATGCTGCCTGTTCCTGATCACTTTCCTCTCCTCTAAGTGCTTCAGAATTGATTCCTTGAGGACCTGCTCCATGATTTTTCCAGGAACTGAGGTGAGGCTGACTGGCCTGTAGTTCCCAGGATCCTCCTTCTTCCCTTTTTTAAAGATGGGCACTACATTAGCCTTTTTCCAGTCGTCCGGGACTTCCCCTGATTGCCACAAGTTTTCAAAGATAATGGCCAATGGCTCTGCAATCACATCCGCCAATTCCTTTAGCACTCTCGGATGCAACGCGTCCGGCCCCATGGACTTGTGCACGTCCAGCTTTTCTAAATAGTCCCGAACCACTTCTTTCTCCACAGAGGGCTGGTCACCTCCTCCCCATGCTGTGCTGCCCAGTGCAGCAGTCTGGGAGCTGACCTTGTTCGTGAAGACAGAGGCAAAAAAAGCATTGAGTACATTAGCTTTTTCCACATCCTCTGTCACTAGGTTGCCTCCCTCATTCAGTAAGGGGCCCACACTTTCCTTGACTTTCTTTTTGTTGCCAACATACCTGAAGAAACCCTTCTTGTTACTCCTAACATCTCTTGCTAGCTGCAACTCCAGGTGTGATTTGGCCTTCCTGATTTCACTCCTGCATGACCGAGCAATATTTTTATACTCATCCCTGGTCATTTATCCAATCTTCCACTTCTTGTAAGCTTCTTTTTTGTGTTTAAGATCAGCAAGGATTTCACTGTGAAGCCAAGCCGGTCGCCTGCCATATTTACTATTCTTTCTACACATCGGGATGGTTTGTCCCTGTAACCTCAATAAGGATTCTTTAAAATACAGCCAGCTCTCCTGGACTCCTTTCCCCCTCATGTTATTCTCCCAGGGGATCTTGCCCATCAGCTCCCTGAGGGAGTCAAAGTCTGCTTTTCTGAAGTCCCGGGTCCGTATTCTGCTGCTCTCCTTTCTTCCTTATGTCAGGATCCTGAACTCGACCATCTCATGGTCACTGCCTCCCAGATTCCCATCCACTTTTGCTTCCCCTACTAATTCTTCCCAGTTTGTGAGCAGCAGGTCAAGAAGGGCTCTGCCCCTAGTTGGCTCCTCCAGCACTTGCACCAGGAAATTGTCCCCTACATTTTCCAAAAACTTCCTGGATTGTCTGTGCACCGCTGTACTGCTCTCCCAGCAGATATCAGGGTGATTGAAGTCACCCATGAGAACCAGGGCCTGCGATCTAGTAACTTCCGTGAGCTGCCGGAAGAAAGCCTCATCCACCTCACCCCCCTGGTCCGGTGGTCTATAGCAGACTCCCACCACTACATCACTCCTGTTGCTCACACTTCTAAACTTAATCCAGAGACTCTCAGGTTTTTCTGCAGTTTCATACCAGAGCTCTGAGCAGTCATACTGCTCCCTTACATACAGTGCTACTCCCCCACCTCTTCTGCCCTGCCTGTCCTTCCTGAACAGTTTATATCCATCCAGATCTGGGGAGCAAGTTAAACCCCAGGCTGGTTAAGTCTGCAAGTGACCCCGTGATGGAGGGCGGTGGGTACTGATGGGGATGGTCAGTCATACACAGCGAGCAGGGTCCTTGGTGAGCTGGGCCCATTCAAACAGAACTGCGAGCTCCCTGGGACAGGGCCCATCTTTCTGGTCTGTGTTTGTACAGTGCCTAGCGCAGTGGGCACCTGGGCCAGGATGGCTGCAGGGCCCTATTGTAATTCAGATCACACAGCCAAGTGCCAGGTCAGACACCTCGGAGCCAGCGATGCGGGTCACACTTGGTTGGGCTGGGGGCTCTGTCCGAGGAAGCAGGGACTGGGCAGGAGAGAGAGGTCACGGTGGATGAGCAGCTCTCAGCGTGATGCTGTGGTTAGCAGGAGGACATGACGCTGGGCTATATAAAGCTGCCTTGTAGTGTAGAGACTCTAGGAGCTCAGGCCGAGATGTTTAAAGGTATTTAGGCATCGCTGCACTCAGCCCTGCAAGGCCTGATTGATTTAGGAGCTTGTCTCATTTTCAAAAGGGAGCCCAAATCCCCTTGACTGTGCCTAACCCCCTTTTGAAAATGATACTAGGCTCCTAAATCAATCAGGCCTTGCAGGGCTGAGTGCAGCGACACCTGGCCTCTGCAAACCTGGCCCTCCAGCTGCGTAGTTTATCCAGGGGAGGGTTCAGGGGTAACTTGATCCCCATCTGAGAGAACCCACATGGGGAGCAGATTTCTGAGCACGGGGGCTCTTCAATCTCACCGACGAAGCAGAACAGAGCTAGTGGCTGGAGCTGAAGCGAGACCAATTCAGACTAGAAATAAGGTGCCAGTTTTTCCCCAGTGGGCGGGATTAGCCTTTGGACCAGCTGCCCCAGGGATGAGGTGGATTCGAGTGTCTCCTTCTCAGAGTCCCCCACCAGGCAGGTTACGGGGCTAGAATCCGGGGCCCGGGTGCGACTCGCTGGCCGGGGCGATGCAGGAGCCCAGACGCGGTGGGCGGTTGTGACCCCTCTCTCCCCAGGCCGTGCTGAGGGCGATCCAGGACTCCCTGGCGCGCTCCGGCGAGGTCGTGCGCGAGTCCGTCTCCTCCATTGAGACCGTGCGCAGCTTCGCCACCGAGGAGGAGGAGTCAGGGCGCTACGAGGCGGCGCTGGCCGAGACCCACCGGCTGAAGAACCGCCGCGACCTGGAGAGGGCGCTCTACCTGCTCTTCCGCCGGGTGAGCCGGGGAGGGGGACCCAGGCGTCCGGGGGAGGCAGTTGCGGGGGTGGGGGGAAAGAAACCCAGGTGTCTGGGGGAGGTATTTCTAGATCTGATGGGGGAGCTGGGGAGGGGACCCAGGCATCCGGGGAAAATGGGCATGATTCGATAGGGGAGCCAGTGAGAGGGGACCCAGGTCCCGGGGATGGTAGCTGATTATTCAGGGACAGGGGTGTCCAGGGAATGTACTTTGTGACTCAGTGGGAGGGGGGACCCAGACATCCGGGCATGGCAGTTCCTGATGCAGTGGATTAGCTGGAGAAGAACAAGGGACCGAGGCGTCCGGGGAAGACAGGTTCATGGTCTGATGTGAGCTGGGGAGCAGGGCATTTTGCAAGCAGACAGGTGAGCTGAGGGTGGGGGAAGGGGGACCCAGGCATCCGGGGGAGCTGCTGTTCATGCAGCCAGCCGGCGGCAGGGCTGAGGGATGCTGATTTCAGGCTTGGAGCACCCCCCTGCCCTGCTCCCCACATGACTCTTGTCTCCCCCCAGCTGCTGCAGCTGGCCGTGCAGGTGCTGATGCTGTACTGCGGGCACCAGCAGATCCGCGCCGGGCTCCTGACCAAGGGCAGCCTGGTCTCCTTCATCCTCTACCAGGGGGACGTGGGCAGCTACGTGCAGGTGAGGGGCCCTGCGCCAGGGACAGGGCCGTAGAAGGGTCACAGTGACTATTTCATCCTCCTCTGTCTGTGCATCCATCCCTCCACCCACCCCTCCCCATGCCCGCCCACCTTTCTATCCCTCCCCACTCCCGCCCACCCTTCCATTGTGAAGGGGGTGTGACTCACCCTGCTAGCACCTCCCACTGGCTGTCCCGGGGATTAGCTCTGCTCACCGGTGCGCCTTCCTCTGGTGGTGTCTTGCCACCGTCACTTCTGCTCCAGGACCTGTGTCATTCCAAGGACCACGACGTCCTCTCCAGGACACGGCTCGCTGGCCATGCCACACTCGGTGCTCCCCCCGCTTCCAGGGGAAGGGCAGTCCACTGTCCAGCCACTTTCCTCAGTGGCAAGAGGTGGGGGGTGACACCCAGGCCCATCCACTACTCCGGGTCCCAGCCCAGGGACCCTGTAGATGGCACCCACATACTGCATCCCCTCTAGCTCCTCAGCACTTCTCCCTGGGCCACTTCCCTGCAGGCCCTTCACCTTCTCCGCCCCTCATCTCCAGGCCTCAGCCTGCCAGTCTTCACAGTCTGCCAGGAGCTTGCTCTCACCTCCTGCCTGGCAGCCAAGTCTCCCTCCTCAAGCTCCAGGGAGCAGCTGAACCCACACTGCCCTGCAGCCCTTCTTATATGGGCCTGCCCAGCCCTGATTGGCTGCTCCTCGCAGCCCCTCTCCTATTGGCTGCTTTCTGCTCAGCCGCCCCTGGACTCCATTAACCCCTTACTGGCCAGCGTGGGGTGGGCGCCCCATCACACCATCTACCACTCCACGCACCCATCCCTCCACACACCTGACCCTCTGGCCCCATACACACTCCTCTCTGCATCCATCCAGCCCTGCCTCATCCGTCCCTCTGTCTGTGGGTATGTCTACACGACAGACTCTGCCAGGGTAGCTACAGCAGCGTAGCCCCCTGGTGTAGACGCAGCCTTTGCCGATGGAAGGGGTTTCTCCATGGTTGTGGGAACTCCACCTCCCTGAATGATGGTAGCTACATCGACAGAACCAACCGTCCCTCGGCCTAGCTGGATCTGCCCCGGGGTTTTGTCACCACAGCTACAGTGGCCAGGATGTTTCACACCCCTGTTAGCTGGCTGTGTCGACCTAACATTTAAGTGTAGGCCAGTGTCACGGAGTCCCTGGGCGATGCTCTGGAACTGCTCCCCATGAAGCCAGGCAGGACTCTGGGGAAGTCGCCTTTCTGTGAGCAGCCTGTCTTCAGGACACACAGCTCACCCGGCTTCCACCTTCCTGGGTCTGACCTCGGAGCATTCAGCCTCCTCTGCCCCTCCGTGCGCTTCCCACAGCCAGTCCGCCCAGGCGGGGTCCTGGGGAAGCCAGAGGGTCCTGCCCCCCAACTCCGCAGTCAGACGGGACTCTCAGCCAGCCAGTAAAACAGAGGTTTATTAGACGACAGGAACATGGTCTAAAACAGAGCTTGCAGGTGCAGAGAACAGGACCCCTCAGCTGGGTCCATTTTGGGGGCAGTGAGCCAGAAAACCACGTCTGCCCTTCACTCCATGTCCCAGCCAGCTCCAAACTGAAACTCCCTCCAGCCCCTCCTCCTCTGGGCTTTGTTCCTTTCCCCGGGCCAGGAGGGCACCTGATTCCTTTGTTCTCCAACCCTTTAGCTCTCACCTTGCAGGGGGAAGGGCCCAGGCCATCAGTTGCCAGGAAACAGGGTGTCGGCCATTCTCTGTGTCCAGACCCCTGCACACACCTGCCCTCCAGGGCTCTGCAATGATCATACACCCTTCTCCCACCCCCTAGATACTTAAGAACTGCCTAGGGGAAACTGAGGCACCCCCCACACTATTCAGAGGAAACATTAAGAACAGTCCCACTTCATCACAGCCGGTCCCCTGACTTGCTCTCCCCTCTTGCCCCAGACCCTGGTGTACATGTACGGGGACCTGCTGAGCAATGTGGGGGCGGCAGAGAAGGTGTTCGAGTACCTGGACCGGGAGCCGGCCGTGCGCACCGACGGGACGCGGGCGCCGGAGTCGCTGCAGGGACACGTCTCCTTCCACAATGTCTCCTTCTCCTACCCATCCCGCCCGGACTGCCAGGTCCTAAAGGTACCTACAGCGAGGCGGCTACACCCGACCCCCAGCTCATGGCCCCAGGGCTCCTGGGCCTTCCTCCAGGGAGGGGATCCCCCTGGCTCCCAGACACCCACAGCCCCATGGCTCCTGGCCTGTCCCCCGGGGAGGGGATCCCCCAGCTCAGAGCCTACCCCCCTGCCCCAGAGCTCCTGGCCCTTACTCCCAGGAGAGAACCCCCTTGCTCACAGACCCCCCAGTCTCCAGCCCTCCATGCTCCCCGTGCGACTGGCACTCTGCAACTCTCCCCGCTGTTCCAGGCCGTGTCCTTGGAGCTGCGCCCCGGGGAGGTGACGGCGCTGGTGGGGCTGAACGGCAGCGGGAAGAGCACGTGCGTGGGGCTGCTGCAGCGGTTCTACGAGCCCCAGGCCGGGGAGATCCTGCTGGACGGGGGCGCCCCTCCGGGAGTACGAGCACCGGTACCTGCACCGCCAGGTGAGGGCAGCAGGGGCAGGGTCTGGGCTGCTGCTCACTGGGTGTGACGAGTTGGGCAGGTCTCAGCCCATAACACCATCCCCTCTCGCCGGCAGGTGGCCCTGGTGGGGCAGGAGCCCGTCCTCTTCTCCGGCTCCATCCGGGAGAACATTGCCTACGGGCTGGGGGCCTGCGGGGAGGAGCAGGTCACCAGGGCGGCCAGAGCGGCCCACGCCTCCGGGTTCATCGCGGAGCTCGACAGCGGCTTTGAGACAGGTGAGTCACCACCATCCATGCTGCAAGGGCTTCTGGGACATGTACCCCCCCCGTAATCAACTAGCCCCCACTCCCCTCCCAGAGCCAGGGAGAGAACCCAGGGATAGAACCCAGGAGTCCTGGCTCCCAGCCCCCCCTGCTCTAACCCACCAGCCCCCACTCCCCTCCCAGAGCCAGGGAGAGAACCCCGGAGTCCTGACCCCTCCCTCTCTCTCTCTGACCCCCTGCAGATGTGGGGGAGAAGGGTGGGCAGCTCTCAGCAGGGCAGAAGCAGCGGATCGCCATCGCCCGGGCACTGATCCGCCAGCCGGCCGTGCTGATCCTGGACGAAGCCACCAGCGCGCTGGACGTGGAGAGCGAATGCGCGGTGAGTGGTGGGGGCGGTGGGATCCGAACTCCGAGCCTGGCCGGGTGCAGATGGATCCTAACGGGGCTCTGCTCCTCCCCCTAGATCCGGCAGTCGGTGCTGAGCCGGGGGGCCCCGGACGGTGCTGGTGATCGCCCACCGCATGCAGACGGTGGAGAACGCCGACAGGATCGTGGTGCTGGAGGGCGGGGCCGTGGCCGAGGAGGGGACGCACGCCGAGCTGATGGGGCGCGAGGGGCCCTACTACAGACTGGTGCAGAGAGACCTGGCTGAGTAGCCCACTGCCCCGGGGAATAGCCCAACGCCAGCCTCACGGCCCTGCCCCCTCCTCCTGCCGGCCCAGTGTTACACGGAAAATATTGACAGGGTCTGATCAGTGTATTATGTTGGGTCTCTGGCTTTATCGTCTGTTTTAGGGTTTCGGTTCTGTGCCGAGGGGTGTCCCGGGGGGTGGGGGTGGGGGGGCAGGCGTGTTCGACTGGCTGAGCGCGAGACGAGTGTTTTGTAAAATACATTAAAGGGGTGAAACGTCCGAGCGGAGTCTGGGATGGCCTTTGGCTGGAAACGCCGTCGCTGGTCTCGTGGCCCAGCCCAGGGCTGCAGTTCGCTCTCGATTGAACCAGTCCGTGGCTGTAACGCTCCACGGAGTCAGTCGTGTGTCACGAAGAGCGTGGCCTCCCGGTCAGCCTGGCGCTCGCCGACCCCACGGCGAGCTGTGAGTTGCCGGGTCAGGGCGTGGCTGGGGCTCGGCCCCGGGCAGTGCCAGCTCGCGGCTGCGGAGAGCCAGCAGGAGGCGCTCCAGGCTCTGAGCGGGGCCGGGGGGGGCCGGGGGTCTGTCTCACAGTAACAGCAGCTGCTGCCTCTCAGCGCCAGGGGCCGGTGTCACTCCTGGTTCATTCCCGGCTGGCAGAGCAGAGCTGATCCCGGGGAGGGGGCCGCAGGCCGGCAGGCAGTCCCTGGGTCGCACGGACGCTGCTGGCATGTCAGACAGGCCTTCGCGCCTGGGGGGAGCAGGGGCGTGTGAGACAGGCTGTTAACCATGGCCGGGCTGTGGGATCATTGACGGTCTCCAAGCTAAATAAAAGGCTAATGGAATCTCTCAGGTCCCTGGGAGGTGGGTCACTGTCACTGTCTCCAGAGGGGGAAACTGAGGCACAAGTATCAGGGGCGTGATTTGTCCTTCAGGATTAGACAGCAAGTCAGTAGAGTCTCCTTCCCCCACTGTAACCCTCTAGCCCCACACAACCCTCCCAGAGCCAGGGATAGAACCCAGGAGTCCTGGCTCCCAGCCCCCCCAAGCTCGAACCAATAACAATTCTTTCCTGAGTCTCTGTGGACTAAGCCCGCAAAACCCAGCACTGGCTCCCCCTGTGCTGGGTAAGGCGCTGAAGGAGGGGGAGCGGGAGGGGAAGATTTGGGCTGAGGGGTGGCCTGTTTGTAGAACTGTCTCTCCTCGCAGTCCTGCTCTGGAGGATGGGCTTGTTGCTCTGTGCAGCAGTGCAGGGGCGGCTGGTGTTTTCTTGCGGGTCCTACACCAGCTCTGCGTCATCTTCCACCCACAAAGCCGCGGCTCCGGGATTCTCAGTCGGGGGTGGATGGAACCGAATCTGCCCCACTGAGCGGGGTGGGGAAGGGGGTCGGGGCAGCCCCCCAGGGACGCACACCCAGGGGAGGGTGCAGCCGGGAAGGGGTGGTTCTGCTTACCCAGGGTAAAGGTACAAACTCCCTCCCTGTATCGGCTGCCCGGGCCAGGGGCCGCAGCGGGAGGAACAGGCCCCCACGGCTGTCCAGCACTCGGGGAGATCCCTGACCGACCTCACCCCAGGGTAGCCAGCGCTGTGGCACTGGGAGGGCTGCTCCTGCCCACACAGCTCCCGCCGCTCAGGGCGGAGGAGCACCGGCTCCGGGGGGAGACGCTCTCCTGTCGGCATAGGAGGCGGTTTCGCTAAGCGCCCCAGCAGAGCAGCTGCACCGGGCTGCCCTGGCGGTGGGGACCCGCCGCAGTAGCATCGATGGGAGAATGAAGCAGATGCCCACCCCCGCTTTCAGGGCTGCCTCCCAGCTGCACCAGCCCCTTGCCTCGGTCAGGGTCACGAGCCGGGGGGGCTGGTAAATGCGGCTCCTGCTCTCGTTCCCCACCCCCACTCACCTGCCACCCATTAAACTGGGCCCCAGCCAGGGCGGGTGGGTGGTTCTCAGGTGCTGGACTGGGCCTGACCCTGTCCCCCCAGACCCCCTGTGTCTGAGCCTCTGAGTGAGACTCCCAAGGGGAGATTAGCCCCCTCCTCTTCCCCTGCACAGGCCCTGTTGTGACGAAGTTGGGGGTTTTTGTAGTGTTTTACATGAATAGTGTGTGCGTGCCTCGGTTTCCCTGTGTGCTGTATGCTTAACAAGGTGGTGGGAGAGGGTTGTTGTTACAGAGGACCAGGTGTCACCTCGCCTAGCAGCCGGGACCCCCAGACAATGGCCTGGAGCTGGGAAACCCTAACAACTGGTGACCTGCAGTCTAAGAGGCCCACCCCAGCTTGGCCGTCAGCCGGTTCTGGACAGTGGGAGGACAGTGGGCTGCGGGGTGACCTGACCAGCTGGTTCCAGCCAGCGGGGAACAGGAGAGAGGGCCCCAGCGTCCCGTTTACCTGGGATGGAGGACAAAGGACAGGGGAGGAGCTGTTGGGGCCCCTGATATCGGATGCCCAAAGCGCAGGGTCTCAGGGCTGGAGAGAGGGAGCAAGCAGGGCCCCCCTGGATGCAGGGGAGACTGGGATGCGCTGGGCTGAGGGAGGCCAGGTCTGAGGCCCGGAGAGTGTCCTGTGCTGGGTTCAGACGCTCAATAACCCCTCCTGTTTTACGCTGGCGGAGAGTCGTTCCGGTCTAGAGAACAGGGGGGCATTATTCCATCTGGGAGTGGAGGCTCAGGGGGTCCAGAGCGAGGGGACTCCCTGAGGGGGCCCACGGCAGAGACAGGGGTGCTAAGGCTCAGAGAGGTGCGGCTCCAGGAGGTGGAGGGGCTGGACCCCCGAGAGACAGTGGACCCCGGGGAGAAGGGCTGTCTCACTGAAAGTGGCACCCCCCCACGGACCGCACGGGGCCAAGAGTGGGCACGATCTGTGCGTCCGCGACACCCATGTACAGAGTGTTCACTGCAGCAAGGCCGGTGTAACCGGTTGTGACGAAGCGGGACTGTTCTTAATGTTTCCTCTGAATAGTGTGGGGGTGCCTCAGTTTCCCCTATGAAATTCTTAAGTCTCTAGGTGGTGGGGTAAGGGTGTATGATCATTGCAGAGCCCTAGAGGGCAGGTGTGTGCAGGAGTCTGGACACAGAGAATGGCTGACACCCTGTTTCCTGGCAACTGATGGCCTGGGCCCTTCCCCCCTGCAAGGTGAGAGCTGAAGGGTTGGAGAACAAAGGAATCAGGTGACCTCCTGGCCCGGGAAAGGGACAAAGCCCAGGGGAGGAGGGGCTGGAGGGAGTTTCAGTTTGGGGCTGGCTGGGACATGGAGTGAAGGGCAGACGTGGTTGTCTGGCTCACTGCCCCCCAAAATGGACCCAGCTGAGGGGTCCCGTTCTCTGCACCTGCAAGCTCTGTGTTAGACCATGTTCCTGTCGTCTAATAAACCTTCTGTTTTACTGGCTGGCTGAGAGTCACGTCTGACTGCGGAGTTGGGGGGCAGGAGCCTCTGGCTTCCCCAGGAGCCCCGCCTGAGCGGACTCGCTGGGGGGAAGCGCACGGAGGGGCAGAGGATGCTGAATGCTCCAAGGTCTGACCCAGGAAGGAGGAAGCTGTGTGAGCTGTGTGTCCTGCAGACAGGCTGCTCACAGAAAGGCGACTGCCCCAGAGTCCTGACTGGCTTCATGGGGAGCAGTTCCAGAGCATCGCCCAGGGACTCCGTGACAACTGGTGGCAGCGGTGGGATGTACTGCACCCCGTGGACGGCGTTTCCTGCAGTAAGTGACTGGGGAGCAGTAACACGAAGGGGGATTGACGAGGACCAGACGTGCTGAAGGCTCAGAGAGGAGCGGTTTCGGGGGGCGGTTAACCCCTGGGAGTGTGTGACCGGCGAGAAGGACTGTGCAGTAATGGGGTCCCCCTGGGGACTGCAGTGAGCAGTCTCATGGGCGGAGGAGTCTGCAGCTCGACCCTGGCAAAGAGGTGGTGACCTCGAGAAGGGCTGGCACACTAGGGGTTCTCCCTGGAAACCGTGGGGAGCTGAGAACACACGGGCCTGTGAGTCCACAACAACTTGGGAGGAGCGGAGTGATGGCATGTCACCGTCTCCTTAAGAAGGACATTGTAACCCTGTGCAAAAAGAGAGGGTTGCGCGTTGGAAAGTTCACCAAAGCAGAGTTAATCGTGCAGCTGGAGGAGGATGACCGCTCTAAGGAACAGATTCCTGACCCCAACTGGGGCTATCGCAGGATCTGGGAGCAGCTGAAGCGGGAGCCAGGCATCGCCAAGACTCCTGTCCCCGACCAGACGAGGGTCTTCACGATCGGGTTCCCCATCGGGGGATCGAGACGGACGGGATTGGAGCTGAGTCTGAGAGAGCGAGAGGACTGTGGGAGACAGCGAGAGCCCGAGAAAGAGCTGCAGAAGCAGCAGCAGCATGAACTGGCGGTGGGGGAGCGGAGAGGCCTAGGGGACCTCCCCGGGGTGAGTGGGGATAGACCCCGGGGGGCCAGTTCCGCAGGGAACCTCGAGACTAAATTGCTGCCCCTGGTTAAGGAGGAGGGGATGTGGATGCCCACCTCACTGCCTTTGAGCAGGCTGGCGATTTGAACCAGGGGGACCCTGCGGAAAAGCCCCGGTGTCTAGCTCCCTTGCTGGGTCCCAAGGCCATAGACTCCGTCAGCCAGATGGGTGGGGAGGTGGACAGGCTCCCACTCCTGACCCCAACCTATATGTCGGTGTGGAGTTTCCTGGGGCCAGGCCCCTCGGGCCCCCAGTGTGGCTCAGGCCTTAGCGGGCAAAGGTTTCCTCACCCCGCGGGCGAGAGTCCGTATGAAACCCCCAAGCAGCCCAGAGCACAGCGCACGTCACGCACCGTATTTATTGGGGGGGGGCATGACTGGTAAAGGCGAAGAAACCCACCCAAACCAACACCCTGTGTGAGCTGCCCGCCCCTCAGACCCCGTTAGCGACAGGGGGGAAAGGCCACAGTGAGGTGCTGCCCTCTGAAGAATTCATTCTCCCCAGCTGGCCCCAGTCGGCTGTCAGAGCCCCCAGGCCAGCCCCCCCCTCATTCCCCACCCCAGCCCCATTCCAGGATCTGAACCCTGTCCTAGCCCGGGGGTTACTGTGTGCAGGGCCCAGGCTGCGTGGCCCCACACAGGGCAGACTGGCACTCGGACCCTAGAGCAATGGTGGCTGCAAGCAGCCTCCTCCATCTCAACCTGGCTTGGCTCCCCCGTTCAAAGGGCCTGTCAGCCCCAGACCCAGCTTGGCTGCCCCACTCCCCACCCCTCCCCATGCTCCCTGCTGCAGCTGGAGGAGGGGTTAAGGGGCT